TATTGACAGTAAATGCGTGTTACTGATATTTTATTGACATGATGTTCATTGGATTATTTTACATATACCCAAGCAAAAACTACAATGCAAGTAAACCACAAACATGAAATGCCAAATCCAACACAATTGACCATAAAAATAGGGGAAAACCATAACTTTAACCCTAAATTGAAATTCCACTAAATTACTTACAGATTACCAAATGCTGGGTCCACTTGAAACTTAAGGTTGTCTGAGCTTTCCTTTGTTGGAATATTCATACCTATCACTTCCAAAATGGAAGAATCACGGCTTTACTCCAATGAATACAACTTCGCTCCTTCCACGGCTTCGCCCATTCCACTCAAACTAACTAATTTTTCAGGATTTAGGGAACGAAATTGCCTTCAACTGTCATTAAGCCGGATTCCAAACCAGTTTAGCTATGTTTCTTAGCTCTATGGGTTTTTGTGTTCAAACTTCAACCTTGTGGGTGTTGAACATGTTCAACCTTTGCTGGGTATTAATTTCGGGTTTGGGTTTCACCTACCTGGTTGTAAGTCAAGGGGGAAACTTGATCTCAATCGTCCATATGGATCTAACGGCTAAATTTTGTGTCCTCATTTATTGCACTTAAATAAGGTTCCTCAAGAGAGAAAAATTCTGGCTTGGTGGCTGGCTAAGTAGGCCACCTTGGAATGAAGTTTTCCAAACACTAGGCTGCGTAACCTAAGCTGAAGCCCAAGTAGTAAACGAAGCAATCAACAGGCCACTTCGAATTGGCCCATGGCTATGGTGGATGCTACAAAGCTAGGATACCTAGCTGGGAAGTGCAATTTGGAAATTTCCTACCTGCAAGGTTTGATTTTCCCTATTTATTTTTTGGCTAAATTGTAGCAATGATCCTTGGACTAGACCAAACTTTACTTTTCGTCCCTCATATTGCTAAATTGCTACGATGATACTTTAATTATGCATCTACATTCAGAAATCGTCATTTCCGTCATCTTAGTCAACTTTTTCGTTAAAAATGATGACGTAACATAGGCAAAAATGTCTTCTCACACAATTTTTTTTTAAATAAGTCTCCTCTCTCTCTCTCTCTCTCTCTCTCTCTCTCTCTCTCTCTCTCTCTCTCAATTTCTTCTTCCCCCACCCATATTTTTTCCATGGAGGCCTAGCCCTGTACATACTAGTAAATTATCTATCATTGCTCGGCGAGCAACTTCTCCCTAACCACGATTCCCCCCAACCCATAATTTTAAGGGGAAAAAAAAACATGAGAACAAATCTAGATTTTAAAAAGGCAAATTCTCCAAATCCTCCAACAGACCTTCTTAAAATTCAATTTAAAAAGACAAATCTGGATTAAAATCACATGAGATGCTGATATGGATGTCTCTACTCAATCCAGTACATGAAAAGACAAATATGCACACATTTTTAACAGAAAAGTTAACTGAGATGACGGAAAGGACGATTCCTGAAAGTGGAGGCATAATTAAATTACCACCGTAACAATTTAGCAATATGAGGGACGAAAAGTAAAGTTTGGTCTTAGTCTAGGGACCATTGTTAAATTTTATTAGTGAATTTATTGTTAATCATAATCATAGTAGTGAAATTGGAGGCTTTGAGCAGAGAGTGATAGAAGTTTCGAATTGTATTACTTGTACGCATTTGGAAATTGTACGGTTTCCAATCCATTTATGTAAATTCTTGAATGTTATACCTTTATGGGCTTGTTTGTTACACCTTCTAGCCTTGGATTGGACTAGATAAATTTTTATCCTATGTTTGTTTTCACTTGGTTCTAATTTTAAGTGGGACTGTTAATACTGGGCCCACCAAAAACACCTCCTTAGGTGTTCTTAGTGAGACCCGTGTGAAAAGGGGAGCCAATGCAGTCCCGACCCCAGCACCTGCAACCACCCAAGCGCTAGCCACAACCTCCGACCAACCAAGCGACATCCACAACCACCTACCATCCCAGCGCCTGCAACTGATCCAATCCTAGACCGTCAAAGGCACACGCAGCCAATTCCAATCAGTTTCGACGAGCACCGATGAGAGACAATGACTTCGCAGCTTGAACTATGGGTTGTGAACGACAGCGACTATGCAACGATGGCGACTGTGAGACGACGACGACAGCGGAAGCAAAGGGAGAAGTAGAAGACGAAGTAGATTGAGAAGAAGCAAAGAGAAAAAAAATTCGAAAAAAGAAAAAAAAAGGCAAAGAGAAAAAATTTCAGAAAAAAAAAACAAGGAGAAAAATAGAATTAGAAGAAAAGGCAAAGGAGATGGGATGGAGAAGAAGAATAGGAGGAGGAGGAGGACAGAGAAGAAGAAGCAAGTGGGAGGAAGAAGAAAATGTTGAGATACGGAGAGAGAGAAGAAAAGTCAAAAAAATTATAATAAATCCATTTGGATATATTTTTTAAAATTCAAAAATTCAAAAAATTTAGTACTAGTCCAAAATATATTGAACGCAGTACAAGTGTTATCTAACTTAGGCCAAACCAAGCCAATCCAAGACAATGTACAGTCCATGACAGTCCTCCGTACTAAACAACCCCTATGAGTCTATTGCTTCCTAGTGTTCTGGTAGAACGGCAAAGTAGGATCAATGTCGTTCCCCCAACTCATTGCGATTAAATAAATTTTTAGGTGAGATTCTAGAAGTTGCCATGTTGATGTTGAGAATAGTTTAATGCAATTATAATGAACAAGATCCCCCTCTATATCTCTATGTTCATAACTTTTATCATATTATTTTGAAAACGGTAGAGGGAAAAATAAATATAAATTAATTGAAAACAGTAGAGGATTTCTACCACCAATACATATACGACCATGTTGCATATGGAGTGGACTTCTCTTCATATGCTTTCCTTTCATTAGAGCATTTCCAGCAGCTAAGGCTGGGCTCGGGCCGCGGGGGGGGGGGGGGGGGGGGGGGGGGGGGGGGTGGGGGTGTGGGTGTGGTTAGGGTCCAAAAAGTGTTTCCAGCAACAAAGGTTGGCCCGGGAAGGAGGTGGGGGCCACGAGACTGGGCTGGCCCGAGGTGAAGTTCAGCCCACGCGTAATCCCGAGTTTTGGGATGATGTCATCGCTGACGCCAAGCTAGTGTCAGCCCTAGAGTTCAAATTACGCACTCGCACAGTTTCGGCCAATGGCTAACAGCCACGTGGGGTTGTCTAGGTGCTCTGATTGCTTTTTGTCCTCCAATCCAACGGTAGCCAATATTTATACAACAAAAAAATGAAAAAAAAACCCAAAAATTAATGAATTTTTTTCTATAAATGCCAACCAATACTCTTCACTTTTAACACCAAATCCTCATACATTTTCTTCTCCTTCAACTATTATTCACTTTCTACTCAATATTTTTTTTCACTTTCAAGTTTTATTTTTCTCTATCATATTATGGCTTCTTCTATTGAAATCGGAGGGCATGGAGCATCATGGAAGATGTTTTGTTGTGTGAGTGTTGGGTCCAAATTAGTCATTGTCCCATCTCGGGCAATGAGATGAAATTATGTCATATGTGGGAAAAAATTCATACCGAATTTTGTGAAAGATTGGGTTCGACCCGTACGGAAATGACATTATTTTGTAGGTGGAAAATTCTCAATAAAGAGTTGGGGAAATGGAGAGGTGGCAAAAGCGATGGACAACCATAGAAGCGGGGAAAATCTTAGCAATGAGGTAAATTATTTGTAATTTTCATTTTATTAATTTTAATGTCCTATTAATTTTTATTTAAATGTTTCTTGCAATTTCTATATTTTGTTAATATTTCTTGCATGTCCATTATTTTGTGTTATATTTGTTGCATTGCCAATACTTTTTAAGTTTCTTGCATTTCCAAAAATTTTTTATATATAGATTATGCAAGAACAAATGTGGTATGGTGCTATTGGGAAAGGCGAAAAAACTTTCAACCATACCCAATGTTGGGAGGTGGTGAAGAATTGTAAGAGATTCTGAATTATTCCAACGAGTCCGACGGTGATTCCCCGATGAGTCAAGACTCATCCATCCAAAGGGAGCCGAGACCTATTGGGAGGAAGGCGGCGAAGGCGAAGAGATGGAGTAATTCTGCCATTAATACATCTAAATTTTTGGAGGAAATTGCAAGGCAAAGCACCATGAGAATTGAAATAGACATGAAAACCCAAGAAGACGAGAGGGAAATTCAACTAGAATATGCAAAATAAAGGGAGTATGTACGCCAAGAAAACATTGAGAGGAAGGATCGGGAAACCATGGCCATGGATACAAGCCATATGTCCCCTGAAACAAAACAATTTTGGAAGCTAGAACGAAGGGATGTTATGAGACGAAGACTTTTTCGTGACGATGGACCTAATAACACGGATTGGTTAATTGATCAAAACCATTAAGTTAGTTTGCTTGCCTTTAATTTCATTGTATTTTAATGTTTTGTTTTAAAAATTAGTTGTAATTCATGTATTTTATTTTAGGGAGATTCACTAATATACCCAATATAGGAGCCTAAATTATAAAAAAACCCTATATGAAATGGAATTTATAAACACACCCAAAGTCCATTTATAACATAACAAAAAAACTTTTAACTTCTTTTAAATTACAAAATTGCCATTGATTTCTTAAAACAAACCCAACCCAAAATTTCATAAAAAAGCTCAAAACACTCAATAGGGTATCAAAGTAATTTAATAATTAAAATTAAATTTAATAGTATCATTTGTCATTTTTGGGGTTTTTTTTGGGTATGTTTATAAAAATGAAATGATATAGGGTTTATTTATAGTTTTAGTGCTAAGAATGGGTATATTACTAAATATCTCTTTATTTTATTAGTTGTATTGATTTTCTTTGAGTGAATAAAGAAAGCATTCAATAAAATACATTTTTATTCAAAACATTCCATACATAAAAAACAAACCACAACCAAAGCATTAAAAACACAAAGCATAACTAAAAATAAAACATAAACATAATAAATTAAAAAAAAACATATTCACTTCACTTCATTCACCGTCATTGCCTTTCACCGCCCATAAATGCTCTATCAAGTCAACTTGATGTCGTCCATGAATATAAGACAATTGCATCTCCGTGTATCGATCAATCATACGGGTCATGAAACGACTGTCCCTAACCAATGGTTCATGTTGCACTGGTTCTCTATTTGGCCCCATAGGTTTTTCATAAATTCTTGTCAAGGCCGTGTTCATGGGATTCGGTTCGTACACATCTGCAGCATCGTAATCATACTTATCCTCCACAATCATGTTATGGAGGATGATGCATGTCATCATTGTTCCTCAGTACCTCCTCATCAAACAGATGCGTCGCACCCCTAATAATAGCTCATCGAGCATAGGGGATACCAAAGCACCTCTCCACATCTTTTCTGTAACACTCTTGATAGACAACAAATAATTTTTACTTCTGAGATCGGGGATGCAGAATTGATTTCACAAATGTGGTCCATCTCGGGTAGATGTCGTCACCTAGATAATACCCATTCTGGTGGACGATATTGTTGATTTCATAGGTGATATTTGGGGCTTCACTTCTCTAAACATCGTTGAACACCGGGGATTGACCCAGGACGTTTAAGTCATTTTGAGATCTGGCAACTCCGAAGAAGGCGTGTCAAACCCATGTATCGAATCCAGCAACGACTTCGAGGATGATACTTTTTTGCCTTTTCCTATTTCCATAATCTCTTTGCCAACCAGTTGGGCAATTCTTCCATTGCTAGTGCATGGAGTCGATGCTACCAATCATTCCTGGAAATCCTCGAGCTTCAGCTTTTTGTAGAAGCCTTTGCATGTCCCTAGGAGTAGGTCTACGCAAGTAGTCCCTCGTGTACAGAGTTTCGACTACATCACAAAATCTCACCAAGCTCTCCAAAGTAGTGGACTTCCCCATCCGGGCAATCCCATCCACCTGGTCATCAAATGACCCATACGCCAACATTTGTATAACAACTGTGAACTTTTGTTCGGGAAAAGGTCCCAAATTTCCAGCAGCATTTTTCTTTTGAACAAAGTATTAATCATAATTGCAAATATCATGCATGACTTTATTGAACAAATGGGTTGCATTCTATATCGCGCTCGAAAATGAACATCAGAGTACAGAGAAGTTGGGAAAAAATAATCTTCCAGAAGATTCTTACCCCGAGAATGTCTATGTCTGTTCACATTTGGGCCATGACCTTCTTGTGAACCACGACGGCTCTGGTTTTCTTCATCAAGCAAAGCCACTGCTATGACAATTTGCTGATCTAGTTCTCTCTGCACCCTTTTGCCTACAGCTCGTCCACGCCCTTTTCTCTAGTTTCTCGCTCTTTCATCTCCAAGACCTCGTTTATGTCTATGATTGAGAATGGAGTATGAATTTTAAAATCTGATCGAGAAATGAAAATATAGAGAAGATCTAGTGTGAGAGGTATGAGCTGAGCCTCTAGTTTTATAGAAAAATTTAGGCCGATAAAGATGACACATTGCGCAATTTTAGAGGGTGAAAATCTTATCTGAAATTTGAAATTTGAAATTCATCTGAAATTTGAAATTTAAATTTTGAAATGTATCTAAAATTTGAATTTTGAAATTTATCTGAAATTTGAAAACGAAAATCTTATTCGAAAATTTTATCCAATTATGAAATATGAATAGTATTGACACGTAGAAACCCAAAAATCTTATCCGAAAATATTATCCAAATTAATTGTTTAGATTAAAAAATTTTGAAAAAAACAAAAAAATGAATAGTATTTGCCATTTGTCATGGCAACTGGTGAAAACACACATTGCTTTTTGCAAGGGTAGCCACTATTCACGTGAATAGTAGCTGCCATAACCCCCCCTCCCCCCCTTTTTTGCCATGGCAAAGGGCTAACTGCTGGAAGTGCTCTTAAGTGGGTCCGGAAGAATATACGGCGCACACCTTTCTTAAGTGGGTCCTACTATGATACTCAAAAGTTTCACTGAAACGACATCGTCTTGATTTTCTTTACTTCCGTGCTTTTAAATAATGTAATGTAGTCCTTTCAAATATATATGGTTCTTCCAAATCTAATAAATCATATGATAGAAATCTTGATTATAGATATCCATAAATAAAATCCTATAAGTCATTACATTCTGCTTAAATCTACTAGCCTTTTTTATCTCTAAATAGTCTTTTAAAATCTCAATTGAATACACCCCCCTAAGTTTGTTTGTTTGCATTGAGAATGCTCAACCTCATTTTTCATTGTAAAGTCTTGTTTGTGATCATGAAAATTATTTTTCTAGAAGTAATACTGTTGACGAAATACCGGTTGTCGTTGAGCATACTTTTTATAAATAAATAAAAAATTTAGGACATTTCCTATCAAGAGGGGCGATAATATACTAAACTCACATACACAACATAAATACAGGACTCAAATCCAAGACCTTAACTAAAATTGCAACACTCCAAATCACTATACCAATGGTCCTTTGCATTGAACATACTTATTAGTGCTATTGCACAGAAAATTTGCAATGCTAACTTAGGAAGAGTGAGTAAGGATGTCAAAAGAGTGTCATCAGGAAATTACTTGATGTGACAATGTTCATAAACATCCCACTAAAAATTGTACTAAAGCCATTATCGGATTTCTTTTCTGTAATTAGAGCATGTGTTGGAAACCCTGCTACTTTGACCACCATATTGATTTTGGAGTTCCAGGTGGCAAACTTGAGATTTTTCTTTGTACGAGAAAACTCAATTGCATTTAAAACATTCTTTGTAAATAATTCACTAAACAAGTTTGCTCCAAAGACGAAGCCATTATCGTGTGCAAGTCCAAGAATTATTATAAATATTTTCCTTCGATGATGTGAGAAGTCTGGTAGATTTTTCAAAGTGAAACGACGTCGTCCCCAAATGAAGATAATTGAGGAGGCCTCTAAACAAATTCGGGTAGGCAACCAACTCTTCATCTGCAATAGATTGATCGATTCACATGCAGCTGATTGAAGGTTAGATGGGCCCAATGTTCTTGATAACCAACTCTAAAAATCCCGCAAACTATCATATACGAGATAACAGGGACATTGATCCATCCATTCACACATATCAGCAATCAAAGAAATGCAATTGCCGCAAAATAATGCTGAGAAAATAGAACCTTACGAGAAAGGATGCGACTGAACTGAGGATAGAATATTCTTTTCATATAAACAAGTCATCTCTGTTTTTTTTTCTCAAGAACAATTAATTCTGAACTTTCGCATTTATCTTATAAATCAACTATGTTTGTATGAGCCCTGTTTCCTTCCCTTTCAAAAGTATCAAACTGATCCTACTACTGCTGCACAGCACAATGATATACCTGCAACAAACTTCGGTCCTCTAGCCCGCTGAACGTGTTTTCAAGGCACGTATGTCAGCCTTTGAGAATGACCTCCAGTGTGGTACAGATTGAGGTGATATATTGCCTTCGCCACCAATTCTCTCAACTCGGGATGTTGAGGCAGCACACTACGGTCTGCTCCTTCAAGAGCAGTCAACACCCTAGTCGGTTCCAAATCGTCAGTATTGCCAGAGTGTAATGCAAGGTAGCATAGGAGAATCAGTCCATGCAACTGTGAGTGTTCATTGCCTCTTAGCAGTTTCATCAGAGGTGGGATAGCATTGAACTCAATAATCGTCTTTGAATGCTCCATACAGAGAAAATTATCTGGAGAAGCAAATTTCCCAAGTGAAATTGCTGCTTCGGTTGCCATGTCTAGATTTTTGTGGCTAAGTTGAGTCACTAGGGGACCAATGACCCAGGTCTCCCTAGCAGGGAATGTCCTAGCCAACGAACCAACTGATTTTATAGCAGGAATTTGCAATGTCGGGCTATCCACATCTTTGATCAGCCTCAAGAGCTGATCCACAACCGCCTTAGCAGCTGGTGAATTGGTCTTAAATGCCGCTCTCCTAAGGTCAGCATTGGATTCAGCCGCAGCTGTTATCTCCATTATAGTCATCAAACAATTGAATTGCAACTCACCCTGTTCCTTCTCCACCAACTTAGCCAAGCAAAGCAAACCTTTCGTCTCAGTTATCCTCCTACTATTCGAAACACTACCTCTAGCAAGCATCCACAAAGCCTCTGCACAACTAACTTTCAGCTGAAGCTTGACATGGGGCTTCTCATTCTCCCTCTCCTTCCTATGATTATGTCCCCCACGATTACTCCCCTCAGCATAATAAGTATACGAAGAACTTGAATACGAATTCGAGTAAGGTCTAAAATTACTCTCACGACTATTGCTACTGGGATTGGATTTTGCTAATGTGCTCTTCTCCATTTCCTTGTTAATCTGAACTAGAGAGTGAATGCTTTGCTTACCCGATTCAATCTTCCGATCCTCCACGAAAGTCTCAAACGACAACAGCGTCACCAGCGGCCTGATCACATTCTCTCTGGCGAAATCCTCTTGGGCAACACTGTCATGCTCCGCCATTCTCGCCACCAAGGTCGCCACTCGACTCTGAACCTTCATCGGCGAGTCGCCTAGAACCTGCACAATAGCGGGCACCCCAACCTCATTCACAATGGTCCTCACTTTCTCCTGATCACTGGCCAGATTATAGAGCGCCGTCGCCGCCGCAATTTGGGCATCCGGCGACGAGCCCTCTTTCAAGAGCTTCAGTAGCGGCGAGACCCCACCTTCGTCGACGATAATCTTCTTGTTCCGGTCGTTGTCTTGGGCCAGGGAAGCGAGCTCGTTCGCAGCCTCAACACGATCCGGCAACTGACCCATTTGAATAGTGGCGATGAAGGACCAAACCCACGAGAGAATCGGGTCGTTGCTGGCAATCGGGGCGAGGGAGAGCACAATTCCGTTATTGCCCCCGGAGTCCGGGTCGAATATGCTGAGCAGCCACTTCATGTCTCCGACGGAAGACTCGAGGAAGTTGAAGAGCTTGCGGAAGTCGGTGGCGCTGGTGATCGTCACGACACGTCGTAGGACGCTCTGGCGCTTGCACTTGCGGACCAGGGTTAGGGCTCGCTCGAGATTCTTGGAGACCTCGGCGACGATGCGCCGAATTGGGCGCTCGTACAAAAACGGCGCCGTCGTGGCGAAGCGGACGACGGTTCGGAGCATTTGCGAGAGGCGATCCACCTGCTTGCCGACCTCGGAGCACTCGAGCTTGAACGACTCGGCCTCGTCCACGGCGGACCGGACCCGCTCCGACAGCAAAATCGGGTACGACAGTTCGTCTTCGATGCGCTTCTCTTCCGAAGCCATCGCTCGCTTCAGTCTCCGCTTGCTTGTGCTGTTTTGGGGAGGCGAGTCAAGTGAGCCGAAGACGAGTCAAGTGAGCCGAAGACGAGTCAGCGGCCGAGTTGACAAATAAAAGCGGGGGAAGAAGATGGGGATTTTGTGGGTGTTGTCACTGTTATTTACTCTTGTTGGCTTCTTGGCTTCTTGTTGACAATGGCATGCTTGCGTGTGTCTGCTCTGCTCTGCTCCGTACCCTGAAATTTCTGAGCCTAACTTTCTTTATTATTTTTATTTTTTCGTTTTCATATTTTATAAATTTATAAAATTAAATAATTTTATTTATTTAAGATAATCTTTTCGGCGCGTGAATTGAAATTTAGAAGGAAGACGAGTCAATTCAATTATCTTCGTAACCGGTGTTTTACGTTAGTTTTTAAGTCTTTCTAATTTCTTTCTTTCTTTTGGCAAAAATGACTTTCTAGCCCATGGTCATTTCATTTCGAGTGGGTCAACTTACTTTAAAAAAATAATAATAATAATAAAGGGGTGGGGTCCACTGGGAAGTCGGAATTGGAAACGTGTATTTAGGGATTTTCACATTAATTATCGATTATTTTTTCTTTTATTTTGGGAGAGCAACAAGAACTACATTAACATAACAACAGCAAAGTTACCGCGTGAGCAGATTTTCACGATTTGAACACTAAATGTTATTCTTTTTCAAAACACTGAAATACCATTTGAACCCCAAATGTTCAGTTATCTATCCCATTAATAATCAAACCCAATGTGTTAAATTTGTTTATAACTAGGTCACAAACACAATTAATTTTTTATCAGTTGAATATCATACATTCATATAAATATATATAGTACAAGTTATTTAAATTGTAAGTATAAAGAACAAATATATATTTTTTACAAAGCGATACTCATCTAATTGGAAGTAAATATTATATAAAATTTTAACTACTCTAATGTACGGAAAGAAGAAAATATTATATATATTTTTAGTTACTCTAATGTACGGAAAGAAGAAGGGAATCACACTGCAAGAAGTCAAACAGACACACACTCTTGAACAATTAACATAACCCACATATATATTATTATTAGAACATATATTATGCAAACCTTTTTAAAATTAAATTACATCCTTTAAAATTTTACAAATTTATAAATAAACCCAATCCTAGACATATATTTATAGAAAAACTTAAGCACTATTTAAACATAGAAACACACCCAAAATCAACCCCAAAGTCAACTTTTTGGGTGTGTTTATAAATGGATTTTGAGTGTGTGTAATGATGGGTTTTTGGTGTGTTTATATGTTTAAATAGTGCTTGGGTTTTTTTATAATTTAAGCCCCCATTTTGGGTGTTTTAGTGAAACTCCCTTAAAATTTCCATTACCGTAGAATGGTCCAGTCCAGTTAAGTTCCATAGGAATTATTGAGTTCACTGTGACTACTGTCTTTGTCTTGAAAAGTTGACATTTATAAAATTAACAAAAATAAAAAAACTGTGCGTGAGATGATATTACGTCCTCCAATAACTGGAAGAGCTCTATATAATAAGAGTAAGATTGCAACGTTTAAATGACAATCATTTCAGGGATATTATAATCAAACCAAATGTGAGAAGCTTCTTGCATATGGAATGGAAGCCACACACACAGCGACCATGACTCATGTCATGCTATGATCAGCCTCAGTTTGAGAACCAAAGAAAAGAGTTGGACAAAGACATGTCAGCACCAGTGGCGAAGCCAGAATTTCATGTGTGTGAGGGCCCCTTACAAATTATAAATAATCAAAAATTCGAACTCACAATACATACAAAAAATAGTGTATATATATATATATATCACATATGTCAAGAATTATATTGCTTATTGGTTGCAATCATAATTGTTCTCAACAAAGGATAGATAAATAAATTCTAAGCAAGAAAAATTGCAAGAGATAGACAAAGAGTAGCGATTTAGCAAATATCTTTAAAGCTTTTTCCCCCATTAAACCCAATAGAAAGAAAAAAAAATCAAAATTTCCCAAATTAAAAACAAACTTAGGCCCCTTCATGCATTCATATCATACATGAAAATATATTGACTAAGTATGAAAAAGGGTTTTTTGGAATAATCATTTTCTCAAGATAATTTTTGGCGGCTTTTATTCCTTACACATCAAATAAGAAAACTTGATTTTATGGTATTTTAGTATGAAGTATATATTTACTTAATGAGCCATCATTTTTAGCCTAAATCGTATTTTACACTAAAACCGATTTTTCATATTTTGATTTGGTGGGAATTTGATTTTCTAGTATTTTTATTTGAATTCAAATGAGGGGTACTTCCTTATTTACATTGTAAACTTAAGTAAATGGAGTAATATAAAAATAAATTAAAGTCAAAAGACAAAGAGATTTACTTAAATGTTGAAAATGGAAATAAGGCAATCTGTACACCTGGAGTGCACCACCACCAGCTAAGCAATAGAGCAATTTGAACTACCTCCTTGTGCCTAATTAATAAGTTCACCACAACACATGTGGGTACATATCAAAACGTAAAGAATTTGAAATAATATACATATACAAATACATAACAGTATATTACTTTTCAAATATAAAAAAACTTGAGTGGGGGCCCGGAACCACACTGGTCCCAGTGTGGCTCCGCCCCTGGTCAGCACCATACATTGTTTTATAATAAGAGGACAAGTTCGTTGATCTATCTTAAAATATAACTAATCCCACCATAAGCGTGCAACTTGACTACCTAAATAGGTTTTGGTAGAATCTCTCTGTAGCATGCATCATCGTCCTCTTCGTTTTTAGAGCTTTGCCAGTAGTCCATTCTGAATAGGTTTTCCAGTCATCCCATTGTCCTTGAGGTCCAAATCGCATGTATTCGGGGGGACATCCACCGCCGTTGAGCAATTAAAGAACCCATGTGGCTGCATTTCAAATAGTAAGGCAAATCAGAATCAGGAGGCTTTATCAAACCTAATTGTATACTTTGAGATATAGCATGGTTTTGTAAAGACAGAAAGCCTTTGATCCCATGAAGTACTGAGTTGAAATTCTACATTTGTCAACAGTGTTACTAGGTACAGTAAAATTGTTCTAGCAAAAAGGTATATAATACAAATGTAACAGTGTTTAAACACAAGTGAGGAAGAAATTGAACAAAAACAATAAATTATGTACCATGAGCGTAAAACCAATACGTTCTACAGGCATCACCGGCCAGTCTTCCAGTCGAGGAATGTGTGTCACTCCAAATACATACCTGCAACAATTGGACACTGATCAGATCCTGCATTAAGCTGGTATCCATACCAACACATAAACATGGACAGATGGACCGTAACCTCCTTTATTCACTTTCAGTTAGCTTATAAAGACCTTGTCCTAAGTTTCAAACGTGGTTATGAGGCCCATTTATACCTTCCTAGTTCTCCCATGAGTATTCTCATTGTACTGTTTTCTCATTTCAACTTAAAATTAGGATTATTGTCCCCTGTCCAGTAATATTCCTCCTCCTTTCAGAGTATAGGATGAACTCAACACGCACATTAACATCTTAGTCCTTTCAGAGAAACAAAAATCCACTCACCAAAGAACAATGTCAGCTTCTTCCAGTGACCGATTTTTCTTAACCCAAGTGGCCAATCCCTCCCCAATGCGTGGATTTTGATTAGGAAATTCTCCTCCAGGATACACTTCGTCGCGTGCATAAGATGTGACCCAAAGATTATGCTTCAAAAAAGCAGCTCTTCTCAGAAATTTTGCCTCAGAACCAGCTAGTGGTAAACAATTTGAACCAGGTACTAGCTTGTAACCTGTTAGCTGCCCAGTGCGGTTGACGTTTCTGGTGTTTCTGACCTAAAGTAAGGAAATACCATGTGGCATTCGAGAAATTAATACACGAACTTAAATTGCAAAGAGAAAAACTTAATCATTCCTAAAGCACTAAAGGGTGTTGTCTTACAATCCAATGGCGAGCAGATAAAGGATTACAATCACGCATTGCTTGCAATTCTGATTTCAGCAATTTTTCCTCAGCATAGAATGCATTGTTGTGAACATTATTCTTTCCTGGTTCTTCAACTTTAACATTTACTTCAACCACCTGAGGGAAAAAGGAAAGCAAAAGAGAAAGAAATAAGGCTACAGTTATCAACATATTCAAAGAGAAAGAAAAAGGAAAGTGAAAGGTTGACCTAGAGAGCATAATAAGAGCCTAATAATAATTAAAATTCTACTATGAAAATTTAAAATTTGAATGATACAAAAGACTGTATGCTTCTATCATTTCGTAAAGCATCGGCATCCATTTCAGCAAATGTAGGAACCTAACAACCATAGGATCATAAGAAAAACCACTGCTTCAAAATCTCACATATAACCCTAACATCAGAAAATTTTATCCCAAGAATTTCATTTGGGTTCATATAGGCTCCGAGATGATTGGGGCCTGGGGTAACCTCTGGATCTACATATGCATCAGGAGATTTTTCCACAATTACTCTATGGAAGGGGTAAAGCTGAGACACGGACTTTTTTTTTCTTTTGGGTTACAATGGCAGGGCATCGAACCCTTGACCTGGCGTAATCGTAAACCAATTTTCCACCCACCCACACCTCTTGGGTTAATCCCAAGGGCTTACAAATTTTCTTAAATAAGGCTTCAACACCCAAAGGAAGAACCACAACCCAGCTCTATTGAGTTATTTAAACCATTGACACATGAAACACGTGAAGAACAAACCATACAGGACATGAATAATGAATGATTATCATAGAAGTCTTAGGAGAACAAACATTGGAATTGGAATCACAGCAAGACAAGGCTGCTTGATCCTTCAAATCACTTGCAATGGCTATCCATATTTCTTGCTAAAGAGTTGACTTGAGAGTGAAAAGAAACTAGGATGTTACTTTTATCAATATAATAAATATTGGTAGATTCAAAACCTGATCTAACAAACTACCGGACTATAAAAAAAAGGATCCAAAGAACACATGTATGACCTGATTGAAAGTTTCACCAGGCTTACTATCAACTGCCATGTCCATACGAGCTACAAAAAAGTGTTGATGCACTGGTGCATATAGTCCAGGTGCAATAGTTGTACCATACTTTCGGGTTTCTCCTGGTTGCAGTGCACCTAAGCTTAGAATTCCTGTAAGTTTCACCTCAGCTTCAATATGCCCATCCTACAAAAGAAAATTGATAAGAATGACTGTCACTTTTGTTGCTCAACTCAAACAACAAAATCATACCCAAGAGAAAGGAAGCAGGGTAGATCAAATGGATTAGAAGCACAGAGACACTACTATGGTAAGTGAATCCATATGCTACCATCAAGATGGTGGCCCAGCCCCATCCCATCACAGTACTGGGCATCTGTATAACTTATAGGTAATAATTTATGAACATGATGACACGGGTGATTCTTCTAATCAAGGCGATACAAGCAAATCAAAATCCCCAGTGAAATCAAGGCAGAGGATAGCTTGCCTGATAAAAATGCCAGTAAAATCCGTACTCATAGTTAGCGACAGTGCAAATAAAAGATACTGTCAGCCTTCTAGATCGTCGAACTTCTGCTAAACCTGTTCTCCAATCCTGATGCTTCCATAAAATTCCATGATCCTCCTCATGCAAACAAACACAATTCTCAATTGTTTCAACACCCCCAGTGAAATTTGTAAAGTGTGCATTGAAGTACTTAATATAGCCTAAACAATCACAACCCTGCAACACCAAAATTACGTCAAAATGTGTATATAATCTAGCAAAGATAGAGATGGAAGGGAAAATGGATACAGAGAAGGTATCCCGACCTTTTTAAGAGAATGCGCATTTTTACCCAGCCCATCTTCTCCTGCATCAAATGCGTTCTTCCTGTAATGCGGAGCATTTGGATCACCATAAGGGACCACCATCTCAACAAAACTTAACCTATGGGCTACAGGCCTCCGGCCTCTGCTACCATCAATATACGCGACGGAATAGATAACCAAACCCTCCTTGGAAGTAAAACCAATACGGAAATTCCACTGCCAAGCAGAAAGAAAAAGATAATAAGAATCAATATGACATGTGGATATGAAACAATCCAATGGTGTAGTTCCCGAAAATAAGCAAGAACCTTCTGCCATTCAACAAAGTGCCCATTAACACGAAAACTTGGTCCTTCAGGCTGAATTATCTGTAGAGGTTTCACATCACTTCGATCAACACCTCCTCGTGTTTCACCTGGAGTATAATTTCTCAATGGATCAGCAGGAGGCAGGGGAACAAGTTTGCGGTCTTCAAATTCAAGAACCACCATATTTTGCATATCAACAAGCACATGGATTCCTTCAACTGGACGAGCATAACCATTTTCCATAGGGCAATCACTCTCAGTTCTACAGAAGATAAGCGGTTTCGCAAGCCTGCGGCTAGGAGCATCAGCTTCACTGTGGTATCCAGCACACCTGTTAAGAAGAGTCATACTCCACAACATTACACAAAAGCTAAACATAGAGTGAAATCATATTCTGGCAACACTTTTATTTGAGAGAATTTCACTTTAGAAACTGACCAAGGATCCACCATCACAAGGTCCATATCCTCAATACCCCTCTTCTTCATTGCTTCCCGAAATGGAGGAAAGTCCTTTACAACAGCTTCACATTCAGCATACTCCATAGCATCCTGTATTTTCAGAAACAATGATTAAAAAAATATTTTTTTCTAAAATGGGAAGCACATGCAAAAAATAATAATCGAGAAATAACAATGCAAAAGAGGCTGTATATACCATGGGAGGCTGAACATCTGGAACAACTTTGGATGAAATGACTTTACCCCTATGGTGACCACCTCGAGTTGCAGCATGAACTTCTGATAGTTCAACGATCCAGATGCTCGTCTCATTTGACTTTTTGTTATAAACCACAAGTCTTGCTTGCCTGGGAGGAAGTTTACTAGGAATCATAGGTCCACCTTTAGTTCTGGGAAGCAATGATGGCTGGAAAGGAGGGAAGAAATATGCATCTGCCAATGCAACAACGTGTTTATCTGGTTCTACCAAAGCCACTTCAACAAAGCGCATGCTATCCCTCACCTGAAGAGAAATGAAATCAATTCCTATAATCCTCAAATGAGAAAATCAAAGATCAAAATTGAATTCCTGGTAAACAGAATCCAACCCATATTTTGGGCTAAAACATAATCAATAATAGAAATGTGATTAACCTCAGGGGTTGCTCCAGCTGCCCTGACAGTGGCCACTGCCACAGAGATTTCAGCAGCAGATAAAGGCTCCAAAGGATGGCTGGTTTGAGCCCTCAACATGACTGGGATGCCTATATGAATAATTAAACAAGAATCATCAGAAACATATCTGCGACCAATGCTACCCAGAATATAAGATTGTCCATTTTTATTCTTTTCTTTTTTAATTTTATTTTTTTGAGAGGCCAAAATATGAGATTGTTAAGAAGGAAAGCCTGCTTAAATCGGTAGCATTCAATTTTGCAAAAACTGGAATAAAAAATCTTTCTTTATTTTTCCTTCAGCAGTTAGAGTAAGCAAAGACCGAAAGTAACTTTCTTTTCTAAAAAAAAAAAAAAGAAAAAAGAAAAAGTGAATTCATTAGACCAACTAGTACACGTAAATTTACTCTCATTTTATTTCATGTTCCTTAATATTCTCAGCAACCAAACAACAAAAGATAATCACTTTCTACAGTGAAAAATAAAAAAGATAATCATTTCATTGTCTTAAAATCTAGATCGTTATTTGTAAAAGTAGCAGTAAATAAATATAAAAAAATTGGACCCAAAGCAGTAAATAAAAAAGAAGGATATTCTTACGACCTTTGGTGGCAGTGGTGTTTGTAGAAGGAGCAGGAAGGGTCTCGATGGGTCGGATCAAGGTCGGCACAGCAGCTCTGTTGCGGATCGGATCCTGGGACGGATCGGAGCCCGAAACGGTCCAATCGCGCATCGGGTCGGAGGCCTTGCGAAGCAGAGCCGAGGATTTGGCGGGTGCAGCGTCCAGGCAACAAGGCGTCGCTTTTTCCTGAGTTGCGGCCATTGCGAAGGGTTATCGAGCTCACCGTATCCACCGTAGTAACTGTCACTGGAGTAGTTTTCCACTGACATACAGCAATGCCTCTCTCAGCAACAGATTGAGGGAATGAAAACGCTCTCGAACTTTCTCGCTCTTTCTCTCTCACTTTCCCGGGAAAATTGATGTCAACTAATCTGCTGCTGAATCTGATAGCTAGCTGGCTAGCTAATTAGAAGAAGGATACAAAAGAGAGAGTACAAAAGGCGGTGGGGTTGAGAAGTTTATATATTATCCTTTTTTTGCTTCTTGTTTTTTTTTTTTGCTTTTGTTTGGTAATAAACAAACAAACAAACAAGTGAACAAGGCCAGAGAGCGGAGCTGCAGAGGTTACAATAAAGACAAAGGAGGTATGGAGTGGAGCGATAGGAGCTTCCACTTGTAAGAGACGTCGTTCTGCTGATCTCTAAAATCTGTCGGCTCGTTATGGCCACGTCACTCCGCGAGCTAACTCCGTGGTGACCCGACCCGGTTTAGATTGAATTGAGTTCAAATCAAACCTCATGTGCCACACCGTATTAAATAGAATTTGTATGGCACATATTTCTTCAATTATTTCTCAATAAAATGATAACACTTGAAAGAAAAAGTGGATTTACCTTTTGGTTTTCCGATAGCTGGTTGGTGTTTTCAACCTATTGATTGAAAATTGTTGTTGAAAAACGTGTTTGGTTTCTTTGTCTTCCACATGACTTTCAATTTTTTTGTACTTTGAACAATGCAACCGAACAGAGACATCATTTTTTTTTTACAAATTTATAAATAAACCCAATCCTAGACATGTATTTATAAAAAAACTCAAGTACTATTTAAACATAGAAACACACCCAAAATTAACCCCAAAGTCAACTTTTTGGGTGTGTTTATAAATGGGTTTTGAGTATGTGTAATGATGAGTTTTGGGTGTGTTTATAAAGTGTTTTGGGTGTTGGGTTTTTTTTATAATTTCAACCTCCATTTTGGGTGTTTTAGTGAAACTCCCTTTTTTTTTCCTTCCCCTCGTTATATTTTGATCTAAGTAGTCAAATAGGCTTGTAAAGGACTTACTAGTGTAATGATTTCGAGTAATTGCTCATTCAGGAAATGTTTTGAGTTCGAGTTCTAACATTCGTGTAGTGTGTGTGAGTTTAGTATATTATTATTTCTCTCAATAAAAAATGAATAGCCAAATAGGCTTGAATGAATCTAACATATGCTTGGACCAAAAATAAAATCCTGACATATACATTCGGCTTTGATTGTTTGAAGGAGTTGGTATATATATTCATCAGCAAGTGATGAACAGTCTATTATTTTACCTAACTTCATAATAAAGACACGAGCACCAGCTCAGCTTACGTTGAGGCATCGTGAGGCAGGCCCCCTCCCTCAGCCAAACAAAACAACTCATATACAAATTAGTCTTAAATATTATTCATTGCCAACGAGGAAAAGAAAGAAGACGAGCACTCAACTTATTACACGGTGACCAAAATTGAATGTGCGTAGAATTAATGGAAAAGAAAAGGAAAGCGTGCTTATAAAAAGTTGATGGACTCATCTACGTAAATGGCAATTTCCAGCGTTGGTGGGGGTGGGTAGGGGCCGCAGACGACATGAAATGATGGAGGGTGACAATTATTTAAATTTAGATAACACCTCACAATTCCACGCACAACAGTCATCCACACGTCAACAAGTCAATCGCAATGTTCCAGCCCGCCTTTTATTTATTATTAAATTGTTTAGTTATATTAGAATAACATGCGATGCACTATTAGCTAGTGGTATAGGGCCAAATCATGGATAATAGAAAGTATATAGTACAAAATTAAAACTAAATAAAAAAAGCCGGCCAGAACTTAAGCTCCTACCACCAAATTCATTTACGTAAAGAAATATTATGTGGAATGAGTCGTTACTCCTTGTTATTTTTTATGGTTGATACGTAGACGAAAACATTTATTTAATAAGTTGTTTAAGCATACATATATATGTTTTTTTGGAGTAAGTTTAGGGATTGTTCCAGGTATTATCTACGGCTCTATTTTTATTTTTTTTAAATTTAAATTAATTGAATATTCTAAGTTGCAACTTGCATTGCAGGTATAGGCCTGTGTGTGGAGAAGATTTGGCTGATAGTCTCCAGATGATGTATCATTCTCTATAACCAGCTTAAGTAAGAAGGTTCAATAGACATAATCATACTCTTGAATTCAAATCACACTTTTGAATTCAAATATGCATATATGGTTTTCCTAGCATTGATACATAGATTTACAATATGTGATTATGTCAACTCTTAAGAGTTGCAAGTACAACAAGGAGGATTTACAATATGTGCTTCATACAAATCTTAGAGAATTATGTCTCGTAAAATGTTGACAAAATAATAAAGTGTCAATAACTGCTGAGAATATCCATATGTCTTAACTTCTCCTAAAAGTTCTAAGATGTATGTACTCATGATTATATTCAATCAAACCTCATTTACTGGAAAGAGGACTAGTATCTAATCAATCAAACCTCATTTGTTGTTCTAATTTTGAAGAAGGATGTTGAGTGAATTTTGGGGTTTTTTTTAAAAAAATTTAATTTAATTTCTTGAATATCTTAAGTTGCAACTTGCATTGCAAGTACCAGTCTGTTTGTGGAGGAGATTTGACTAGTTGTCTCCAGATGATGTTTCATTTTCTATAATTAGCTTAAGTAAGAAGGGTCAACATACACAATCATACTTTTGAATTCAAATATGCAAATATGGTTTACCTAACATTCATACATAGATTTACAATATGTGATTATGTCAACTCTTAAGAGTTGCAAATACAACAAGGAGGATTTGCAATATGTGCTTCATACAAAGAAAAGAATGATCTTGGAGAGTTATGCCTTGCTAAAGACTAACATGACAACAAAGTGTTAATAACTGCTGAAAGTATTCGTATGTTTTCACTTCTCCTTAAAGTTCTAAGATATATATACGCATGATTATATTTGTTGAGGCCCAAAAAAAACCACGACTTGGCCCAAATGAATTCTCGGCTCAACGCAATACCTTATTGAGAAAAAACCCGACTTGGAGCACACAAAAGTCCGCCATGCACGAGTCACACTCCACGCGCCATGCCAAATAAATAATCCGTCATGCTAGGAATCGAGATTAAGATTATAAAATGCATTATCTTTGCAAATCCATGCTAATTATCCCGTCAAGCATAATAATTAAAAGCATGCCAAGCGATATGCCATTCCAAGCGACATGTCATGCCAAGCAGGAAATCATTATTACACACCCAACCACGCTACAAGTCTAAGTGGGCCCAAGCCACTCGAATGCCCGGGACTTGCTTGAGTGGGTTGTGGTATGGACAGTAATGAATCAACATGAGGCCCATTAATGGGCTGAGAAATGGAAAGTCTCGGGTTGCTTGCGAGCCTCGGGACTCAAGCCCATTTCTTAGGCCCAAACATGTGGGTGAGCACAAGAGGGAAAAGAAATAGAAATAGCCTATTGACTCAACCAAAAAGCCCAATGTTTAACACACAAAAAACCCACTTGCTTAAGGAACCACCTTGGCCCATACAAAACCCCAAAATAAGCCACAAAAGCCTCAGCTCTTTGTTGGAAAAATAGAAGCCACGTAGAGAAGGTCTGCAAGTTCATTGAACAGAGCTGCTGGGAGGTTCCAGCACATGGGGGAGCAAGTTTCAAAGCCAAAACATTCAAGGAACCAAGGGGTATTAGCGTGTAAGATGCCAAAGAGAGGAACACCCTTCGAACCAGCATATATATATCCCAACTCCTTTCCCCATCAGACTTGGCCATGGAAAAAAGAGAAGAAAGCAATAAAAGAGATGGCTAGGAATGGAAGTCTCTCATTGAGACAGCTGCGAGAAAATAGGGCCTTGAGCTTCAAAAAAAACTCTGATCTGGTGCAAATAGGGATTTCATCAAAATGGGGAAAGTCAAGGAAGGAGATGAGAAAGGAGGGGAAAAGCTTGGCCAAAATGGGTAGAAGCCATTAGGGTTTCTTGGGAAGTGATGGTTTCCAGCGGCTATAAAATGAAGCCTCTCCTACCTAACAAATGGAACCCAGATTCAAAGAGCAAGCTTTCTCTCTAACTTGCAAAAACCCAACAATCTCGTGCACTGTTCACCATCTTCTCCATTCTTCTCTTCTGGCAGACAGAGTATCTGTCAAGCTGCCGGAAGAGCATTGTTCTTCATTTCTCTCTTCCTAGCAAAATCTCCCACAAATCTCTCATTTCTCACCTTAACACTTCCCTTTTTTTCCCCTAAGAAAGCCTAAATTTCCCCTCAGTGCTAAACTCATGTTGATTTTTCTTGCATGCCACATGCCTCTCATGCCAAGCTCAAAAGTTTGATTTTGCTTCCATGCCACATGCCTCTCATGCCAAGCTCAAAAGTTTATCTGTAAGCATGCAAAAATTACCTGTAAGTTGCCATTGTTTTGGCTGGTGAAGGTAACCAAAATACTTCCTAAGGCTCTGCTGCCCTTTTGAAACATTTTTGGAGCTTCATTTTCGAACTCAGACAAAAGGGACAATTTCATTAGTCTACCCTTTACGGCAACCCAGCTCATTTACAACTACCGGAAGAAAAAGTCTCATACAATATTCAATCAAACCTCATTTGCTAAAAAGAGGACTAGTATCTAATTAATCAAACCTCATTTGCTGTTCTAATTTTGGAGAATGATGTTGAGTGAATTTTTTTAATTTAAATTTATTGAATATCCTAAGTTGCAACTTGCATTGAAGGTATAAGTCTGTGTGTGGAGGAGATTTGGCTTGTTATCTCTAGATGATGTGTCATTCTCTATAATCAACTTAAGTAAGAAGGGTCAACAAACACAATCATACTCTTGAATTCAAATACACTTTTGAATTCAAATATGCAGATATGATTTTCCTAACATTTATACGTAGATTTACTAACAGGACCCGCCTCGGATTTTCCCCTTGGAATTCGTGATGGACCTTGCTTCCCGTCCGACATCTAACCAATGTCGGGCCCACTTCCTAAAAGAACCCTCTTCCTCGAAACAAAGAAGATGTATCGAGACTTTTACCGAAATTTCAACAGAGTCTCCCCTAAAAAACAAAATTTTTCCAAAATTCCAACCAGTCAAAACACAGTAAAAAGTTCCCAACTGGCAGCATGCACAAGACAAAATCATACAGTTTACAAATTAGGCATCCAACCTTATATCCAACCTAAGGAAATTCTAAGGAAATTCAGTTTACAATTGGAAACAAATGTTCAAAGGAAAGCAAAACAAATAAAAATTGCCCTACAAAAGTTCAGGGCGCAGAAGTGCGAATCTTGGCTCGGTGGCTTGACTCAGATCAAGCTACTACCTGGGGGGCGCAAAATAGAAAAATTGTGAGTGAACAAAACAAGTTTCAACATAGTTAATATCAATGTACTAACTCCACCGTTTTAGAAAATGATGCCAAAACATGCTTTCAAAACCGATATATAAATATATAGTCAAAGTAAAACCAAGGTAAAACCCATATCCTGTAATGGTATACTAATACCCAAACCCACTCAAAACTTTTCCCTTTTTCTTAAACCATTCTCACCCCAAAACATGTGCCCATTGACACAGCGAATGAGAAAGGATCCTCACCATTACCAAACTTGTATTGGGGAAACAATCCAACCGGGGGATTGTTTGACTAGACCACATGGAAGAATCCTCAATTGACCATGTGGCTAGGGAACGAGTCGTCCAACCAAGGGACTGGGTTCACCAGCACGCACAGTAGAAGCCTCAATACTCGTGCGCCTGTGACAAGTCCTATGCGCACAGACCACCCAGCTAAGGGTTTATAAAACACCCTGTCAAGAGTGCCTGGGTTCCGACATATCCAAGTATCCAAGTGTCGGAGAGGTACATAGGGTAGTGCTAAAAGCACTCCAGACTCACATAAACCACAACCCAAATCCCATTCCACAACCTCTTTCCAACAATCTCATGTACCCAACACATATTTCTAAACAACTGGACATCACTTGTGTCCAAAACACAAATCCCAAAATATACATATTCAAAGTATAGATAATAGTTCTCAAGATAACAATAAGTCAACCCACAACCTTCAAGTATCCAAAAATATTCCAATTATTCCATTAAATACCATAAAAGCAATATTAAAACAATATTGAAGTTTCAACAGTCAAAATATCCCATAGCAAAATTTTAATCAATTTTAAGCTTTCGGGCGGAAGGTAGTGTGGAGACGTAGAGAATAAACAAAATAATTATAACAAACTCAAACATAAAAACCCAAAACCAAGGATAAGAGTATAACAAAATTAAAAATGATATCATTAATATTTAGCAAACTTACATAGAAGCAGAAGTGCAGTAGTGCTTAACAGAAGCTTCGCAAAAGCAGCACTTTGGAAATAAAACACTCAAGCACGCAAACTTAAACACTCAAAAGCTTAAAATTGATTAAAATTTTGCTCTCAAGAGGTTGGGCTTGTACTTGATATCAGAGCCAAAAGTCCCTAGAAGAGTTGTTAGTCTGAAGGTTCTAACTAAGTTTTGCAGGTCTAATCTTCTGGTTTTTCTGTCAAGTTTCCTTTACTCACTAGTCGTCGAGTTATCTAGCTGTCGGATAGGCTCGTTAGCTGTTGCCAGAGAGGCGTGAGGCGTTGAGTGACCTAGGTAGGGACTAGCAATCTTGAATTAGGAGGAGAACATAAGGAAAACATAAAACCCATAATATTAAAATGGCAAGCCTTAGGAGAATCTTGTCTACCCATTCTTTTGGAGAAGCAAGCTCTAATAGCAATTTTAGCCATAGAACCCTAAGGGTTAAAAAATTCTCAAGAAATAACCATGCGGGACGTAGAAAAAGAGTTATGCAACTAGGATATACCCAGAGTACCTATCATTGATATATACTATAAAGGATCTTTCAAGTTTAGATCTGATTATGCAATAAAAACTGTTGAAAAAACGATATACATCATTGATAAAAATGATAGTTTTCAACTATTTACTCAGCATCAAATCGACAAGCATTCAGATAGAAAATATAACTATTTGCGCATAGGCTTGGTGTAGGTAGCGATGAAACCACTTACCAGAACAGGATTGCCCAGTTCAATCTTGCTATGTGTAAGAGATGGAAGACATAGAAAGTTCACAGATTCTTTGTTAATTGCTTTCCAAACTTTTTTGTTGCACTTTCTGATATAAATGTCTTAAAAGTTTTAACGTTGAATATTCAAACTCAAGGTTATGATATGGACCCAAGATCCCAAAATCTAGCAATCATTTATAGGGTTTCATATAAGGTTATGAACATTGTTTGTCCCAAAGCTAAAGATTCAGACAGTAAATGTGAAACTACCTTGTTCCAAACCAACCTTGAAAAGTCAAACATAGCAGTCCCAAAAATGATAAAGTGGAGTAATATAACTCTACCAGAAAAGTGGATTTTGGATGAAGTAGCCCCAAAAAAGCCCCTTGAAAATCAGAAGCCCATGCGGATCTCACAATTCATTGATGGAGAAGTAGAGATACAATTCTCCAGCGCCAGAAAAACTAGGATTGATCTAGCACCCTCTAAATCTAACCTAGAACCACATAGATCGAGTACCTCCTCTGATAGAGCTTACGATCTAGACCATGAAAGAATGGTTCTAGCAGGACTTAGGAGAACTCAAGAACAAATACAGAGGCCAGCCTATAGGTTTGAACAAACCATTCCAGACATAGGTTTCAGAAGGAATCCGTCTCAACCTAAACCAACCTTTTCAGATGTAGAATATAAATACGATAAAATCTCTTGAAATCGAACATGAAAAGATCAAAAGAAATTATCTAAGTATTGAAAATGTTAATAAAAGAATTTGGTTTGAAACAGTCTTCAGAAGCATAGGCAAGACCATCTCTGGAAAGCTCACACCGCCTTCATGAAAGAAAAGAAATTCAACTATTTTTTCTTTACGTGGTTAGATTGGTGTGCTAAGAGATATAAAATTCCTGAATATAAGAGTCATATAGAAATGATAGGAAGCCCATTCTTGACTTATACTTCCAAAGATGGGAAGTCAATCAAAGCCATACATCCACCCGAGATGGTGATTAAACAAAAAGATGTGATAGCAGCTCCTTACAAAGAAACCACTTTCCTTGAAGATAGTGCCAATAGCTTTCACACAGCTAGTAAAGAAGACATAGGCTAGGTCATTCAAAAGAATAACTACACCAACCTGTTTTTGCAGTCTCTAGGAAAGCAAGTTACCAAGATTGAAACATCTGTTTCTGTGAAGGAACATAAATCAGAACCATGTCCCTTATAAACTAAAAAGATTAAGGAAATGAGTCAAGCGTTCTTTAAACCACCTCCCGCCTTAGATAATAAAAACTTTAAGATGGGAAGAACATTGTCCAAAGACAAAAATTTTGTTAACGTCCTGGCAAAGAAATTATCAGGATTGAATCTGTGAGATAAAGGAAAAGGTCCTCAAGTGTCGGTTCTCACCGAAGGGGAAATAGATAACCATGAAACAATGTTTAAAGAAGAACAACCTGAAATTAATAGGTTAACAAATAAGAAGAGATTCACTCAAACTACTAAGACTAAAAACTACTACCCTAGACCCATGCCAGTAGATTTACAGTTTGAGGAAGATGGGAATATGGAATTTCTCTTAGTATGACGAAAGCTTCATAGTTGAATGGAATATTGATGGTCTAATAGAAGCGTTAGAAAGTTATATCTCGCTAGCTAAAGCAGGACCAAGTAACTTGCAGCCATCTATAACTAACGTGAGACAACCAGTTGAAAACTATAGCTTTAAAACTATAGTAAACATGGTGAATGATAAAATTCATAAAAATGAACCTACTCTCATTGACCTTCAGTGCGAAGTTCATGATGTAAAAGAAGAAATTAGGGAGTTGAAAAATAGGGTTAGAGTTCTAAAACTCTATTGTCCTTTTTCGGAAAAAGATACAAAAGAAAAATATGAGCAATTAGAGTTTGAAAATCTAATGGGAGAATTTCAAGAGAAAATAGAACATGTGAGAAGAGAAGCCCTACAAGAAGAGCAGGTTAGTACCATGAAATTCGTCAATAACTATTGTGATTAATAAAACCTATAAGTTTACAGTTGAAGGGCAAATAGACACAGGAGCCGATCTTAACTGCATAAATGAAGGAGTGGTACCCACTAGGTATTTTCATAAAACTACCCATGTTCTACATACAGCCGTTAATAGATAAAAAATGGGAATTCAGTTTAAATTATCTAACACTGCTGTGATTAATCAGGGTATTTGTTTAGAAACCTCTTTTGTTTTGGTGAAAGGTTTAAACCAGTCTCTAATATTAGGAACACCATTCATTAATATGCTTTATCCTTTCTCTATTTCTGAAGAAGGAATTAGAAGTGATGTTGAAGGTCAACCTATAATCTTTAGGTTTTCTCAACCACTAAAGCATAAGTACATTAATGAAATCCAAGAAAAAATAAAAAGGAAAGAAAATTATCTATATCATTTGAAAGAAGAAATGCATCACAAAAGAATAGAGGAGCAACTGCAAAATAATAAGATAAAAGAAAGAATTGATGAAGTCCAGAAGATGTTCGAAAATCAAGTTTGTGCTGAAATACCCAACGCCTTTTGGAATAGAAAGAGGCACATAATTGAATTGCCATATGAGCCTAATTTTGACAAAAAGAAAGTCCCAACCAAAGCCAGGCCAATTCAAATGAATGCTAGGTTAATGGAAATTTGTAAATCTGAAATACAAGATTTACTTAACAAAAAGTTAATCAGGAAAAGCTCATCTCCTTGGAGCTGTCCCGCCTTTTATGTTGGAAACGCGACTGAATTGGAAAGAGGAGTACCCAAATTGGTGATAAACTATAAACCTCTCAATAAAGCCTTAAAATGGGTCAGATACTCGATTCCTAATAAAAAGGATATCTTGGATAGATTAAATAAGGCAGCCATCTTTTCTAAATTTGATATGAAATCAAGATATTGGCAAATCTAGATTGCCAAAAAGGATAGTACAAAACATCCTTTAATGTCCCTTTTGGACATTACGAATGGAATGTTCTACCTTTTGGATTGAAAAATGCCCCTTATGAATTTCAAAATATTATGAAAGGTATATTTAAACATCTAATTCTTTAGAACAACACTCTAAACATCTAAATATTTTCTTGAAAGTTGTAAAGCATGCAGGATTAGTGGTGTCGAGAAAGAAAATGAAATTATCTTATTCAAAAATTCGCTTTTTGGGAAATAATGTTAATAAGGGACTGATAGTTCCGATTGATCGAGCATTATCCTTTTCTGATAAGTTCCCTGATGAAATTGGGGACAACAACAATTACAAAGGTTCTTAGGAAGTCTCAATTACATAAAGGATTTTTATAAGGATTTAGCCCAAGACTCAAAACTGTTATACCAAAGGTTGAAAAAGAACCCGGTTCCTCATCTGATGAACACACTGAACCTGTTAGGAGACTGAAAGTCAAAGTCAAAGAACTTTATTGTTGAGCTCTAGCCAACCCAAAAGCCTTTAAAATCGTAGAAACCGATGCTTTAGAAATTGGATATGGGGGCATCCTAAAACAAAAAGTCGGTAACTCATAACAATTGGTTAGATTTACCTCTGGAATTTGGAAACTAGCTCAAAAAAATTATTCCACTGTTAAGAAAGAAATGCTAGTCATTGTCCATGCTGTTTCTAAATTCGAAAGTGATCTTTTAAATAAATGATTTTAAATAAGAGTGGATTGCAAGGCTACAAAAGACATTTTGTTTAAATATGTAAAAATTTAGCAACAAAACAGATTTTTGCAAGATGGCAAGGAATTCTTTCAGCTTTCGATTTTGATATTGAATTTATTAAAGGTGAAACTAATGTACTCCTAGACTTCTTAACTCAGGAATTCTTGCAAGGTGCGAACCATAAGCTTCAGACAGATGACTCTCAGTAAGAGTCCCATAGCTCTTACTAAGTCATGCCATCTTGATCCAAAGCCACTGATGTCTTCTTCTCCATATAATAAGGGTAAGGAAAAGCAGATTGCTGAAAATCCCTTCCGTGAATATATGAATATGTCTGTAGCAATCATTGAAATGAATGATCTAGACAAACACCCGAATTTTCTAACTAAAAAATATTTAAGGGATAACCTTCCTCCCTTAAACAAGCCTCGTATTTTCTATGAAACTTTTCTGATTAAGACCAAGTCTGTTAATATTGTCCATCATCATAGGGGTGAAAATACCAACACGATCGCATTCACTAAAATCCAAATTCTAAATGTCATCTCCATAGAAGAGTGGGGTCCTAGCCCTGAAAGGGCTAGAAGATTTATCCATCCTGAAATGAGGCCGTATTCTTATAATTTCTGGGATTATAAAAATACAAATTTATAAATAAACTCAATTCTAGACATGTATTTATAAAAAAAACCCAAACACTATTTAAACATAGAAACACACCCAAAATCAACAATTGTATATTTTTTTGGTGTGTTTATAAATGGGTTTTGAGTGTGTGTAATGATGGATTTTGGGTGTGTTTATAAAGTGTTTTGGATGTTGGGTTTTTTTATAATTTCAGCCCCCATTTTGGGTGTTTTAGTGAAACTCCCAAAAATACTTATAAAAAAGCATGGGAATATGTCTTATGTTTAAATAATCAGAATTATTCTCATTCTTGATTTATCCAGTTGAAGCTTCGAGCTTTGAAAGAACTCCCTAATTGGTTCAAGAGCTTTTTCCTTATCTAGGGTCCTACTTTGGAATGCCTTCCTCCTAAAATTAAGGAATATTTTCTAATGAAATTTTGTAAGTGGAATAAAAACCATCCTGATGAAAGGACCTTATTCATGTGGTTCATGATAATGTATGAACTACCATGGATACTGAAATGGGAATATGTTATTTTGGAAGATGTTGATGAGGAATGGACTTATATCCCTAATTTAGTTCGAAGTATCTAAATCTGATGGTGAGATAAATTCACTAAAGATCACTTGGCCCCCACCAAGATCACCCCGACGCTCATCCCATCTTTTGACCATGTTGCTGCTCAACCTTTGGCCACTTCTTCTACTAGTTTAAGTGTCTCTCAAACGTTACAACTGTTGATAGACCAGCCAGACTCAACTTCATCAAAAGAAGACTTGAAAAAGAAAGATCTCGAGATCCTTGATCTAGATGACGAATCCATGGCATCAGCATCTGCCGCTCAGCCAGAAGATGAGGTGCACCCGTTTGCTAACGAAGATATGCTAGACAATTGTCATCCAAATCTTTATGGTGGGCCTCAGTAATATTCTATCTGATAAGAAGACAATTTGTACTTATTGTAATTTTACGTTGCAACATTTTTCTGTTGCTTTAACTTTACTTTTCCTCTAGTTAAAGCAAGATGCTCCTGGTCTAACCCTACTTTCACTTTACTTTTGTAAAAGTTTGCTTTTTCTGGTTGTTTGTGTGAAAGTTCAGCAAGAATCATCAAAGTGAAGATGCCGCTCTACTGTAGGCTGCTTTGTGACTTCATGTCTCTGATTGACACGTCGACAACCCCGAGGCTTTAAATTGAGGACTTCTCCTTAGTTGCAGATCATCGAAAAATATCGCATCAGAAATAAAAACTTTGTATTTTGAGTGTTTAAGTTTGAGTGCTTGAGTGTTTTATTTCCAAAGTGCTGCTTCTACGAAGCTTTTGTTAAGCACTACTGCCCTTCTGCTTCTATGTAAGTTTGCTAAATATTAATAATATCGTTTTTAATTTTGTTATACTCTTATCCTTGGTTTTGGCTTTGTATGTTTGAGTTTCTTATAATTATTTTGTTTATTCTCTACGTCTCCACACTACCTTCCGCATGAAAGCTTAAAATTGACTAAAATTTTCCTCTTAAGAGGCTGGGCCAGTACTTGGTATCAGAGCTTCAAGTCCCTAGAAGAGTTGTTACTCTGAAGGTTCTAACTAAGTTTTATAGGTCTAATATTCTAGTTTTTCTGTCAAGTTTCCTTTACTCACTAGTCATCAAGTTGTCTAACTGTCGGATAGGCTCGTTAGCCATTGCCAGAGAGGCATGAGGCGTTGAGAGACCTAGGTAGGGACTAGCAACCTTGAATTAGGAGGAGAACATAAGGAAAGCATAAAACCCAGAATATTAAAATGGCAAGCCTTATGAGAATCTTGTCTACCCGTTCTTCTGGAAAAGCAAGCTCTAGTAGCTAGGGATGGCATCGGGTCGGGTAGGGGCCGGGTATAACAATACCATCCCCGTCCCCGTTCTCCATCCCCGCCCCTATCTCTAAACCCAGCCCCATTTAATAGGTTTCGGGGAATCCCCGTCCCCATCCCCGTCGGGGGATTATCCCTCATACTCGCCCTAAATCCTCGATTTTTATTTATTTTTGCATAAAAATATTTATAATACATTTTAACATTAAGTTTCATATTAAATTATCATTCAACACATCCAAATTAACTATAAAGTTCTACTCAACTATTCAAAATCACATCAACATGAAATTCCAAAATTAGGAAGGATTAGGAGAGGGAGGTTAACTTAGGGTTAAACATAAATATTTTATTTATTTATTTGTTTATTTATTTAAATATAAACATATATATTTTCAGATCGGGTTCGGGGATGGGGATGCCAATACCATCCCCTCCCCATACCCGTCGGGGATCCCCGTACCCGATACCCATTTGGCCCCGAACTTTCCCCCCGTTCGGGGACCCAACGAGGACCAGCCCCCACGGGAATTTTTGTCATCCCTACTAGTAGCAATTCTAGCCATAGAACCCTAAGGGTCAAAAACTCTCAAGAAATAACCATGAGAGACGTAGAAAAGGAGTTATGCAACTGGGATATACCCAGAGTACCCATCACTAATATATACTATAAAGGATCTTTCAAGTTTAGATTATAGCTTTCCACCTTTGGAAATAATGATTATTTCAAAACAAAGTCCACTCACATAAAGTCCAAAGCTGCGTGACCCTGAGAGGGTCCTGCTTGCTGAGCACGCTGAGCCTAAGTACCTCACTCCTCTGAATTGGTCTGAAATCCTCAATTCACCTCCCAAGGAGAACAACTGCCAAAACAGCACTTTGAAACAAAGAAGCTTGTCTCAGTTTGTACCACTTCCGACAGGGCTAAACTTGCTGGATGACTTCGAAATTTGGATATGTTGTAGATTACAGAATTCTAAACAACTTTCGTTGAGGAACCTTTCTCATTTGGGCAAGGGAAATCGACATGCAAGACAGAATCCGAGCCTTGAACATGATTTGAGGTAGATAGACATCTCCAATTGCCTTGAATTTTGGATATGTCATAGTTCTTTAACAGAGGAACAAGTTTGATGAAGACTACTTCACCAAAAGAACAGTGGAAAATAGACATGCAAGGCCAAACCCGAGCCTTACGCAGAGAATTAGGTTGTGACGAACAGCTTGTACTCAAACTGCGTTTGAGGTAACTAAACTTCCACGATTGGGCTCAATTTTTGATATGTTCTAGTAGACAGGCAGATGAACAAGTCTGAAGAAAGAAATATTTCGTTTTGAGCTGAGGTGATATGGGTTTCGAAGCAGTCAACAAGACTGATGTGATCAGCTTTGAAGAGAATGATGGTGAAACTTGTGTTGTGTGAGAGTTATCAATGGTCAGACTTGGGAAGAGGAGGGAATAAGAATATTGTAGAAGTAACAATCTGACCATGCGTGGGAAATGTAATAAGCAGGCGTGGGGAGGTCTGACTTTGGGGTTTTTTAAATTTTGACTTCTTTAAATTTACGATTATGCTATTGCACTTCCGTAGATGACAACTTTCTCGTTAAAACTCCGATTTGAGCCCACTACGTGTCTACGAACTCGTGAGAACGAGCTTTATGCAATAGTGTAACTCTAACTCCTAAAACTATTTCAAACAAAAAGTGACTAAAGTAGCCCCTACTCCCAAGGGCACACATTTTAAAAGGTGGATCCTCCTACATATGCCATGTCAGTAATTAACAGAAATTATAATAGTGAGACTAACAGTGGAACTAAATTGCAAAAAATTGAAAAGCTTAGGGTATGTTCGTTGAAATTGAGAGTACAAAGACAAACATGCCTTACGGATAAGAGTTTAAGGTACTAAATTGAAATTAACCCTTAAATAAACATTTGAAAATAAAAACGAAGTATGCTTCCCTAAAAATACAATTTTTTGGTTCCAAAAATAAGTTTTACAATAAAACCTCTCTCTCTCTCTCTCTGACCCAAAACCCAGCCTCCTCCCTTGGCCAAAACAACAGCCTCCATCCCTACCCAATCATCACCATCTCTCTCCAATCCAAAACCGCACCATGCACTGTATCTCTCGCTCTCTCTCCTCCTTCGATTCCATACCCAAAAACTCATCCCCCCCTTCCCTCACTGAGAAAAGAGTAAACATAATTTATTTATTTTTTTCAACTGACGTTAATTTTGTGGAAGATGTTAATTCTCCCTTAATTTTTTTGTTTAAAAGTGGAAATAAAAGTTAGTTTGTCCAATGCATTTAATAAGGGTAAATTTGGGAAATAAAAGATACATTCTAATGTATTAATGATATTGTTTTATGTGTAGAGAAAGTGGAATAGAAAAAGTTCAAAAGAAAAAGTTAGAGAGAATGTTGCTAGCGTTAATACAAGCAGCAAAATCCATATTAATACCAAAGAATAATATCATTGTAAGAACTCTATTTATTGCCTTTATACCTTGTAAAACAAAGTCAGTAGTTAAGAAACTAAATAGTGAGATATCAAGATTATACAAAGACGTTGTTTTAATTAAGAATTTGTTGTATCGGCTGTATCTGAAGGCAGTCACACGCAGTTGATACTAGCTATTGGGTTGATAAGGGCCATATGTAGGAGGGCTGGGGATGAAGTGATACGGCTGATGTATTCCAGAATGCGGCATTGCACCATTTGCGTAATTGTTGGCATACATACCAAACTGCCCAGGGTGTCCCCAATTAGCACCAATTCCATATTGGTTGGCCGCAGCCATACCAAACTGCCAAATTGGCATACCAAACTGCCCAGGGTGTCTATAATTCTCATGCTGCGAAGTTGGCAAACTTGTATGCTGATGATAGTAGTCAGGAGTGGAAGTTGGCATTCGATATGGTGTAGCAGCTGATCCTGATGTTCGTTGGAATTTATTTGGATGTTGTTGCTGTTGCTGTTGTTGTTGATGTTGTTGTTGTTGTTGCTGTTGCTGTTGATGCAGTTGATCCCATGTGCGCTTTTGTTGTTCAACCTCGGAGGCAAGAGGATTCTTCTGCTCTTGTTGTTCAACCTTGGAGGCAGGAGGATTTTTCTGCTCTTGTTGCTCAACATTGGAGGGAAGAGATTTCTTCTGCTCTTGTTGTTCAATCTTGGAGGCAGGAGAATTTTTCTGCTCTTGTTGCTCAACATTGGAGGGAAGAGATTTCTTCTGCTCTTGTTCAATCTTGGAGGCTGGAGAATTTTTATGCTCTTGTTGCTCAACATTGGAGGGAAGAGATTTCTTCTGCTCTTGTTGCCCAACTTTGCAAGCAAGAGATGTTGCTGAACGTCTTCTTCGATCCTCCTTTATTTTCTCAAGCACTGCTATTTGTATTTCAATGTTCCCGGATGGGTATTCAGACTCGAGCTTGCAATCTTTGATGCACTGAATCACAGCTCTTAAATCAGCAATATCATTATCTAAAACCTTATCCTTTCTATCTAGTGAGTTCTTTCTCTTGCAAATTTTACACCTCCAGTTCTTTCTGTTCTCCACATACTTCTCCAAGAGTGGTACTGGGGGGAAAATGTCAATGAACTTGAAGGTGCAAATCAACCTTACAGCCTCAAGCAGTTTCCTCCTTTCAATAAGATTCATAATAAAATGTGCAGGGATCTTATTAGTAAACCTGAGTTTCTGACATAATTCTCGAGTCTGTTTATCCTGAGAAATTCTCCCAAGAAGCGGTGCAATATCATCTCTAGTAAAGGTAGAAAACAACCCATATGTAGCAATAAACTTCAAAAAACCCAAACGTTCCAACGAATTTTGAGTATCAGCTCCCATTTTTGCTTTCCACTGGATTGCTAGCTTTTCCGCATCGTCCTTCACATGAAGTCCTACATGCAGTGAGACACCCATTAGCTGCTCCAACAGGTTAATGTAACTCAACATGACAGTTTCTTTAGAAGGAACATCTCCGTCTCCCCAGTATTGAGCAAAGGAATTCTGCATCACATCCAACACAAATTTTGCTGGGTCCAATGACGTCTGAAGAGCAGCCAAAGTTTCATTCTGTATTAAATGATTCCCTCTCGCAAGCTCATGTAGAAACCCCTGCAAATTCCTTGCATCTGTGGTAGCAGTTAGTTGAAGATTCGGAGAAGAAACAGCTGCTGCATTTTTGGCCAGTGAAGATTCTGGTTTCTCAGGGGAACAAATGATGATGGCAGACGCATTTTCTGTGCTACCAAGAGCTTGGGATAATTCAGTTGCCTGTTCATACTCAGCAACTAATGCAATAAGACTTCGAAGCTCCTTCTCATCATAAGAAGACGTGATTTCATACGTAGTAACAAGCCTCAAAAAACCCAAAATCTCCAACCAATTCTCTGTTGCCACCGTCATTTTATCCTTCCAGTCATCCGCCAACTTAATTGCTTCTTCTCTCACATGAGGATTAATTTGCGGTGAGACTTTCCTTAAAGCCTCTAACAAAAGAATACAACTCCTCCTAATAACTCCCAAATCAAAATCACATTCCCTGTTGCCTAGAGTCGAATTTGAGGGGTAAAACCCTTGCATTGCATCCAAAACCAATTTTTCTTGGTCCAATGAGGCCTCAAGAACAGCTGAGATTTCACTACCCACTAAAGCAATTCTCTTCAACTGCTCATTCACGAACAACTGCAAGCCTCTACCATCCCTATTGATGCTGGATTGATTACTTGCAGAAGAAGGAACAAAGGCATTGTTGGAAGGGATATGTTCCAGTTGCTCAATCTTCACTTGAGAATGAAGGGTATTAGTTTTCTCTTTCGATTTCAGGTTTTGGGAGTATTCTTCAGTGGATTTGTTTATCGAATCAAATTCTTTCTGCTTCAGTTCAAGCTCTTTGGCCAGGTCTTCAAGTTGCCTCTCTTTCAATTTCAGGTTTTGGGTCTGTTCTTCACTGCATTTGTTTATCGAATCAAATTCTTTCTGCTTCAGTTCAAGCTCTTTGGCCTGGTCTTCAAGTTGCCTCTCTTTCAATATCAGGTTTTGGGTGTGCTCTTCAGTGGATTTTTTGATCGAATGAACTTCTTTCTGCTTCAATGCAAGCTCTTTGGCCTGGTCTTGAAGTTTACACTCTTTCATTTGAAGTCCCTCAGACATTTTATCCAAGTGCTTCTCGCCATCTCGTATCGATTTTTGCAGTTGATCCAAATTCTTTTCTTTCAACTTAACCTCATTGAGGCGTTCACTGACCCTCTTGTCAATCAATTCAAGTTCCCTCGCTTTGCATTGAAGCTTACAAGACCGCTCCTCCATTGATTTCTTAAGCAAACCAAAATCTCTCTCTTTCAAATCTATTTCCCCAATCATTTTCTCTTTCGATTCAAGTGTATTAGAGCACTCCACTAACGATTTCTGAAGCAACCTAAGTTTCTCCTCTTTCAATATCAACTCCTTGTCACATTCCTCAATCGATCTTTTCGTTGCTTCAATTAGCTCTTGTTTCAAATCAAACTCTTTCTTGTGCTTCTCAATCGACCCAAGAATCTCATTCAATTGCCTCTTTTTCAACTCAATGTACGCAACGTACTTGTTCAATGCTTCTTGAAACCCTTTCACTTCCCCCTCCTTAGACTCGGCCAATTTCGACTTCTCTTCCACGATTTTCTCAACCCAATTCAATTTCTTCGTCCTCTCTTTAACACGCTTGTCAATCGAATAAAACTCCATCTCCTTCTCTCTAACATACTTCTCAACTTCCATCAACAGCTTCTCCTGAACAAGAACCTCATCGCTGTGTTCTTCAATCAATGACAAAAGCGAATGCACGTTGTTCTTACTAAGGCCGCGCAACTCGCCGGCCTTCGCCTCCATCTCGGAGTGAAAGTTTCAATCTTTGGGTTCCGATTTGCTCTCTCGGACTCCGATATCCTCCTGCCGGGCCTCGAGTTCTCGGAAGCAGGCCTCTAGCGAGTTCCGAGTCGACTCAAAGTGGTCCTCAAGGTCCTTCCACTGCACCGTAAAGATGACGAAGGAATTAGCTTGCGCATGTACGCTATCGTACGCCCTGGCCACGCTCCTCTGCTTCAACTCGAGCTCTTTCAAATCCGACTCTATCTTCTCCATTGTCTCTGCCGCTCCGCTATTTGTACGGACGCCGTGGTGGTGGAGATTCTGGAAGTGGCGAAGAAAATAAGAAAAGCCGCGGCGGCGAAACCGCAAAACAATGTATGAGAATAGAAAAGAAGAAAGAAGAGAGTTTGCTCTGTGTAGCTCGTGGCTTCTCTGGATTTTATAGCGCACGCAAAGAAAAGGAAACCTGTTGTTGTTTTTGTTTCCTTAAGGAAAGAGGAGTGTTTTGTTCAAGCCTAAAGAAAAGAGGAGAGTTTTGTTTCCCAAACAACGCGGGTGTCATAAGCCAAGCCAACAAACTTTTAGCCGGTCCATCCCATATAAGTTTTTGATGACAAACGAATAGGAATAGGCTTCGCAAACAAATTTTAATGAGCCGGCCCACAAACGTATGTTGGGCTCAAAGTGAGGTTCCGACTCAGTCCATTGGTAATCCATTGTTGATGGTCTAAGAAATTGCGGCTTCAGCGTTGGTATCGAATTTGGCCTCCGATTTGATACATATGATATGACGTTAATGGTCAACTCAACTCAACTACCATTCTTGAGAAAGAAAAAACTAAAGTAGAAACAACGACAGCGATACTATGGGTTGACTGGTAGCATCCAGATTAAAAAAAGAATGAAAGGAAGCTTTTGAATCCTTTCTCCTTGCCTTATTGTCTATCTACCGATAAATATATTAATACATATTATATATTTGATGTTGATGTCGCTGCTGCAGGCACATTATATTTTAATGAATTTTTTAAGCATCTCGTCTCGTCTTGCGCCCTTGTCTAGTACACATACATGACGAGATGCTCCAAAATTCCTAATATAATGAAGAATTAAATATTGAATTTAATTACAATGCATGCACAACGTCAAGTTGTCGGCATAGCTATTACGCAAATGTAAGCACATTATTGTATTATTTTCCTTATGAAATAAATAATACAGTATTGTGCTTACATTCCCTAGGAAAAAGGGAATCCAACACAATCAATCATCATATTTGACTGTAAAGTATACACAACAACAACAACAACAACAACAAAGACTTCCATGAGACGGTGAGATAGCAAAATAACTCTATGATATGCATGATAATATTTTCGCGTAATATATTATTATTGATTTGATTTTATCCAAAAACAAGCAGCTATGTTGAGTTGGAAGGCTGTATAATATATATCCAAAAATATATAAGATGGGGTTGGGGGGTGGCATATACATATAACGTGGAGAGAAGAGCAAGCACCACGATCTCATGAAATTATAATTTTCATGCATATATATTTATGTCACTCATCATCTTCTTGATCTTGGACGTATATATATTCCGTATAAAAAATAAAAATAATTGTTAGTAAAGCCAAGATTGGCGCAGGTTTCAATACTTGTATGTTGCTGCTGCTGCATGTGGTCGGGTAATGAATAATTATGATCGGCTAAATTCATCCATTCCAATTTTACTAAAGATCCACGCCACACAGACACACACAGTTGAAACAGCAACCCATTGGTTTTTCTCTTGAGGCAAACAGCAAACTATTCGTCTCAGTCTGCCAAAGTGTATCTCCTCAATAGATTTTGGTCTGCTATATATATTTTTATACATATATACAGAAAACTTTGACTATAGAAAAAATAAATGTGTCTTTTTCTCACTGAACATAAACAAAGGAAGACTGTAAGGTATACCAAACAAAATCTCCATATATAATCACAACCTCCTCTCACACCTAAGTAAAGGGCGAGGTATAACTTGATTTAGGCCATACTCATAATCACAACCTCCTCACACGGTCTAAGTAAGTTAATTAGTAATATAATTAATTTAAAAAAAACTCCAAAACGGACCGCTGAGCACATATGAGCCACTTGATGCAAATTCCATGCAGTTGGATTCCATCGCCGTTATACAAGTCCCGTTTTTATTCTCTCGCCACCTAAGAATTTAACCAAACGCACAACACACACCACAATAACTCTCTCTCTCTCTCTCTCTCTCTCTCTCGAGTCTTCCTCATCTATGGAGGATAAGAAGCAGCCACTTCTGTCGCCGAGAGACGAGTTTGGTGATGCTGATCGTGATCAGCTACATGACCACCTAGAGTCCTTCCCTCCAACCGCACACCCTTCTTTCATTTCCAACGCCTCCTTCGCTCCCGATGCCGACGACATCTCTCCCATCCTCGGCTTCCGCGACTTCTTCCGCGAGTTCTACAAAGAAACCAAGAAGCTGTGGTACCTCGCTGGCCCCGCAATCTTCACCTCCCTCTGCCAGTACTCCCTCGGTGCCGTCACCCAAGTCTTCGCCGGCCAGGTCGGTACCTTAGAGCTCGCAGCCGTCTCCATTGAAAACTCCGTCATCGCCGGGTTCTCCTTCGGCGTAATGGTACGTAACCCTCCCTTTCTACTAACTCACTGTCAGTTTGTCACTGACGAAATGAGAAATACTATTAAAGCCGCAGTTTCTGATATAAAATTAAATTTTGAATAATTTAAGCTTGGAATGGGGAGTGCGCTGGAGACGCTGTGCGGGCAAGCTTTCGGGGCGGGACAGCTGGACATGTTAGGGATATATATGCAGAGGTCATGGGTGATCCTGAACACGACGGGCGTGGTCTTGTGCTTTCTATACATCTTCGCCCAACAGCTGCTCCGGCTGATAGGGCAGACCGCTGACATATCGAAGGCGGCGGGAGTGTTCGCCATCTGGATGATACCGCAGCTGTTCGCGTACTCCATGAATTTCCCGATAGCTAAGTTCCTGCAGGCGCAGAGCAAGATCATGGTGATGGCGGCCATAGCCGCGGCGGTTCTGGTTCTGCACACGGTGTTCAGCTGGCTGTTGATGCTGAAGCTCGGGTGGGGCCTGGTGGGTGGGGCCGTGGTGTTGAACGTGTCTTGGTGGCTCATCGTGTTGGCACAGTTGGTTTACATCTTTTCAGGGACTTGTGGTCGAGCTTGGGTTGGGTTCTCGTGGAAGGCCTTTCAGAATCTTTGGAGTTTTGTGAAGCTGTCTCTCGCATCTGCAATCATGCTCTGGTAACTTAACGCCACTTTCACCACTTTTTATTTATTAATTAATTTTACAGCAACATAATTAAATAACTTTTCTTTTTATTTTCTTTATCAGCATGAAACACATGAAACATCAAATTACATTGCTTGTCCTATTTCGACAAGCAAACTAAAGTAACCGAAAAATTCCCCCGTTTCGACAAAAAAGAAAAGTAACCGAAAAGGGAAAATTAAAACAGGTTATAATTAACTCTACTTTGCTTGTCCTGCATGTAATTCCCTAAAAACAACAAATTTACATTGTCATACACAATCCACAATCCCGATAGCTAAGCCACGTCTGGAAAAAAAAACCTTTTTATTTACCCAACAACAACAAACATAAAGAGAGTGGTGTCTGGGTTTTATGTTAATTTTCTACATGGGTCCCATGTCCACGTCAGATATTTAATTTTGACTTCTTTTTTAACCAAACGAAGAGAGTTTTATTAAAGACGAATAACAAGGTTTACATCACTATCTAAAATATCAAAGATCCATTCAGGCCACACTTAGTCCCAAACGTGATTACCGCCTACTCTAGACACAAAGGCCGCAACCCCATGTCCACGTCGTATATTTAATTTTGACTTTTTTCTTGATCCGCTACATTGCGTGCTTTGAATTTATTATGCCCTTTGCCTTTCGGCATCAACAACGAGTTGCCTCAAGCTACATCATTCTCTGACCCACCTCCAGTCCCACCCTCATCTCCTGAGACAATTAATGTTTAATGATTTGCGTAAAGTTTTTACTCTTAGATCTGTTGCTGTTTAGTGTTTGTGTTGGGGTTTAGCCCTCCTTGCTATATTCATAAATTAATAGATCCCACATGAGTATTTGGCAATACAAGTTCATTTGATTTGATCTTTGTTTAAATTTGGTGCAGTTTGGAAGTGTGGTATTTTATGGCACTAATTCTATTTGCGGGGTATCTAAAGAATGCAGAAGTTTCCGTGGATGGCCTCTCCATATGGTCAGTGCTTCTTTCTTCGTTCATTAATTAAGAAATCGTATCCATTGGAATATGATGGAAGTTGGAACCACCAACAAAAAGTCCCAATTAATTAGGGCCCACATTATATATTAATATTTATTATCGTTACATCAACTTTTTGTCTCTTACGCAAGTCTATTTGTGTGATAATGTTGCCCATACATTTTGCCCCACTGCGAGGTGCATATGAAGAAAAGTCGACAAACACTTTTTTGCTTTTTACACTTCTGGTGTCACGAAGATGATGAATTATAATTGAGCAACATGTCAATTATTATTTCTATTGTCATTATTTTCTTGTGGTATATATTTGCTTTGCAGCATGAACATATTGGGATGGACGGTGATGATTGCTATGGGCATGAACGCAGCAATCAGGTCAGTGCCAAAGCCTTACAAATACATACCCAAGTCCCTAAACTTCACAACTCATAAAAATGTCAATTCTGATTGAAATCAAATACTTTTGTGTGTAGTGTGAGAGTTTCGAATGAACTAGGAGCAGCTCACCCAAGAACAGCAAAGTTCTCATTAGTGGTGGCCGTAGTGACTTCTTTTTTCATTGGCGTTCTCCTCTCGCTCATCCTCATCATCTTCAGAGACCAGTACCCCGCCTTGTTTTCGAGCGACTCGGAGGTTAAGGCTCTCGTGAAGCAGCTCACACCATTGCTAGCAACCTGCATTGTCATAAACAACATCCAGCCTGTTCTCTCTGGGGTAGCCATTGGAGCTGGATGGCAAGCTGCAGTGGCTTATGTGAACATAGCTTGTTACTATGTAATTGGGGTTCCCTTGGGCCTAATTATGGGTTACAAGCTTGACTGGGGTGTTAAGGTGAGTTCTTAATAAGCCCTCTTCCAGCTTTCGATCTATTATTTCTTAGTTATATATTAGTCAATTGGCAAAATATAATTAAACACTTCATTCCCATTTTCAGGGCATTTGGATTGGGATGCTGATGGGGACAGTCCTTCAGACTTGCGTCCTATTCGTGATGATTTATAAAACCAACTGGAACAAGGAGGTAAGGGCCTTTCAATTTACAGATCTTCACCGTAGTGAACAGGACTTCGTGTCGTATTTTCTAATGTGTGAATTATAATACACTGTAAACTGAGACGTAATCTGTCATGAAACGCAGGCTTCCATAGCTGAAGATAGGATAAGGAAATGGGGAGGGCATATCGATACAGATGACAAACAGAACAAGGGTGGAAACAAAGTAGAAATTTGAACCTCGAGATTAAACAGAGTGCAGAGGTTGGCAAAATTTAATTACGAAGGAGGACAGTCATATCCAGAAATATGGCTCCACCGGAATGCCATTTTCATTTCAGTGTAAGGATCAATCTTCTGCAACAATTGGCAGCTTCGTCCTTCACTGGAGATTTTGAGTTATAATAAATTTGAGTACCGGATCGGCCTGACCTATGTGGATGGGCCAGAAGATCAGTGGCAGGGGAAGAGATGATAGTGTAATTGCAATATGATAATGACATTCATAGTTGAATCCATTCATATATGATCGTTTTTAGAGTCTATTCCCATTTTCGTTGCTAAAGAAAACACAGATAAAGAAGGAAATGAAACTATCGACGACCCATATCAAAAAGCAGCATATAGAAACTGCTTCTGAAACGCCATATGAAATATGGTTTTATAAAAACAACATACAAACAGCAGAAGCCGCTGTCCCCAAAATTTAAGATGGTTCATCAGCACACAACCCAAAAACCTTGCCAAAATCCACCTAATAATGAAGGCAGCACATTACTCTAGAACCCTTCCAACCAATTTGTAACCAATACAATGTCATATACATGTAAAGCCTAAGAAAATTCACAAATGCAGATTAAGACCATCCAATAAATGATTGAACTGCTAAACAACAAATGATTGAACTGCTAGCAAGTTCGATTTGACTTCCCTCTTGCTTTCGAAACCCTTAAACAAATTAATAAATAATACCAACACATGAAAAATGCAATAGCAAGCACAGGTTAAGAACATACACTAACCACAACAATGGTGGAATTGATCACAAGTTGGATAAAATTTACCAAAACTTGCACATAGCCACAACCCCAGAAGCACTCAAGTCTAACTAAGTGTGTATATGACTAGCAATAAAGTTGAGGATGTTCAACACCACAGGTATATAAACGAAATGAAACGAATCGCATATTTGCAAATACCTTGATCCATGAGATCGATACAAAATCCAAACATTCACAACAAGATAAACAGATTTTAGCTCAGTGCGACCAATGCCACATTATGCTTTTCACATCATATAATCACAACACACAAAAATGTATTAAGCAGCGCGAACAAAAATCTACCAATACCAAAAATGAAACAAACCCACAATCATATCAAAAGCATATATGAAGCAAAGCCCATTCATCTGAAAACAAGCATTAATTAAATATCCGCTAGATAAACTTTCAAAATATAACATAAATGTAGCCCAAGAGTCTAAACCAGAATTTAAAAGCAAAAAAACAGCAACTGAATACAAAACCCTAACAGACAAAAATCCAAAATCAACCCAAACCTAAGCTGTGAGCACAACAGCACCACCAGCTTCCTTGATCTTCTTCTCAGCTGTCTTGGAGATGAGCTTGGCCTTGACCACAACGGGCTGGTTCTGCGGCAAAGCGCCCTTTCCCAAGACCTTGAAGAAGCCGTACTGGGTGACGTCGATCAACGGCGCGCTGTCCTTGGTGGCCTTGTCCTTGGCCTCCTGGGGGAGGAGAGACCAGAGCTTGTCTACATTGACGATGGGGCAGTAGAACTTGTTGCGGAGCTTGTGGAAGTAGCGCATACCAACTTTACCAAAATACCCCGGATGGTACTTGTCGAAGAGGATGCGGTGGTGGTGCATGCCTCCGGCGTTACCGCGACCTCCAGGATGCTTGCGGTGCTTGCCGATACGACCATGCCCGGCGCTGACATGGCCTCTCTTCTTGCGGTTCTTCTTGAATCGGGTCGTCATTTCTCTCTCTCTCTCTCTCTGCGCCTCTCTCTCGCTCACCTAGGGTTTCGGCGGCTCACAGAAGATCGAGGGAGGCTGGGATTTGGGATATTTATTTGGTGGAAATGTGTTGGGTTGACGCTTTTGCCCTAAGGATTGGAGGTTGGGCCATTCAAATAAGGATAAATGTGGTAATTGAGGTACGGATGAGGCTCTGGACTCCGGGCTGAGTTAGGGTTTCATTGTTTTCCAGCCCTATCCATCTGTACTCGTCGTCTGGCCCAACCGTCCAATTCACATAGTTTTGTCTTAAATCTAGCCCAGATTGATAGGGTCTAGGGTTTTTATTTTGTACATTTCCAGATCAAGATAGGGTGTAGTTTTATTCAAATAGTCCTCAAATTTATACTCGAGTTGCATTTTGGTCCCTCAACTAAATTATTTGTTTAAATGGTCCACCAACTTTTTATTATTCAGTGAATTGGTCTACCATTCATTTGCTGTGAGTTTTAGTTATGTGAATTGCACTTGAGGAGAATAGGAAGGGTAAATACAACTTTTTCAGAGTGGAGTTTTCGTTTCCCTTTTTCTTATTCTTCTTCTTCCCTCCCTATACAACCAAATGACATCGGCACGGGAGAGATGACAACAACAGCAGCTTTGTTTATACATGACTACTCTGACTTCGATGGCCAAGGTGGCGGCATGTGTTGAGCTCCACGATAGGTTACAATGGTGGAGCCAGCTTGTTGCACCACTAAATCGTAAGAAATGGGAGCAGAGGATTGAGGTAGAAGGCACATGGGTGCCTTGATCAATTTATGGTATTGGATTCCTCTCGTTGAAGTTGCAAAAATAGAAAAAGAAAAAAAGTAGTTTCTCTTTTGTTGCTACGTAGGATAGATGTGGGATGAGATGAAAGGGATATTTCTTGTTTTTATTTATCACCTATTTTTTTTTTATCTGTTCTTCATTAAGAGAATGAAGAAATTTATGTTTTCTCCATGATGAGAGAAGAGAAGAAAGCAAGGCCACCCCCACCTCATAATATTTTAGTGTAAATTGACAATTTGAACCCTCAAATTAACGGCAATATTGATGGAATGTAACGATGGGACCAATGCGCCGAATAATATAGAGTTGATGGACCATTTGAACGAATAATTTAGTTTATGGACAAAAATGTAGATCAAGTTCAAATGGTCCTCAAATTTTTACTTGATCCACATTTTGGTCCCTAAACTAAATTATTCGTTCAAATGGTCCACCAACTTTTTATTAATCGGCACATTGGTCCCACCGTCTAATTTTCTATTAGATTTAACCAAATTTTAGGGTATATATGACTTTTCATAATTAACAAATAAAAATAGAGATTTTATATTTAAACCTCACACTTCTCTTTGTTCACCCCAATACTTAAATCATTAAGGTGTAAGTTTTATTATTGTGTAAAAAGACAAAAAAAGGTCATCCAACTTAATACTTAACCATAGTACATTTATACACACACCCCACCACTCTTCATATTAAGTTTTTTAAAAATACAAACTCATCTACATAATATTGCCAGAGACGTAGAACATTGACGAGCATGCCTCTTTAAAATCTGCGTGGGAGCTGATGGAAAGACTTGTTGATTATTTGGTTGTAGTTATCTTGTTATCTTCCCTTTGTTGATTGCTTGGCTATTGATTGCTTTCGTTTTTTGTTTTTTTGTTTTTTGCACTCTTGGTTGTTTTGATTTTTTATTTAAAATGTATTGGTAAAACTGTTCTCTTTTTCTAGATACAAAACAATTTAGCTTCTTTATCAGCAGATCCCCACGACGACTGGAACGGTTGCAGATTAAACCTTGCAAGTTGTTCTCCACCCCAGATGCAATTTCTGCAAGGTGACATGCATCCCGTATGTGAGGACTTGTTTGAGCTCTTAAAACTTGTAGTAACTTCAAAAACAAAGTAACAAAAACCTGTAAATATTATGACATTGTTTTTCTTGAAACATGATTTAGGAACCAAATGTTGGATGCATTAAAACAATTCTCAATATCCGATCAAAATGAGATGTTGATCATTTACAAAAAAACTAAGGGTAGCTTTTGGAGTTTAAATATAAAATTTCTTTTATTTCTTATTTTTTCTAGCTTGGAGTGTATTTAAGGGTAGTTTGGGAAGATAATGAGGTTTTCTTAGAAATTGTGAAAATTTAAATTAAAAGTTGGGGTGAACTTAGAACATGGGGTGAACTAGGAAAAATGTGGGGTTTAAATAGAAAATCTCATAAAAATATGGTTAAAATAATACAAATTTATAAATAAACTCAATCCTATACATGTATTTATAAAAAAAAACCCAAGCATTATTTAAACATAGAAACACACCCAAAATCAACAATTATATATTTTTTGGGTGTGTTTATAAATGGGTTTTGAGTGTGTGTAATAATGGGTTTTGGGTGTTGGGTTTTTTTATAATTTCAGCCCCCATTTTGAGTGTTTTAGTGAAACTCCCTTAAAATAAATACAAAATTAGAAAAAATTGAAGAAAAAGAAAAAAAAATCCAAATGAGACCCAATTGATTGCCCCCCGCCCCCCCCCCCCCCCCCCCCCCCCCCCCCCCCCCCCCAACCCTATTCCCCCACCCCCCCCCCCTTTCCCCCTTTTTGTTTCCCCCCCCCTCTCCTCTTCGCTCTTTGCCCCCCTCTCTATCCCTCTGTCTCTCTCTCTCAAATTCAAAAACCAGCAAATTGGAAAACAAAAATAAAAAAATTCAAATATTGTTTGCATTGTAGGTTGGTTGCAATAATGAGTTTTATGGTTTGTGGGTGAAAAACATAATGGGGGAAGAGGGGGTAGGGGTTTGTGGGAAGGGGATTTTGTTATGGTGGAATATGGGAGGGTGGATTGGGTGTGGCCAATGGCGGACCTAGAAATTTTTTAAGGGGTGGGCTAAATTTTTTTTTTGGTCATGGCGACAGATCTGCCACACCATCACTCATCTTGGCTTGATCGTAAAACCTCAATACCCACAATCTAGACCAAGATGAAATTGACCCCAAAAGAACGTATTGCCCATGATTTTTGAATTCATAATAGCTTAAACCAAGGGAGAAACTGAAAGATAAGGAAATAACTAGAGAAAGGGGAGATGAGATAAAGAAAAATTAAAAGAGAAAAAGAGAAACATTAAGGGGAAAAAAGGGCGAAAGAAAAGAGGAAAGTGTTAGAGCCTTTTTTTATAAATATTTTATATAAGCTTGATAGATGTTAGAGTTTTTTTTAATTATAATTTGGTTTCTTTTGTGTTGGAAACATTGGCACAAATCACAAATTGCTTTCCCATTAAATCATGAACCAACATGTGTAGAGTTTGTTTGCAGAGGTGTGTTTGTCGTGTAGAGATTGGTTGCATTGATGAGCTTATTTCTACCTAAAGTGGTGGGCTAATATTTGATTTATCCTAATTTGGTTTGTAAAACTAAGCTTGCATGCGGAAAACAGAAAAACAGCACTGGGCTGGAGCCCAGTAGAGCCTACACGTAGGTCCGCCCTTGGGTGTGGCTATATTTTTGGGTGTCTTGAGAATATTTTTTGGTGGATGAGCTGTGGTTGCTGGGGGTAGGGAGGAGGGTGGTGGGTGGTTGTCTCTTAACAACGAAGAGAAATTAGGGCGGGTGGTTGTTGATTTGGGGTTTTGGGTTCGTTGGGAGGGGGTCTATGGAAGATTTTTTTTTTCTTTCTCTTTTTATGTATTTGCTCGCTTGGGTGGAGGGTGGGGAGGAGCTGCAGTTCTGGGTTCATGGGGCTTGGGGTGGAGGGTGGTTGTGGGATGAGTTTGGGGGTTGGAGCTTGAGGGTGGTGATGAGAGAGAGAGAGAGAGTTTTATTTCATTTTTCAGTATAAGGTTTAGGGTCCTCAAACTTATACCCAATTTACACTTATTTAACACAACACAAAGGTAAAATACAATTAGAATAGAAGAAATGAAACAAAACAAGAAACCAAAGGTAAACACAAACAACAATTTCTATCACCACTGTATAACTACTGTATCACCTATGTATCACCATTTTATCACCTATTTGAGGAACTTAGGACAGTTATGGATGATTTTACCCTTACATTTAACGGCAACATTGATAGAATGTAACGTCGGCAATATTGACAGAATGTAACGATAGGACCAATGGACCGAATAATAGAGAGTTGATAGACCATTTGAACAAATAATTTAATTAAGTGACCAAAATGTAAATTGTGTATAAGTTTGAAGACCATTTGAGTAACTAACCCTTTAGATTTTTGTATAATACATGTTCATGTTGTAACGCTTCTAACGAGCTTTTGTTGTCAATATAAATTAGAACCAAAAAAAAAAAAAAAAAAAAAAAAAAAAAAAAAAAAAAAAAAAAAAAACACAAACAAAGAAAGAACTTAGAGAAAATAATAAAAAATAATATTTTCACCATGAAATGTACATACATTACATGAACAACATATAATTACACTAATAAGATGATGAACACCTCAATGATTCACAAGTACAGTAATACTAAAGCTTGTATATATAGTTCAGTTTTGAAGAAAGAGGGCAGCTCCAACTAAACCCAACCACAACGTCAAACTTATCCAAAAGACTTGGTTTTTCTCCAGTCCAATTGGAGGTCGCCATACCATAAAGTCCCCGAAATAGTCTTTTGACGACGGGAGCTGATTGGTTATTGTCCCACTGCTCCTCTCATCCTTGTCCTTGTATTTATCACTCCACGTTCCGGCGTAGCTGCATTATTCAAGCATCAAAAACCTCATTAGTCAGTGAAAACATAGAGTTGCTGAAATGACCAAATCTGAGCCATGAACAAAATACATCTAACAGTTTCAAAGTCCATACGTTATTTAAAAGCGCTGCTTCCCAAGAACTAGAAGACTAAGATATGGGTAAGCAACTTCATTGACCCTTCCGATTGGGGCTTGGTGTGGTAAGAAAGAGTGTTTGATGGGAAAGCAAGACACAAATTCAGCAATTGAAAAGTGGGGCAAAAGGCCAAGGCACTGATTTCAGACAGACTCGAATGTTAATTAAGAGAACTTCCAGATGGATCCTGATAGTCGCCAATTCCTAAAAGGGACTATGTAATAGTTTCCTCAAGAGGTTACTTTGGTATCACTGTCTAAACAAGGATTTAGTAAGTAAGTGGCTTCGAAAGGTCTAACGTTTGACGATGAGGGCAGGGAATATGCACATACAATTGCCAGAGGAAAAACAGATGTGCACATACAACTGCCAGAGGAAAAACAGATGTGCACATACAATAGTACTGTAACCAATCAACCATTAAAATGCACGATATGGTTGAGTGAAAAGCACCAATACCTGTCATAACTAGAACCAATGAGTGGTATGGTTACCATCTCTTCTTGGGTTATCTTGAGCTTTGGCGCTTGCAAAATGTAGCGAAGCTCTGCTGCTTGGCGTCTGATGCTGACACTGGGGTGCTTCTTCTCCAATAGCATGTAAAGATCAATGCAATCGTCATGGCGGTTATTAGCCTCATAGGCCATAGCAAGCCAAATTTGTATCTGAAAACCATAACAGCAATTTCCATCAACACAGTGATCAAACATGTTGCAGCATTAACACGATTGTCAAAAGGAGATAGTCATAGCCAACGGGGAGCTAAACCAACCTCACCACCAAATAACGTAGGCCTAGGAATGATTGTGAGTGCGCCTTCTAAAAACTCAATGGCACGACCGTACATGCCCCTTCCATAAGCCTTCTGCCCCAACTCGAACATTAACTGCGCCGTGGCTCTCCGCTCTGCTTGCTCCTTAGCCACCTGCACTCAAATCATAACACAAAATAAACCAATCAATCTCGTTCCAACTACCCATTGGATTTCAACACCAACAATGAAATTTTAAAACTTGCTATACATCTAAAGCAATTATCTTTCAAGAATCAAGCTTCACTTTTCCAAACTAAATGCAAACATCTCCATCCAGATTGGTTGCATGAATTTATCAGAAGAACAAAAGAACACAAGAACGATTTCTTTTCCACTGTTTTCCGAGAAACCAAACAATAAATAGTAAGCTGAAAGAGTCAAAGGGTCAAAGGAGATAAAAGACTGACCTTTTCCAGCTCTTTCCTCACTCTCATCCGCTTCTCTTGCTCCGTCTCTTCTCTGCCGTCGTCTTCATAATCCTCCTCTATCTGGCTCTGCAATTCCTCGGCTTTCTTCACCAACTCCTTCCTCTCTTCGATCTCCTTCACCCTCTTCCGCATTACCTTCTCCCAATCGAACGGATCCTGATCTTCCCCATTCCCGTTACTGTTACCCTCCTCGTCCCGGTCAAAGTCCACGCCGTTTACTTTAGAATTCGCTTTGCCCCGAGCCACGACTCGTTGGCTCCGAGTCTCCCCGTCCGAGTCAAACCCCTTGGCCACGATAAAGCCGTTGTGCGCGTGACTGTGAGGGTCCCTCTTAGGCAAGTTCAAGTTCAGGTTCAAAAGAGCATCAAGCGCCACCGGACGGGTCTTCCGGTCTAGTATTATGGTCCTAGGCGACGACACGTCTAGTAGCAGAGCTAGGTTTCCGAGAACAACGGCCATGGCGACGGAGGCAGAGAGAGAGAGATAAAGAGAGAGAAGTAAGATATGGGATTCCCGCTGAAAAGACTGTGAGAGAGGTATTTGCGTCGTTGATTTATTTAGACCAAAATACCCTTAAAGTTGCTGGAAATTATTTTCAAACTTTTGAGTTGTTGAACAAGATTCTGAATTTGTTGAGGGCAATGTTGTTGGAAAGGATGTGAACGTGGCGTGTCATAGGATAGAGCCGTGTGGCAACTGTAGCAGCCTCGATTTGTTGGAAACACGCCACTGGAGTCCAAAACGGACGGCATCGTCGTCGTTGTTTGCGTTCAAGAAGAGGAAGATTTTCTGCATTTTGCAAGCATCCAATTAATTTTTTTTTTTTTTTTTTTTTTTTTTTTTTTTTTTTTGTTTTTTTGGTTACGGCTTTTCGGCTTTCTTTTTTTTTTGCTTACCCGCAACAGCGAGTGACGAGCTGACGTGTGACCTCTCGAGTTCCACATCTTCGTCTCCACGACACAAAGGACCAGAGGCGGATTGGATATAACGAGTTTCAAGCTGCAAAGGCCATAGCTTTGCTTCATCCAATGTCTCTCTCTCCTTCAACTATGGTCAAGCCACTCTGCAACTTACACCCTCCCCTTCTCTCTTCTTTCCCCCACAAACAACCTCTCATCCTATTAACCCCTCAGAAACTCCACCATTTCACCTCCGCAACCAGAACCAGTACGAAACCTCGCCTTTCTCTCTCTCCCCATTACTCTAATTCCAGACGCTTTCGTTTCTCTCCCCCAAAATCAACCTCCATCAATGGCTACGCAGCCGAAGAGTACAAGAACGATCCCCGAGCAACGGAGGTCGAGCTCCTCGAAAGACACCGGAGACTTTTCGCTTTTCTCCGCTCAATTTTGCCCGGCGGCACTTGGTGGAGCTTCTCCGATGAAGCTCAAATTAGAATCTTCGCAAAGCCGGTGACTGTGGTGCGTGCTCTTACTCGGATGTGGGGCTTGGTTTCTCGAGACCGTTGGGTTATCTTTGCCGCTTTCTCTGCCCTAATTGTCGCTGCGGTTCGTGCTTTTTGTTCATTTCAAACTTTAAGGCATGTAATTTGAGTTTTCTGGATTTTGGTTTTACTGAGTTGCTTTGTTTGGCATTGCTGCTTGCTTCAGCTTTCGGAGATATCCATACCGCATTACTTGACGGCGTCAATATTTACGGCACAGAGCGGGGAAGTCGCTGTGTTCCGTCAGAATGTGCGGCTCTTGGTGCTTCTTTGTGTTGTTTCGGGAATTTGCAGGTCAAAATCTTGTATGGACAAAGTTCCCTTCTTCTTTTATTAGCTTACAAGTGTCAAAATAATATCAAAGCATGGAGCTTTTCTGAAATTGTTTACACCGTATTTGATATTTGGAATTTGAACCAACTTCATGAGTGATCAGTTATTTGACACAGCTGCTGACCTCATACTCTGTTTCTGGACTTCAGTGGTATACGAGGATGCTGTTTTGGCATTGCAAATATGCTTCTTGTGAGTTTCTCTCTCATGATTTTGCCTCCTTTTCAATTCTGCCCCATCATCTCTCATGCTTTTCCCCCCAAATTGCTTACTGGATCCTTTAATGTCATATTTTAGGTCAAGCGAATGAGGGAGACACTATACTCTTCACTTCTTCTTCAGGTTCGGAAATATTGGTCTTTTTTCAGAAAAAAAAAAAAAAAAAAAAATTCTATCATCAAGTTATAACTTTCTAGATCTGTTAGTTTATTGTTTAACTTATTCTGCAGTATCTCTATTGTAGGATATATTCTTTTTTGACACTGAAACAGTTGGTGATTTGACAAGTAGGCTTGGGGCAGATTGTCAGCAAGTATCACGGGTTATTGGAAATGATCTGAATATGATATTACGCAATGTTCTTCAGGTTTATTCACAACTAAAACTATGATAGTTTGGTTTAACCACTACTTAAATTATAACCCATTCGGAGTTTGCCCACACTCTGAGATTTAAATTGCCCTTGCATTATTCCTTTTCAGGGGACAGGTGCGATGATCTACTTGTTGATTTTGTCATGGCCTCTTGGTTTATCTATATTGGTGATATGCTCTACTTTAGCAGCAATTATGCTGATTTATGGCCGGTAAAACTTTTTCACAGTTTCATCAGTTATTCTTCCTCTATATGTTAATGCCTTGCCAAATACTGTTAATTCATCGGTTAATATAAGTCTGTGAAGTGGAAGTATGGCAAAAAAAGGGATGGGTAACATTAGAAATCAGTATACCCTTGGATGTGAATTATTAGATGTGGTTTGGTTTAAGCCACTCGTTTTATGAGGACAACGAAGGAATAGGTAGTGCTTGGGAAAAGTATAGGGTTGTGGTTTCAGAACAACAAGATGTCTGTGTCAAATGCTTGTTGTTCTTGAGTCCCATTCTTTCGGATATTTTCAATGTTGCTGTAAGAAACTGAGGCATAAACTTTTACCTTTGTTGTAGGTACCAGAAAAAGGCAGCAAAGCTAACTCAGGAGTTCACTGCTTCTGCCAATGAGGTATAATAATAAAAATTTAAATATGAATTTGTTGAAGATTTTGGTTCCTAAGTGATTTAAATAATGTCCAGATTTTGGTAATGTAGGTTGCGCAAGAGACATTCTCTTTGGTGAGAACTGTTCGTGTTTATGGAACAGAAAAACAAGAACTTGGAAGGTGTAGATCCTACAGAATTGCATCCTTTATCAGTCTTTTAGATTTCGGCATTTGTTGCTACAACGGATGTGATAAATTTAGCATAGGCAAGCAGGAACGCTGTACTCATGTTTCATAGTGGTTGACAGAGATGTTTTTATTTATGTATGTTGTATAGGTACAAGCTGTGGCTGGGGAAATTGGCTGATATAAGCTTGCGACAAAGTGCTGCATATGGTTTTTGGAATTTGAGCTTCAACACTCTTTATCACTCAACACAGGTCTTGCCTTTTCAATGTTTTCAAAGAGATATGATTTTAGTGTTCAAAATAACCACTTTCTGTGTTGATGGTTCACACAAGAATTGATAGTTTAATTTTAAATCTAGAATGTTTCGTTTTTATTTTCTTGATCTTACTAGTCCTTGTAGTTGACTTATTTTATTGGTACACACAATTTTCTAGGTCATTGCTGTGCTGGTAGGAGGAATGTCTATTCTTGCTGGTCATATTACAGCAGAGAAACTTACAAAGTTTATATTGTACAGCGAGTGGCTAATTTATTCAACATGGTGGGTGGGGGACAATTTATCCTCTCTGATGCAATCTGTTGGGGCAAGTGAAAAAGTCTTCCAATTAATGGATCTCTTGCCTAGTGACCAATTTATATCAAAAGGCAAGAAAAGTATGAATGTCAGTGGAACGTTTTACATCAATATGTTGTTTCATGTCATATTTAGGTTAAATAATTTTTTTGTTGCTTTTTATGGTGTATTTGTTTATGTCTTGCAGTATTTGTATGCCTGGAATTTGTATGATGATGTTTATTTGTTTAATTTAATTTAATTTTACTTTTTCTGTTCTGCGCAGGCTCAAGGTTGCAAAGACTGGTTGGACATGTTGAGTTTGTAAATGTTTCTTTTCATTATGCTACAAGACCAACGGTATCTTTCCTATCCAAACATCTAAGTTCTGTTTATGATAACCATGTTTCTGATATCCCCCATGCTCTTCACTTGAGAACAATGTGAGTGTGGCTAAAATAGAAATAAATGTCCTGAAAGTGGTCTTTCCCTGTCTCCTAGTCCACCATACACTGCCCTAAAGTGTTGGAGCCTCTTACTGTCTTGATGGTATGAAGAGTATAGTACCTATTCAGGGAAACTTTTTAACTAGAAGCTGCTTACTTTTGTTTTTTTGTCTCTCACACTAGAGTATCTCCCATTCTACTTTTTTTTTCTTTTTTCTATGCCTTTAGTGGCATAATTATAAAGATCACTAATTAAGTTTACCTAGCATTAACACTATATTTAAAATTTGTACCACCAAATTCCTAGAGTACATCATTTTATATGTCACCTGTTTCTTTTGACTAGGCTAGCTGATTAAAATAGTTATGTGATTCTTTTGTTGCTTAAAGTTGTTAAGGTTTGAAATGCCAAAAGAAAATAACTAGACATTTGAATAGGTACCTGTACTGCAAAGCATCAGCTTATCGGTGAAGCCTAATGAAGTGGTTGCTATTGTGAGTGTTGCTGACTCTCTTTATTGGTTTTTTATTTTCCCGGGCAAATTTTGAGCACTTAACTTTGAAACCTCCTAATTTTCATAGGTTGGTCTTAGTGGTAGTGGAAAAAGCACACTGGTGAATCTTTTGCTCCGTCTTTATGAGCCAACAAATGGTCAGGTATACTTTTTAAGCCATCCATCAATGTGTTACCACAAAAGTAGAAAAAAGATGGAAGGATTGATGGTGCTGAAATTTGGTCTTTGGATTATTATTTTGCTTAGTGCATTTGCCCACTAATATACATTGCTTTCATTGCAGATTTTGATTGATGGTTTTCCTCTACAAGAGTTAGACGTCAAGTGGTGGAGGGAAAGAATTGGATTTGTCGGCCAGGTTTGTATTATTGTTTCCAGCATGAAAGTTAGCAGATTAAGTAGATTTTTCCTTCTTACAATTTGAATGTAAACAGGAACCCAAACTTTTCCGGATGGATATCAGTTCAAACATTAGTTATGGATGTACTAGAGATATTAGACAGGAGGATGTTGAATGGGCTGCCAAGCAGGCTTATGCACATGATTTCATTTTAGCCCTGCCCAATGGTTATCATACGCTTGTTGATGATGATTTACTCAGTGGGGGACAAAAGCAACGAATTGCCATTGCCAGGGCTATTCTTAGGGACCCAACTATTTTGATCCTCGATGAAGCCACTAGTGCACTGGATGCAGAGAGTGAACACAATGTCAAGGTAAGCACTTCTGGCAATGATCTCCCCACACCAATACCACAATGGTTTAAAAGGATAAGTAATTTGATGTGACATTCTCCCTTATATCCAGGGTGTTCTTCGTGCTGTCAGAAGTGACAAGACAATGAGGAGAACTGTCATAGTTATTGCACACAGGTTGGTTCTCTAATATCCTCTCTTTTGATTGTCTTAATGGGTTATTCTAAAAGTTGGCCTACTCACTTTATACAGGCTTTCTACCATACAAGCAGCTGACAGGATAGTGGTAATGGATGCTGGTAGAATTGTTGAGGTTAGAAACTTGGCCTGTCTCTTACAAGTATTGTACGACATATATTTTGGAATGTTTTCTGTTCTTATATTGGTAAGAAGCAACATGGGACTTTCAAAACCCTACTTTGATTACTCCTGCCCACTTGAACAAAGCCTTATGGGCCACGATCTCTCATACCACTCAACCTCGGCTTAGTAAGTTTCGCACCTGTTATTTTGTTATGTAATCTGAATATATCTTTTGTGTTGCACAGACTGGCAGTCATAGGGAGCTTGTTGTTGACGATGGCCTCTATGCACGACTGACTAGAAGACAAGCTGATGCTGTGGCATGATCTAGGAGTATCATAACACTACGAGTTGAACTCGTTTGTTTGATTAATTTTTTATGAGATGCATTATGGATGATGGAGGTCCAAGCAACTTTCTTACTGCTGAACCATACAATACCTTGAAAATGAAAACTTGTAGCGGGTAAAGCTGTGAAGGAAGGTCTATTGATGATGCAGCACTGAAGCTTTTGTAGTGATGCCATCCCAGCTTCAAACAGAATCTGCAGCATCATACTCTCCCTTTCGGAACATCTGTAATTTGAAAGAGCACAGATGCATGCATTGGATTGCGGCTGGATGAACAACCAGATTGCCATTTTATTTTTCTCAGGGAAACATACTTATACAACAAAGTTGTTATAGAATTTGTGTGTACTCACTGTTGATATGTAGAACCGAGTAAAATGAACAGATGAAATTATAGCAAAAATTGGATCTCGACTATGATTATACCAGCTTATTTCGCTAATGGCCTAGTTTTCCACTTTCAGTGCTGATTTAACTTTGCTGGTGAATGTGTGAAGTCTGTAATATAGGAATTGTTAAGTTTCTAAACTAACTTTGAGTACCTTGTTGCTATTTCTACTTGTTTCTATTTGTACTACATTTACTGACCACATTGCTGATAGCACCACACCTCTAATACAGGTGGGTCGCATATATTACTGGGGGTAGCAAAGTGTTCAATAAATGTAGGACAACTATTATTATGGTTCTAAATATTTTATGTAAATTCACCTAAACTAATTTTTATAATTTGCACAAGTAATATTTTAATTGGATTTGCGCTATGGGCTCCAATGACTTCCAAAAAGGACCGAGTCACAGCCTTAAAAGGCCCAAGTTATGGAACCCCCGCGGGCCCGCGGGAGTGGAAAACATTAAACATGAAATCAAATCAAAGGGCCTTCGAAAAGTCGCTGCTCCTCCTCCACCTTCATCACTTAGGCACGGTGCAAACCCTCGTTTCCAATCGAAACCCTCCTCGCATGAAATAACAAACAAAACAAAACCAAAAAAAAACAGAAAAACGAAATTAATAATAAGAAAAACAGAAAAAAGCTCCAAAACCCAGAAGGGAAGGCCATGGATTCGTACCAAGCGCAGCAGCGGTACATGCGGCCGCAGCCACCGGCCACGTCGGATCCCTACCAATACCAGCAACAGCAGCAGCAGCAGCAACCGAGACCACAGTGGTACTCGAACCACTTCCAGTACCCGTCGCCTCAACAACCCCAGTGGGCTCCACCACCTCGGGCCGACCATCTCCCTCCGCCAGGTTCTTATCCTCCGCCGCCCCTTCCTCACCCTTATCCTCCTCCGTACCCCCCCAACCACCACTTTCCTCCTCCTCCTCCCCCATCTCGGCCTCACCTGCCTTCTCACCTCCCTACCCCTCCGCCCATTCCTCCTCCACCTCACTCTTATCCTCAGCACACCCAGGTATGCCTCAAACACACACACACACACACACACTCTCTCTCTCTCTCTCTCTCTCTCTCTCTCTCTCTCTATGTATGTATGTATGTTTGTTTGTATGTAGCATATGGGTTCTGATGTTGATAAATTGATTTCTGGACGTTTTTGGCTGGTTTGAACTTTGATGTGTATGCTTGATATGAGGGTTAATGAGAGTCATTATGATTCTTGGTCTGAAAACAACCACTTGAATTTGTATTTGGGGTGAAGTTAGTGGCATGTTGTTGCATGTCGATATTCTAACGCAAAGCATAAATGTTTGTAGGAGTGGGGAGCTGCTCCAAGTTGGCCAAACAACCAAGGTTGGGATTACCCAGGTAAGTTTCTTTCCACATTTTAGTTTCATATCAACCACAACTTGATTCGTTGAATTCATATTCAGTAAAACACTTTGTTTCCCATTATGATTTTGTCGTCCGCTTAATATTGTTTCTTCGCTCTTGGGTAAAGCCAAAATATTTCCAGGAGCTTTCACTTTTGTGGGTTGATGACATTGGATTGAATTTGATTGTTTTGTAATGGTAGCCCATAATAATCAAGAAGATTGGGAAGCCAAGGCTAAGGCATGGGTAGATGCGAGGGCGTCAATGGAGAATCAACATCAACAGTTGCAGTTTCCTCCGGCAGGCAGACTAGAAGAGCAAAGTCATTATCATGATCAGTATCCCCAGAACGTTGATTCTCATTATTCTGGTACTCAGCATCAGTCACTTTCTGCATCCAGCTATCAACAGGTTCCAGTTTCAGGTACTCCAACACACCAGCCACCGGGAATTCGTCCCCAGGAGACTTCATCTTCCTATGCTCATCATGCTGTTAGAGATGGAATGCCAGCTGTGGACACAAATTCTGTGTTTCATCGACAAGGAAACCTATCTGCTAGTCCATCTGTTCATCAGCAGGAGGTACCTTCTAGTTATTCTTCTGTTACAGGTAATAATTCATATGGTTTTGACTTTGCATGTGAAGCTTATGTTCCACAACTGCTTTTACAGAACTCAAATCTACTATTTAATTTTACATTCTGGATTTTTTTAGCAGTATCAAATGTAGGACCTTCCACACAGATCATTAGAGTATCTTGAAAATTAGAATTGGAGGTTGTTTCTTTTTGTGCAGCGATCATTTCAACCATATTAATCGGGATGTCCTTAGGTGGTTAATAGTAACTGGTTAAGTGGCTCTCCTCCTTTTTTTTGTTTTCAAATACGTTGATTATATTACTCCACCAAGTGGATTGTGTTCTTATTTAAGCTGAAGAAGTCTTATTAAGTACAGCAAGAATACATTTTTGATTGAGTGCTGACCATCTCCAGTAAAAGGGCAATATTAGTCGGCAAGAACTACATCTCCCTTATACAGATGCTCTGAGTTGGAGGGTATATATGGTTTTCAGGAGATATTATTTCTTCTAATTTTTTTTAAATAAGATGTTTCCTACCTTACTCAGCTTTTGCTGACATTAGAGGGAATAACTATTACCGCTAATATAGTCTGGAATGGAGAAAGATTGTAGAGGCTGGTTACATCTCCATTCTCACTCGGATTCCTAGTAGCCAATTGGGGACCCTTATTTCTCCCAAGGATCTTTCCCCTTGATTTGATCTTTTGATTTGCCGTTTGACTACTTACTTGAATGACAGGCAATGAAGGTTCTGCAGCTCAGGAAGAACAATATCACATGCAACCATCACAGCCAATGCCCTTTGCATATGGCAGTCAGTCTGCTGACCCAACAACCAATCTTGCTGACCAGCCTTTAGAGTTTGCACCCGGGTTTAATTCTGATCATGGTCTACACCTGCAGCCCAGCTATTCTTATCATGACCCTGCTACCACAGTGCCTTCCATGAATACCTGGTCTACTTCTGTTGCACCTGGTGTAGTTTATCCCTCTAGTCTTCCAGTTCCATCAGGACCACAGGTTTTAATTCTGGTTTCTTGAGTCTTTCTTCTTTTCTAAGGCCATGATATGAATTTTCTGACATATGTTTCATTCTTCAGCATGATCCTTCCATGGCAATACCCTCTCCTGTTCCTGGGCATGCTCCATCTTCATTTGGCAGTTTTCCTGGACTGAGCCTCCAGCCAACAATTCCATCTGCTGGTCCCCCCTTTGGTCTCACTGCAGGAACTGCAGTTCACCCAACTGCAGCCTTCCCTGGTGATGCATATGGAGTTTCTACAGTTTCTGAGCGCCCCAAAAAGGTAAAATTTTGCCATTGTAAATATGTCAATGGTGAGTGGCATGCTTGTTAATTTTTTCTACTCCTGAAATTTATGGTAGGCTTCAGTGCCTAATTGGCTTAGAGAGGAAATTAAGAAAGCAGTCATCACAAGTTCATCTATGGACCATCCTAAGGAGGAGATGCAATCCATTGAGGATGAAGGAGTTGATAGATCTTTTGGGAAGGGAGATCAAGCTGATAGCAAGAGCATTGATTCTTCTAGATCAACTGAAGAAGAGGATGATGAGGTTTTATTCTATCATCTAAGTTTATTCATTTTGCATCTGAAGCCCCACTCCTCCCCCTTAATGAACTGTTCTTCTGAAAAATCCTGTTTTTTTTTCCCTCCATATATTCATCCCATGATAGTAGCTATTTGGATGCACGTCATTTCCTTACAGAAACTTGCATGCCGTATCTTTTTTTTTGTTTGTTTTGTGGTAGGATCAAGTGGAAGCAGCTAGGACTGCAGCAATTAACCAGGAAATAAAGCGTGTTCTTACTGAAGTTCTCTTAAAGGTTGTAGTGTTTAGAAAATGATAGATTTGCTAATTTAACTTGCATATACTGCATTTTTAACTCCTATGTTTTTGGACAGGTTACTGATGATCTGTTTGATGAAATTGCCACAAAAGTTCTTACTGAAGATGATCTGACACTTGAAGGTAATTGTACCATAATTACAGATCCTTGTCTTTGATCTTATGCATTTAAAGTAGCTTTTTTAGTCTAGCATTCTGTCCTTTTCTTATCTTAAAGAAAATAAACAAAGAATTTAATTAATTATGTCGTTTGTTACAGTTGAACAGAGCACACTGACTTCAAACCATAAGTTATTGCCATCTCCCCCAGCAGTTTCAGCTCTCAAGGCTTCTGCAAAGGTTCTAATTCCAGCCAAGTCTAAGGAATCTGAGACTGAAGATGTCAGTGAAAAATCCAGTTCCAGTTCACCTGGTAATGTGTTAGGTCTTGAAAATTATGCAAGTGATGATGACGATGTAGATGGTGATATTCAGAGTTCTGTTATGCCAAATTCTGGGAAAGATGCTATTCTTCAGCACTCAACTGTCAAAAAGCCTTCAAATGTTAGGCAGGATGCCACTACAAATGACAGTTCTTTGGTAGGGCTTGAAGAGCACGGTAGAAGTCAGACAATTTTAGAGAATGATCTGGGAAAAACCAGTTCACTTGAGTCCAAATATAACAACAGTGCTGCTATTAGTGATATTAGTTATAATAGACAAAAGAATGTTGAAAGTAATGCCGATAAAAATCTGCCAGATGGAACTACTGCCTCTAGGCTGAAGGATACTGTAGGCACATTGAAACCTGACCTCCATAAAGAAAATGTCAATGTCAAAAAAACATCAAAAGATGACTCACAAGGTAGGGAGTCCAGGATGAAACCTGATAAGCATGATCGACATGAGAGTAAAAATAGTTCTGTGATGGACTTCAGTAAGGACTTAGAGAGTGGTAAGATTAGGACAGTTGAGAAGGGTGATGGGAATCGTAGGGGGCATGATGAGAGGCATTCGAGAAAGGAAAGGACAGATGATCGGAATGGCTCAAGAGAAAAGGTGAAGGAGCAAAGTCTTAAGCCTGTAGAAAAAGCACAGGAATCTGAATCAAGAAAAAGATCTTCCCATGCTGATGACAAAGAGGATAGAAGAGAAACAGAGAGACTCCATAGCTCTAGTGCTAAAGAAGATAACAACAGGAAAAGAGAACAGGCAAAGGATAAAGAGGATGATAGATCAAGGCGTAAACATTCTACTGACTCAAGCAGGCACAAGAGAAGGCGCTCCTCTTCTGTTGGCAGTAGGGGTAGAAACAGCAAGGACAACTTGGTTAATCATGCCAATGATTCAAGTGATGAAGCTTCTGATGATTCTAAAAGGTTCTTCATTGTGATCTTCTGATTACTCCTGTTCTATTTATGTTATGTTGTGGCTCATATACAGTTATGTGCTGCAGGAAGCACTCAAGGAGACGTAACTTATCACCATCACCTGTCAGGTCTAGGAGAAGGTACCATTTATCCGAAATTTGTGTCCGCTTTTTGTTTCTCTGTTGGCATCGTAAGGTTCAGCCTATTGTGTTTTAAATAGCTCTGGAAAAATGAAATTGGTAATATGTTATGGAGATATTACCTTCTTGTATCCAACTGAAATCAACATAACTTAAGCATAAGGTCGCTAGCAGGTTGATGCCAAAGATAGAAGAAACAAAATGAAATGATTTTAAATCCTATTCAGTACCCTCTTGTACTTAATTTGTTCATCTTAGGTTCTTTTGTGGTTCCAATGTGACTGTTGTGTGAGATTGACCCTTCTTTTTTGTCATTTTATTTTTTATACTATGCTGTAGATCAAGATATGTTTTTTGGTCAACTACATTGCATTGATCTTTTTAGTGTTAATTGTTCTAAATCTTTCAGCATTCTCGTTCCTGTTGAGGTTTGAGTCATATTCCAGTGACCAGTTTGGATGCATGTTAACTGAGTGATTTGACTGACGTAACATTTTGAGGTTATGAAAGTTGTATTATGTGTAGCTCTTTTATTTTGAATTGATTTGCAAGACCAGAAATTAATTCTAAAATTAGGAATGAAGAGTAAAAACATATACATGGTTCCATTGTTTGTATATTTTAAGTAACTGTGTTGAATTCAATTTCATTGACATATTCTGGTATTCTGAACATGAATAAAGATCAATCATCTGGATCTCGGTAACCTTTCACACAATACTGTAGCAAAAACATTATTGTGGAAAGAATAGTGGGTATCCTGGTTTTTGTTCTATGCTGTCCTTTGTCGGATTTACAGTGGGAATTTGTTTTATGTCTAGTTTCAGAACACATGGTAAAGTGCAGTATAAGACAAAAGCTTAAATCTTTTGGTTTCTAAATCCCTTGTGAGAATTATGACTTTGTCATATAGTTTCTTTACATAGTCTTTAGAAGCAAAATAATATGTTCTAATGGCCACTCCCTATCCAGTATGACTCTGCAAAAGGCTGAGCATTTCTCTTCTGAACCATGTATGTATAACTCACCAAATTAGTATCATGGATGTTTTCATTTCTAGACAAGTTTCGCGGTCTCCACATAGCAAGCATTCTCAGCGCAGGCATTCTCCTTATTCTTCTGTTGATTCCAAAAGGTATGTTGCCACGAAATCTTTGTTGTGTATTGTTTTTCAGACATATACACGTATGAATAAGCAACTCAGGTGATATTGCCAGGCTTCTGCTTCTATAACTCTAATCCTTGTATGGTCTGTTTTAACTGCACTAATTTATATGCAGGGGAAGAAGGTCAAGGTCCAGATCACCTGTACGGCGGCAGAGATGATTGGAGCAATGGTCCACCAACGATTAAGAGCTAGACTTATGTTCGTTAGTGGTCTGAAGACTGATGAGCGCTGGAACCGAGTTTCACAACAAAGCCGGTGCAACGTGTGCAGCTACCGCAGTTGAGGACTATACTTCTGTCTCTCTGAATACGAAGTGGGTGTTACTTTGTTGAATGGGTGCATTTAGTCCCGAGGAGAAAGGCATGCACGACAGCTTTGAGGCCGATGGGTGATGTGCATGAGCTGATGGTGGATTTTGTAGGAATTATAATCACAGTTTTGTGGCATCACGATTTGTATTTGTGACCCACATAATTTGTATGTATTGCTCCAATGTTGTTGGGACGTTGTTTTGTTTATAGCAGCATTGCTGATTTTGTTTCTTTTTGGCATGTGACAAAATAGCAGAATTTTTTTTTTAAAATTTTCTATTTATCGTTCGACCCAGATGATTATGTGTGATTTTAGTTTGAAGAATATAATGGGGTCTTAACTGACATAATTTTACTTCTGTTTTCTGAGAGAATTTTAGATCAATTTAAAACCCAAAATAAAATGATGTCAGTGCGTAACAAGAGATTTAAGTAAAGAAAAGACTCAAGTGAGGGGCTTGTAGATCAAGCAATTAAGAGTAGTTATTTGACTCCCCCGTCCTAATATCGTTAAGTTAGGGTATGTGTTTGATTTCCCCGCCCTAGTATCATTAATGTCAAAAAAGAAAGAAAAGGCTCAAAGCTTAAACGATGCCGCATGGAAAGGAGTGCCATATGGTTTCATTGACTATCGCGAGTATAGAGATTAAGTGATTAAAAGCAGTTATTTGACTTCCCCGTCCTAGTATGGTTAAGTTAGGGTCTGTGTTTGATTTCCCCGCCCTAGTATCGTTAATGTCAAAAAAGAAAGAAAAGACTCACACCTTAAACGACGCCGTAAGGAAATGAGTGCCGTATGGTTTCGTTGACTATCGCGAGTACAGAGATTCAAGAACGCAAATCAAACGTAAAAAGGTTGGCGAAGACTTAGAATGGAATCTGACGTGTAAAAGGCGACAATCTTGGCAACTCACATGGATCCCGCACGTCCTTGTCCTTGGTGGGAGCGCCGCTGGCTGGCTGGTTGGTGTGTTCGTTACTTTTGCAACTCTCTCTTCTCTTCTCCTCTTTTTCAGTTAAAGTTCCATACTTTCATCTTCATTCTCTCTCTCATAGATATATATACACACACAAATATATTGAGATATACAATACCAGGCTACTTAGCTCACGATTGTCTCATTGTTCTCAACAACTCCACGTAAAATGAAGGTCACTTTTCTCTGCTTCAAAAAAATCTTTAGTTCTCTTTGCCATTTTTCTTTGTTATATGACTTACATCAATGCAGAATGTAAATGTGATTTGCTTTTGCAGGCGTTTCAAGTGGGAGTATGGAGTCTATGGTCAATTTGGCTATGTGGGTTGGCGTTATTTTGTCTCTCCCTGTATGTTACTCAATGCTTTCTTCCTTCCCTCAAGGATCAGATCATGAGGCCTAAGCTTAGTCAACGAGGCGCTAGCATTTTGGAACCTCCGAGAATTATTATATTCTCAGCTCCTAGGCCGTTCACTGGTTCTGTTGGGGCTAGGCAGAATTTAGTTGTTCGCTCATGGCTTGCTTTGTCCCCACATATTGCAGTTGTGCTGTTCAGCAAAGACCCTTCTGTTGTTTCTTTCGCTGGAGCGTTTGATTCGCGGGTTTTGGTCGAACCCAACATTGATTTCACGTAAGCCAATAACTTTATTATTCATTTCTTGCCCATCATTACTTTGTTTGAATGCAGTGCATTTTAGTTGATAGCATAGTTGTTGACTTAGCTATCTGCTAAAATAGAATGCTTTTGTAAGTTGTGTCACAGTTCTTAAAGGCCTTTTTTAGAAAAGCAGATGTTTCTGTCTTTTCTGTTGTGTTTTCTTTGTTTTGGTTGTATGTTAATAGTAAATTTGTGGTGATTGGTTGAATTGAGGAAAAAAATTTCAAAATGAACCTAGAATGTGGCTTATATAATTCAAAAGAGTCTAAATGAGGAATACAAAATATGTTGCTTTATTTACAGAGATGGTTTTTGAGGATTAGTTTGGGCGTAAGGAAATCCTCAAGGAGTAATGGAGTGGAGCTAGAACTATCATATATTTATTGTCATCTGATACATGTTTGTATGGGTCTAGGTTCCTCGGTACCCCATTTTTTCATTCGATGATGGCAAGATCAAGGTCATTTTCATCAGACATTTCTGTTCTGGTTGATCCTGAAACCATTGTTTTACCTGACTTCATTTCCACCATGAATTATGCTTACAAACTTGATCATGACTGGCTTCTAGTTGCTTCATCACGAAATGTATCCGACCTCCCATTCTACTTGGATGAGGATGGAAAGCATTGGCGAAGAGAGAATGGGAAATTGATGACGACACAGGAGGTATGAAAAAACTTATTCCAGACTGAAAATTTGATGGTCACAACTCCATTGATATTGTGCACTCTTCCATCAGTTGCAGGAGATTTTTGGGCAGAGTTGGCAGTCGACTCCCTGTGAAGGAAAGCTGCTTATGGCATGGAATAACAAAGATCTTCCCCTACATTCTGGAGTGCTTCCTCCTTTCTTGTATGGTAGGGGGGTGCACAACAGTTGGGTCGTCAGTGAGGCCTTGTCATCTGAGCTTAGGTTTGTATTTGATGCCAGTTGGACAATCTCAAGCTTCTATCTAGTTGATCAGGAACATCAGACTGACTGGAATGTCGGAGGTTCCAATGCTTCAAATTTTGAAAGAACCTGGGAATATGCTGGAAATTCTCATATTGGGGCACTATATGGATCATTGTCTTATCACGAAATTAATTACCGTAGCCTAGTAAAACTTTTGAAATGTGACGGGCAATATATTTTTGTCAATACAACGGAAAACATTGTTTGTCCGATGGTATACCAGAGTGCAAGGAGATTATGGAAAGGATGGATATTGCGTTTCGGGTGGAAGAACACTTTGGCTTGGGCTGAGGGTGTTAAATCGCCAGGCCAGTTATCAGACTGTTCTCAGATGGTTCCAACAAAGCATACGAAACCATTAGACCTTCCATTCTCTTTAGAGACACTTCTCTCGTTCAATGCAGACAAAAATAACACAATTGTGCTTACTGCTGCGGGATATAATTACAAGGACATGCTAATGAGCTGGGTGTGTAGATTGCGCCAACTGCAGGTCACAAATTTTATCATTTGTGCCCTTGACGAGGAAATATACGAGTTTGCTCTCTTGCAGGTAGTTTATTAAATCTTGTTTATTTATTTCCAGTTCTCTTCTTGTTTCTCTTCTTGTCTCTCTTGCAGGTAGTTTATTAAACATGCATGGACAGATAAATAAGTAAACGATACATATTGGTTATGATTCAAAGCAGGCTGAGTTTCGGTAGTAGATCAAAGATAAAGAGTCTTTATTTACTAACTGAAGTCTCAGCAAATGGAGATTTAAACAACTTGAAGCTAGTCCGAATTCTAGACTGATCTCCAAATGTGTTCATAAATTTGACTGTATTTCCCGTTACTGTTAGGGCCTGCCTGTTTTCAGGGATCCATTAGGTCCAAGTGAGATCAGCTTCAGTGATTGCCACTTCGGAACAAAATGTTTTCAGAAGGTGACAAAAGTGAAGTCCAGAATGGTTTTGAAGATACTGATGATGGGTTACAACGTGCTTCTTAGTGATGTGGATGTATATTGGTTTAGAAACCCGCTGCCATTGCTCTACTCTTTTGGTCCTGCTGTTCTTGCAGCTCAGTCTGACGAATTCAACAAAACAGGTGCATTTTGTGTAAATGGTCACTCTTATTTCCAATGGTATAGAAGCACTTAGTACATATAAGCAGTGATATCTCCATCCGTACGACTATTTAGCTAATAAATCCAATGCCCTAAACCCCTCTGTGGTATTGCTCTGTATGCAGGACCAATTAACCTACCTAGGCGCTTGAACTCTGGCTTTTACTTTGCCCGTTCTGATGGTTCGACAATTGATGCTATGAAGAAGGTGGTGGCACATGCAGCAACTTCAGATCTATCTGAGCAGCCAAGCTTCTATGACACACTATGTGGAGTAGGGGGTTCAAATCGTGTGGGTGACGATAGATGCTTGGAACCTGAAACAAATCTGTCCGTCCATTTCTTGGACAGAGATCTCTTCCCAAATGGTGCATATCTGGACCTGTGGCAGAGAAAAAAAGTGAGAGCAGCCTGTGTGAAGCAGGGTTGTTTTGTTCTCCATAACAATTGGATCAGCGGGAGACTGAAGAAGTTAGAAAGGCAGGTTTTATCAGGCCTATGGGAGTATGATACTAGTACAAGGATGTGTCAGCACCATTCCAAATTAGTACAAAAAGTGGTGTATTATAATAATTAGAGTCTCACTTTGTTTTTCACATCCAACAATGATAAAGAAACTATTCCTTCTCTCATGTTTGCAACTATGAGAGCCTTGGTTTCATCACATCTTCCTCTGAAAGGGAATATTAAATTAAGGAGAGCCGGCCATGAAAAACAGGAATTATCGTCTGTGGTTAATGCTTAATAATATCAAGGCAATAGAATGCTCAGAATCCCCACCGGTGGACTATGTTGAAACATTTTGGTCAGGCTTCTTTTAATTGTGGCTATGCTGAAGAGGTTCATCCAGTTGTTAGGCCTAGCCCGGAATACTGACAGTGGAAGAAACAAACAGTTGAAAGGATCTACCATAGATGAAGGATCTGCAAGTAAGGAAGTAGGAGCTCCCATATCATTGGACTTCAGTTTACAGTCGAAGAATATTTTTGTGAGGATAGTCCACGCAGGTGGGCGAGAGGAGCTGTATCAGGATGTAGTTCCTGCATCTCTGTTGATGGAAAAGTATCCTGGGATGTGCGTTGCCCGCCCAGAAGTGTTCAAAAATCCTCAGGAGTCCCTTTTAAGGCCAGAGGAGAGCCTTTTGCCTGGTCAGAAGTATTATATAATACCAACTACTACAGCGCAGAAAATTAAGCATAAACTCCAAAAGAAAGCTAGGGCCAAAGAACCTGCTGAAGGCAAAGAGTCTCCAGATGGGATCATTGTGAATGCAGGAGGTTGCGACGCAGATGAATCTGTTTGCTCTGCTAAAGACTATAATGTCTCCAAGGAAGGGTGGTCAAAACATTTACGGAGAAAAGGTATTAGAGGAAAGAAGCCTTTTGTTCCCCCACTCCCGAAGACTAAATCATGTAGAGGATTGGGATGGGAGCCAAGTCTCACTTCTGTACAAGAGCTTTCTCCATGACTTTCTGTATACTATCAACCTTGCGCTCGTATTCTGGTACGTGGTTCAATTGCTACTGCAATATGTTTGTTCCATGAAAAGTCTGAGAGAGATGTAACAAAAAAATTTATTCACCATAAATAATAAGTAGTGTACGATTTCCAGCACTATATTCTATAGACATACCGTTTTAAAGACTAGATTACTCGTGTACCATAATTATAGGAGTTGTTTTCAACAAATTTTCACTTGTCAGACTCTCACAACAATATATTGATGTCTATCTGAAAACAGGAAAATATTTTTTGCTTGTTAAAACTGTTATTGCCAGAATACTGCATCTAGGGGTTGTGTTTTCTATATCTAAGAGTTGTACTTGAGCTGCATAGTTAACCAACATGGTGGATCATCCTTGAATTTTTTTGGGATATGTTCCTTTTTTGAAAATAAAGAGCATTTTTGTAGGTAGATGCTTCCTTAAAGAACATACATGTCTTTAATAATCTTGACCAAGGATTCCGTATATATGTACGGCGGTATAGAATACTCAAACAGAAGAAACACCAGAGTGTAGAATTCAAGAAGAAAGAGGCTGTGAGCACAAGCAAGATCTTTAGTTCCACAAATCTGTAAAAGTGGTTGTTTTTCAATTAATGACTTACATCAACTGTCCATCACTTCTATCTTCAAATGTACTCACAAAATATAAGACAAAAGCTTGGTAAGGATCCATGTGTAGACAACAGAAAAGAAAGCACCAGCTGGAATTGTCACAGCCCAAGAAGCCACAATTTCCCTCACTGTTTCTGCTCTAACTCTATTAAGCCCCCTTGCAAATCCCACCCCCATGACTGCACCCACCAGAGTATGAGTTGCAGAGATTGGTAGTCCCAGCTTTGATGCAAATAGAACCACAGAGGCTGCAGCAAACTCAGCTGCAAATCCTCTAGTTGGTGTCAGTTCTGTAATCTTCTTCCCAATTGTTGCTATTACCCTATACCCCCACATAGTGAGACCTGCTACAATTCCAAATCCTCCCCATGCTAGAACATCAGTTGGAATAACAATCTCAGCTCCACTGGCACCGCCATGAAGAATAGATAATGCAGCAGCCAAAGGACCTATTGCATTGGAGACATCATTCCCACCATGGGCAAATGACATGAAGCAGGCTGAGAGGATTTGCATGTATCCAAAGACCCCATATACTATTTCCAACTGGGTACCCGTTGGACCTGCAATATCAGAGAGAAACCCAATGTTTTTTTGGTGGATGGTACCCTCTTTTTGCTCTGCTTCTGATGATGCGGACTTGAGGAGGAGATGACCTAGCTGCTTTCGGATAATTCTGTACACAAGGACCGCACCTGCAATTCCACAGGCCAGAGCCCGGGCCAGAGCCAAAGCCAAGCTTTCTCCAAGAGGAAAGGCTGCAAATGAGATTCCACTCACTCCCATGAGTACAGCAATTGGTGCTGCTGCAGCTGCAGCTTGTCCAGGATTTGGAGCACTATACACAAACTGAAAGGAACAGAGAAGAAGAAGATGAGTTGTAAGCAATAAGAAGTGTATTCTCAATTTTTGAACAGAAAATCAGGTTCTGTAAAATGCTAAGACTAAGAGTTAGACATATAGAGTGATGCTCTAAGGCAAAGCTTTAGCCCTATCCTAGAGGCACCATACAGTTTCTCAGCCATGCTTAGGGCTTATGGTTTTGAATTAGTTTGGAAATCAAAGGAAACCATGTTTTTTCTAACCAAAATATAGTCTTTGATAATAAGATCGGTTAAGGGTTACAAGCGAAGCAAACATGTGGTAGCCTTTCTTCATTAATTAGCAGGTAAATTCTTGTATGTTATCATAAGCCAATGCCATACCCATATATGATATAAGGCAGAGGATCATTTGACAGTTCCATCTCCAAAGAAGGGGAACATACCCTACGAATGCATTTGTATACAAGAAAGGACATCAGTGCTCCCATGAACGGTGAGATAACCCATGAAGAAATCACTCTTGCCAATGAGCTCCAGAAGACGGCACCTGCTCCCCCATAGACAAGTCCAAACCCAACCATCGATCCCACTATACAGTGCGTTGTTGAGACAGGCCAGCCATAATATGATGCAACCTGACTAGCAGAAGACAATTAGTGATGGATAGAAGAAAGAACAGGAGAATGTAGCATATAAGTGCACAACTAAATCCAGGGGGAAAATATGCAGCACATAAATGAACAACCAAATTCAAAGTCCTTGTTTTTTCCTTTTTCTTTCTGAAACAACTACATTCAAAATCAAGAGGTCTCTGTCACGGAAGAGTATATCGTTGCTTTCTTCCATAGAGGTCTCTGTCATTCTGAATGAGTTATGCTGCATGATACATAATTGCTAATGTAATACATTCATTAAGTTCGAAAAAAGAAAACTCTATTATGCTTGTTAAATAAGAGATATTTTTAGTGTGGCGGTCATACTGCAACGTGGTATTACTATTTTGATCATAAAACTTGTAGTACTAAAGAAGATTCAGAGGGTGAATTATCCTAAGACAGAGAAGCTTCCCTTCACACGCATTTGATTGAAAAGACCAGCTCTTACTGTTTTCCAATGTCATTGTATGCATGTATCAAGGAAATCTTGGTTTGATGATTTTGAGGGACAACTCATTCAAGTAGGTCATCGATCAAGCAAAACACAAAACCACAAAATACATGCAGTGGAAGTTTGTTCTTATTATTGTACAACGGTTAAACATTTATAAATATCTAACAGCCATCCATTCTGTCCTGTCTGGGTAACATATTCCAGAAGTTGGTCCATAAAAGTTAGTTTAAGTAGCCCAACAAAAGGACCAAGATATTGAACTCAACATAACTAGGCCTCCTCCATGATCGACACAAAGTTAGTTTAATACTAATTAATTTAGTTTGATTTCTCCCAATAAGCCATGAGAATTCTACCAAATCCAGAAATGCTCTTTGCTAATATCTCCCCTTTTTGTCTCATGTGAATTGAATATGTTAATCCCATAACTAACTTCGACAGAACTGAGATAGAAATAAAAACAGAGGAAAAACAATATTATACCTGCAACCAAGTACCAGCAGCAGCAAGCGAAGAAAGCAAGCCAGCAAAGAGCAGAGTGTCTTTGCCCTGAAACACATTAGCAACAAGAATGCCCTTTTGCATTGTGCTTGTCACATGAGTCCCCATAAAAAATGCTCCTGAGAATTCCAACACTGCAGCAGTTACAACAGCCTGCCTTAGCGTCAATGCTCCTGAACCCACCGAAGTCCCCATGGCATTGGCCACGTCATTGGCTCCAATATTCCAAGCCATGTAGAAACCAAACAACAGCGTTGCATAAGACAACATCTTGGTCTTCAAGGCCATGCCTTGCCACAGAGACTTCATGAAAAATGGAAGACTCAGAGCTGCAAATACTATGCATATGGAAATGGCTGAAGCTGTGCGGGAAGATATGTGGAAGGCCTGAGCCATTCCAGGCGACTCAGCTTGGTCCTCTATTTTTGTATTCTCGTGATGTTCTTCAGCTTCGGCATCTTGGTTTTGCTGTTTTTCACCTTCCGCTTCTGCAAAAGAAGATAAACTGGCAAAAGGGTGTGTGATTTTCGAGTTGTTTAGCCTCAAAATGGGGAGAAAAGACTTGGGCAGTGGTGTTTGGGGCCTGAGAAAGTTTGTCTCTTTCCTTGGGAAGTAGGTTTCAGTTGAAAAGGAAAAAGAGCGGTGCTTTGGGAGATAGAGATGAGAATTACGGGGAAGAAATGCTTCTGGTGTGATGGTGTTTCTTGCAGAAGATAGGCAATAAGAAGGAGTCATTTCTTAGGTGAAGAAAGAGGGCAGAGAGAGTGAGGAACAGAGAGGGTGGAGAATCAAAAGGGGATTATTCAGGTGGATTCTTGGCCATGGAATTTGGTGGGGGAGAGGAGGAGAATGGAGTAGGTGGTGGTAGAGGAACAGAAGGGAGTGCATTTTTGAGTTGGATATGATTTTTTTTCTTTTAAATTTTTTTTGGTTGGAAAGAAAGGGAGGTAAGAGTGGATTTGGCTGCTTCCTTTCTTCGATTGGGACGAGTGGTGGTCCTACTTCTTGAGAGACTTCTCACCACCACTCACATATATTCCCCGGTCAATATTCAGAAAAATTAGAATTTATGAAAAAATGGGGGGAAGAAAAAAGAGAATATATGAAGCACACCACCGTATCTACTAGAGATGATGGCGTTTCTCCTTATGGCGTTGTGGTGGGCAACTTGATCAACTCCAATTCTGGTCTATTTTTAGAACACACATAACATATTGTTAGATAGAGAATATTAACTACTTGATTACAAGCGAATATGGATATGTTTGATCTATTCCTCACAACTACAACATCGCGTGTATCAAACAAATAAAAAACGAATATGAATATGTTTGGTTACTAGAATTGAATTTAATTAAGAGGTTTGATTGAATTGCATTTTATTACATTGACTTGGAATGATAAATATCATTCATTAGCACTAGTGTTCCGAATTTGAATCGCGGCTCTCCAGTCTGGAGTCCAAGATCAAAGAGTTGGAACTTGGAGTAGTGAGTTACATCAGCATTCATTTTTCAACACCAAACGAGGCCCGGACAAAGGAGAGCTTCGAAGTTTCAAACCCCTGGGCCCAAGAGAACACAAATATGTTTGGGCCGAGCCTGACCACACAAGTCAACTGTGTCAGCGGGAGTAATTGGACCGACCCAAATCTGTAGCAACCCTAGAGTAAAAACTTATTTTTCATTATGCTAAACGCAGAAGTCATTGGGCCTCACAAACAGATAACAACCCATCAGTGCTCCGATTATGTCAAGCCGACGACCTTATTAGGTGACCATACAATACAAAACGGTCGAATCACAGGTTCATGGAGCTTTTATCGAAACATGAATTGACTTTGGTCAAGTCTAGCTATGTATGGGTCTTCGTATAAAGGTGAGGGATGGGAACCGCAAACACAATTCTAAACCACCGATGTCGACGTAACCCTAAATCCTAAACCCTAAAAAAAATTCGAAAAACGCAACACAACAAGGACGCGCATTCACATTGTACTAGAATATGCTTGCTTTATATACCGAGCATATAGTATATTGGAAAAATAAAGTGGTCTCTCTCTTGGGTCAAAAAGGTCGTGCATCCAATCATAAAGAGCTTCCTTGATTTTGGACGGTTTGGAGCTTTATGCTGCTACCTATCCTATGTCATCCCTCCCTACCCTTTTTCAGATTCCTCGTCAAGCTGAAAATCTTTCACATTTGCATTGAAAATTTGGAAGTGAGTTAACTCACTCACTCGGGTAATTAACAAAAGAAAGATAAATGGAAACTAATTAATCTGCTTGGTTTTGTTTTATATATATTCCACCTAACTTTGGTCCCGCGGCGATTTGGTCCATTTGTACATGCATGAGCTACTTTTAAAAATCTAATCAATCATTTGGCAAAACAATCAAGCATATATATAGAATTCATTCGTATAAGTGGAGGAGGCACCTTTTTTAGACTAATTAAGCGTCACCAAAATTAGCATGAAATAAAACTTCTTTTATTTTTTATTTTTTTGACATAGCGATATCATAAACTACACTATTGTACGGGAAGGGGATATAACTCAAGTGCAAGGGGAGGAATACAATACCTCGGCCAACTATTCACCCACACCAAGCCCACATGGTTTCTAGAGTCCACTTTTGTAATTTTAAACATAATAATGAAAGAATAAGTTCTCTTTCTTTTTTTGGTAAAAAAAGTTTAGGAGGGGAGGATACCTCATCCCAAGGTCAAGGCATATCAAAGCTTCTTTGAAGACTTACAGAGGGGGTTTTATAACCATTTTTTTGGTTTTTACAAATTACCCACTAAGAGGAATTGTCGGCAACAGGACTCAAACCTAAACCTAAATAGTCAATAGAACGATCCTTACATACTCAACAAACTCCAAGAATAAGTCCCTTGGTAATATACTAGCTTTAACCTTTATTATGCAAGACATTCCCGTATTCTTCTCTGCTAGCATAGCAGCAGTTTAATTCAAAATTCCCTAGCTTCAATGCATCCATCCAAATTCCAATATTAATTCGAAAGTCCAAATTGGTAGAGAAGGACCATCCACTCAGTGAACCCTTTTGGTCCCCCATTAAGTTCAGAATCATAAGAAAGTACAAGCCTTCAACACTCAAAGCCAAGTTCAGAATCAAAGCCTTTGGTCCACTGGGTCCCAACCGGACGCGGCCCATCACTTTTACCATTTCCACATCTGTGGGGAGCGTGCCAAACCCTCCACTGTGCATGCTGCCAACCCAATCGCACTCTGCCACATCATAAATCGAGAAGCTTTACTCCATATACTACCAGAGGTCGGCACGTGGCACAGTGGCACATTGGCACATTGGCAAAGCAACCTCAGATTCTCATCTCCAATAACACTTTAACAACTTATTGTACACAATATTAATGGAGACACTAGTTTTTTTCTCCCATTTTAAATCATTTTAAAGTAATCTAATTTATAAAGACAAAAATCAAATTTGGGTGAAAAGAGCTCACTATTATGACTAACTGATTTAACCCACGTATACTAGAGATGATAATTTTTAATTACCAATTAATCAGAGAAAACAAATAAAATACAAACACGGCAACTTAAATTTAGTGTAATAACTTTGTGACTCTAGCATTATTCCATCATCTTGAGAGTCAACTTTAACGGTAGATCGGGGTCCCCTATACAAGACGTGGGTCCTATACTATATCAATATGTCGGTACACAATAGTGTAAGGTGATGATCAAGCATGTATTTTGAAAGCCCACTTACCAAATTTTTGGGTACATACATGACACACATTAGTCTTTCCACCACGTCTATTTTGTTTTGCCTCGTCATTTTATCGGTCCCCTTCCTTGCCCAAAACGACCGTCTCTTAATTGAAAATAGCTTCGAGCTCGTCGCCGACACGAGTGACTCACACGCTTTTGAAAACAGAACAAAACGACAGTCGACTGTTTATCAAAAAACACTGCAAGTTGGGTGGTTTTTTTGTTATAGACAGGGATCGTGTCAGCATCCCAATTACAAGTGTCCTCGGTGGGTCCATGACACGTGGAAAAGATAGATTGCAAAGTCAGGATATGAATATCCAATTCCCAGATGTAGCTCCACAAAAGGCATATATAAAAAGTGTGTAATTACGGAATAAGAACATGCTGCTAGTTACATTTAATTTGTGTTCCGTCCAAACTTACTCTGAATCATGTTGGTTCAGAAAACCTAAAATATTTTCACTCAAAAATTCATGCGACAAATTGGTATTCGTAGCATTATTGTTGTTTTGTAAGCTGCTCTCCACTTTGTAGTTGGGAATTGGGACCTACCGAATAAACTATAATTATAATATGCAAGTGGCATATGTGAATAAACCAAGCAAAGTGCATGATTCTCGCACGTAAAGGATAAGGAGATAGAGGTGGATATGCTCAGCAACTTTTGAACTATTGGGCAAAATTATTATTGTTATTAAGAATTTGGAAACCTGGTATAGAGGAAGGTGGGAGATAGAGTTTGATATATGGCTCAAGTAGGACCCCATTGACATGTTCATCTTTCAAATTGAAAGATAATTGCATGACATAATCAAGGAAAAGGACAAGGGATTAGAGTATTTTAGCATAATTTTAAGTCTAGTCTCTAATGAGAGGTTATCCTAAAAGAGCAGATAGACAGTGTGTGTTCGGATAAGGAATTGCATGACCTTTCAATCGAGTTGTCATTTGTCAATGATACATATCTTTTGGACTTGCCATTACAGTTTCATTTCCAAACTGCTTACTTTGATTATGATTTTTTTTTTGGGGAATGTGATGATTTCTTACGTATTCTAAATGGAACCTCACTCTTAATTGCCAGAAGAGACTGATGTGATGATGCATGACAATGGTCCTATGTTGCAATTGATCGTGCTTGTATTTATGTTCAGGTGTATTGTCCATTTGCTATTTGAAAATGTTATTAGAACCAAGGATGAAAATATCTGCGATACAGATATTATTCGGCCTTTAATTTATAGATATTTTGGAGGATATATCCATAAATTGACGGCTTGATAATATAAGATATGCATATGATGAAATGTACGTATATATAATGCGTGATGAAAATCTTGAAAATAAATACAATTAGACTTAATACAATGAAGACATCATTATCCAAACATAACCCAACCCTACCCATTAATGCATAACCCAACATTATATAGGCTTAATGATAACGGAAATGAGATATGGAAGATTGGGTGAAAAATAAAATCAAACACGCAAGAAACCGAGCAACAGAGAGAGGAGAGGATGAGCCAAAGATAGCAGAAATGATTGAAAAGAAAAACAGAAAGAGAAGTTACTAAGTGTTAGAGTTTGGTTTTTGACATTGTGACATTGATTCAATGGCTGGGACCTATGATTACTTTCAAAACTAAAGACAAATTTTTGGGTTATTTGTTTGGTATCGAGAAATATTAATAAATATTGAGGATATCGGGAGTTATCAGGGATATATCGTAGATAAGGAGGAAGAAATAGAATAACCTCCCTATATCTATGTCGACACCTAAAAAAAGGATATATCGGCCGATATTTTCATCATTGATTAGAACCTAAATTAATATTATAAGAAATAATGAAATGGAATGGAGCTGTTTCATACTCATGAGTGCATGTTCGTTCTCATAAACTCCTGAAAAACTCTCCTTATCTCAGTTTCATTATCCTTTTCTTCTTATCTTTCTCCTCATTTTGTAAAATTTCCAAGAGACGAACGTCTATGTAATCTTAACATATTTTACTTATTAAATGAGGAGAAAAATAGAAAAAAAATAAAGCAATAAAACGAAAGAAGCCCGAATAAGGTATGCCATGTTTAGGAGGGACCGAACTAAAAATACGTCGGCCTGTTGTCATGAACCGAGCTAAAGCTTACCTCAAAAACCCTAAAACAAAAATATCTGTCTCTAGCAAGCAGACCTACAGATTGTTTCAAATACGACCAACATTACAATGAGGAAGTTGTGTTAATTTGACACCACCCCCCTTCCTCTCCTTTGTGAGTCTCAAGAAACCCTGAAATTGCACTTCTCCAAGAATGTGGTGGGTCATGGACCTCACAGGACCACATGGCCAGAGTGAAGAAGAAGATATGCACGCAGTAGTGAGTCAGCTACATAACACATACATGTATAGAGGTCATCAATCATTTCCGGCCATTTTGTTTAGCAGGTCGACAAAACCATCTCAGTCTTCTCTTCTAAAAAGTAAAAAATAGACAAACTAACAAACAAAGAAGCGTTTGTGGAGCCCATATGCCTTGCCCTTGCATATCACCGTTTTGCCAGCATGACCATGACCATGAACATGGGCAATGCCTATGCGGCCAGGACTTGCTGATGAAGGCATGTAAGCAACAAAGAAGACCAGAAGCATCAATTAGTTTTTTGCGAAGATGTATTTATTCAACAATTCTTTTTTAAACTTTAATGTTTTCCGGTGCGGACGGTAATCTACGAAAGCAGCTGATTAAAGTTGTGAAAATATAAAAAAAATAAAAAATCGTTACATCGGTTAGTTGGAAGAAAGAAAACTTCACTGGAGTTCGATCCTGAAGGCCATAAAAGAAGGGAAATCCATCACTACTGTAGTGGGAACCATTGGCGAAATATCTTTTATGCTTCGAATTATCTTTCCCGGTAATGATAGACAGTACTCGTCCACATTCACATACGAGGTAACGACCAAACGAGAGTGAATTATAAAGTGCTCCATATGCGTACAAACAAAAGTAACAGATGGAAAGAGAAATGAGAAAATGGAGCACAAAACGACAAAACATCGTTAACTACAGTCGACACTATTCTTAGTATTCTTAGGGATGGGAGAGTTTTTATTTTTATTTTTATTTTTTTAATATATATACAAGTCATATTGAGAGAATGGAGATCGAACACCGAAGTTTGGATAATTCTTCTTAATTAATAGAGCTACAAGTTAAGAAATTATTGTATAATATTGGAATACAACCACATGATATAATTAGACTAATTGTTATCAATATCTAAAATATCGATAGTTCAAAAACACATAAATTTCGATGGAAATAGTCCAAAAACACAGAAATTTCGATGGAAATATCGGGATATTTTCGATATCGATAAAAATTGAATAAAAACTATGGAAATTGTAAGAAAAACTTGAAAATTTTTATTGAAACTTTGGAGGATGTTTATTAAGTCAATTATCTATTAGTTTATCACAAAAAATTGGAAGGAAATGCATTGCATGATGGGTTTAACTAATTTAAGTTGATTATATAACGAGTTGACAAGCACTGGGAGTGTATAAAATATATAGTAATTAAGGAAAGAAGATTAAACACACCATAATCATTTATATATAATAGTTTACTACAATAGTTTACACTTTATATATTGCATGGTAAGATACATGAGTGACTTAGTACCACATAGAGTTTTTATGAGATTCAAAATTTTCACTATCTACATTATCTTTATGTGTAGAGTAAGTGTATTATGAAGAGTAGTTATCAAATGATAAATCCCCAAAATGGTTTTGCATGTAATTAACATATGCCACCTGTATGAATATGAGATTAGTTGACGTTGTCCATAAGGAAAATCATTTGAAGATTAAGTCTCGGATAGTTTACACTTTGTGTTTTTTTTTTTCCTTTTTTTTTCATTACATCGATATCGTCGATATTATCGATATTTTAGACTATGATTGTTATAACAACATTAGTTAAGATTTTTCACATTAAAATATAATCGCAAAAAATATTTATATAATTATACTCCTTCGCTATAATTGCTCACATTGGTGGGAGAGTCTAAGATAACGTTTCTGCGGACAACCCGCGTTAAAGCTGAGTAACCATCAGTCTTTAAAAAAGTTAAAAAAAATGGAAAGAAAGAAGAAGAAAAAAAAAAAAGAGGCTGACCAACCAATTCTAGTTACTTTACGCTTGCCCTGCCCCTTAAAGAAGAAAGGAAGTCTATAAATAAAGGGCAAAGTGTACCATACATAGGCTTGAGCACGCAACTCATAGTCTCCAACACATCTTCTTCTAACCTCTCTTCCCAACTCTTCTTCTAAACCAAACCAGACCCAGAATGGTAGGACCCTCGCTTGACCCCACCAAGCCCTCCACCATCAAGTTCCTCTGCAGCTACGGCGGCAAAATCCTCCCCCGTTATCCCGACGGCAAGCTTCGTTATCTCGGCGGCGAAACCCGCGTCCTCGCCGTCCACCGCAACATTTCCTTTTCCGGTCAGTTAACTCCCGTTTACTCTGTTTCTTTATGCCATCCTCGATGATATATAAAGAGTACATAGGATTGATTGACTGATTTGTTGTGGTGTGGTGTGTTTACAGAGCTGTTGTTGAAGCTGGGTGAGCTGTGTGGGCCATCCGTGACCGTGAGCCTACGTTGTCAGTTGCCCGCCGAGGATCTCGACGCCCTCGTGTCCATAAAGTCCGATGAGGATCTGGACAATCTCATCGAAGAATACGACAGAGCAGCTGCCTCTGCATCTCCACCGCCTTTTGCCAATTTGAAGATCAGAGCCTTCCTTTCCCTCGTCCCTCCCAAACCATACAAAACGCCGTCGTCTACGCAGTCTTCCTCGGCCTCCGCCTCCACGACGTCCTCCTCCGGCACTTCCTCCTCGTCTAACTACTACTACAGCGCTGCTGCTTCCGGGTCCACTCCCAGGTTCCCCATGGCGTCCACGCCAGTTGACCGCTGTGTCCGCCAAATCTCACAGACTACAACGCCGTTTCAGAAATCAGCTGCCAAGGTTCCTCACTGTGCTAATATTTGCCAGGCTCATGGAAGCCCTAGTAGTCGGCTCTATCTCATCCACAACGGCAACCACTGGCAATAACAACACATGTGACACTCTCTGAGTCTCGGACTGAGTACTATAAATATATATGCCACGGCCGGTTAAATACTACCAAACAACTCCCCTTCCCTCCCCCCACCACACGAAGGAGAAAATACGAACAAAAAAAAGAAGATCAAATATCGTATAGTATTTCATCATATGATGTAATGGGATTGGTGCTATAGCTGTAATCGTTCAGATGGATTGCTTTTCAATATCGGTGGCGATTAATGAATTTCAGTCCAATTTCGTTTTTACATGTGCATGTGTTCATTCATGAATCATGGTGAGTGATTTTGTCTTTTTGCATTTCCGTTTTTCCCTTTTTTTATCTTCCAAAGTCCATTATACCATACAGCAGCCATTATTTTTCCACAACAGCTTTTTCCATTGCCGTTTTCCATCAGATTTTGCGTGCCACGTTGCACAAACGTGTCTGTGTTGTGTCACTCTGTTATGATTTTACGTGAAACAGAGCACCTCTCTCTCTCTCTCTCATCCTCATCTCTGTTGGTTTGTAATTTGTTCCAGTTGTTTGGTTTATTTCTTATTGTTTTCTGGGAAATGGTTTTATTAAAAATCGATTCATTATTCTATAGTTTGACATGTTGACTCAGCAGGTTTATGAAAGACACTAAAAGTGTAGCAAGCAGGTTGATGCTGATCGGGGAGACGGACAGAGCTTTCAATTTTTGACTCAACCCCAGCAGCATGTATGTAAGTTTCCTTTTTCTTTTTCTTTTGTGTGTTGTGTGTGGGATTGGATTAATTAAATAAATGCTTTCACCTTATACGAATTACAAGCATGATAATTGTAAGGTATGGCCCATCATGCATATATGATGCATGAGGACATGAATGATGGGGTAGCTTTTTTCTTGACCAGAGATTCGATCGATGGGATGAGATGGGATGGGATGGGAAGGCAGGCAGAACTGGAGTCTCGAGAAACAGTGATATAGTTGGAAGCATCGGAATCTTTATTGATGGAATTGGGGAGAAAACCATAAAAATACATATGTGTCCCATACGTGACAGCTGGTGCTCGTTGCCTAGCTACTACTGGTTCATGAAGCTGCACGTAATTAGTTTAACCTAAGATATTTAAACTCTAAATATAAAAACCAACAAATGAAAATAAATAATAGGAAAAACACAAATGACAGCTGCTGATAGAGATTTGAAGAGAGGCCGTCGGCAGTCCACTCACGTAGCATTCACAAGGGATGAGATGAGATTCCTTTGGCCCTTCATTTCAGATGATTCCCAATTAACCAATTAATTTATGGAAATTTAGAAAGGAGACAAATCTGAAAGAGATTTGATGGAGCGTTGTTAGGTATCGTGTGGGTAACATTTAATTAATTAAGGGATAATTAAAGTGGTTTAAGGATGATCCCATCCCTATAGGCTATGCCTCTCTGCCTGCCCCCACCATGCGTGTGATCCTTTTTATCTCGTCTTTGTTGAGAAATAGAAATGTGGGACTAAGATATGGATAGAGAGATCATCAACTTTGCATCATCTTTTGACAAAGTGTTAAATTTCAGTAGAGAGAAGGGTAATTGGCTTACTACTAGTAACGCTGATATTGTCCTAATTGATAGTGTGTTGCGTGGAACAAAAGTGATAGTGTGTTGGATCCCACAGGAGAGAGAGAGAGAGAGAGAGAGAGAGAGAGAGAGAGAGCAACCAGCTTTACTGTGTTGATCGTTGTGTGTCTGAGTGAGCTGCACTGCACTGCACCGCATTCAAGATGCACTCAACAACAGTGACAGCACTACGTGGTTTGCCAGGCGTGATCTCAATATGCACTCAATTCTATCCCATGGCCAATGATATCTATATACATAAGAACTTGAATCATGACGTGGTTGATTGAATTTGTAATGAGGAAATTCATAATTAAGTTGAAACATATTTATATTGAAGGAAATAAATACTTACATTAATATTGTTATGAGCTGTACTGTGTTATCTTCAATAAACAAAGTTTTGATTTGCGAAGAGTTTGAAATAAAAAGAGAATAAAATAGTACTAGAAGACATAAATTCCTATACGAATAATGTTACTCTTACTATATTTTTATATCACAATTATATACCACTTTATGTATCGGCTTAGGTGTTATTGACATGTCAAGTAAATAGCTACCTATACTAAAATTTCTTTTTAATTTTCAAAATGTAATTATGTTACTCAAAACTTATCACGTCTTCTTACTTACTCTCTCTCCCACCAACCCATCCATCGGAGGAAATTTTCACATTTAGAATAGAGGGAAGAGAAGATCTGAACTAGAGAAGTTGAGGAATTCTGATGGAAACAATAGAAAGTAATTTTCTTAGTTCAAGGTAGGGTCATTGTTTTGAATGGAGCCCTTTGAGACTTCCTAGGAGTTGTCCACTTTACTTTGGTTCATAACAATAGATTAATAAATTTTATTTAGATCTCTTTTGGTTCATATATGAGATCTGGATTGTTGTTTGTGTGCCAAAGATGGAGTGGAGTGGAGTGGAGTGTAGTTGGAGCTGTTGTGGAGAGGCAAGCGTCAAACCCTAGGGTATTTTCTCGGTAGTTTTTGTTTTTATTTTTTAATTTTTTGTTTACTGAAAATAAAAATTCAAATCACCTTATAATGTAGATGTCCAAATCGACTGCCACATAAAGTGGTATACAATTATGGTATATAAAATGTGGTAAGAGTAGCACTACCTTACTTATATACATGCATAGTCCTTCCTTAATAATAAAACAATGTGTATGTATGCACCATCAAATCCCACTATCAGAATCAAAGTACTATTAAGGGTGGCTCGACATGAACTCGACTCTTGTCGGTGTTTAAGAAGAATTATGGAATTGAATTTTTTTTTTCTTTTTACTACAAGAATTGGACTTATTGAATTAGTCAACAATTCAACATATTCTAACTTACAAATTATCTTTAGAGCCCCTCGAGAGGTGAGACTCTATTGGACTTGATTGGACTAAACTCTAATTATGTATGGTCACAACCACCTAAGTCTATACACAAATTAGGGTTACTACATTTTAAGACATGCAAGTTTGCTATTAATTCATTTTTTTTTAATACAAATGATATTTTAAAAAAAAATTAAATTAAACTACGATGAGGGGGATTTGAACTCAGATGCAGAGTGGGAAGCACATTTGCTCTTACCAACTTGGCTAAGCCCATATTTACATGCCAAGTTTGCTCTTAACTTTAAACAAGTGAGATAATAAATTTTAAAATTAGGGATGAAATAGTTAGTTCAAATAATCCCATAGTTTGCTTTTAACCTCTATCCTACTATCTTTCTAATCTCTAGTTGTCATATTTGCACACACAATTACAAATTATCAACGAGAGCATTACAAGTTTTCCAAAGTTTAGTGCCCGTCTGGTAACGTTTTTAGAGAATGTTTTATAAGAATATTTTAGAGAATGAAAGTGAGAAAACGAATTTGCATTTTTCAAGATTCTAGAATGTGTGTGGTAGAAACAGATTCATAAAATAAAAATAGTGAAAACATGTATAGTAGTACAATTTGAGAATAATAATATGTGAGCTATTTTTCAAGTGTATTTTTGCTAATGTCTATTCTAAAAATAATAATAAAATAAATAAAATTCTAATGTAAAAAAACCTATAATTATCTTTAAAAACAAGTCAAGATGATAAATAAAAGAGTTGAATTTTGTTGGTTAATTGATAATAAATTGAACAAGTATGCATCTAAGAATAATTTTTTTTATAAATTTAAATTATTTTTTTCCAAAATAAATACAAATTATTGACTAAAGAACTTGTGTGGACAGATGTTGCACCACCTTGGTTCGAGCATACCTTGGAATTGGATGAGGTTGAGATTTGAAGGTTTTTTTGTTTTCAAAGGAGCTGTGGTACTCTTTTTTAAAAAAAGGGATTTTCCTCATTTTGGGGTATTTATGACAAGATTTTAATGAGGTCCCTCTGTAGCTCATTCCCCGGTTGATTAAATTAGTTGTACGTTGTTGCAGTTGCTAACAGAATTTCTCATTTATAACCAAAATAAAAAATAAAAAATTCAGATATAAAAAATTAAAAAAAAGGGGGGGTTTGATAGTGGTTCAATTGGGTTCCAATACTTGATTAAAAAAGGGTTCCAATAAAATGCATCATGTAACCAATATTTGTGTCATTTTTCAAATGCATTTCTTAAGCTCATACAAATTAAATTTTAATTTCAATAAGCTAATTAAAATTATAATTTTTTTACAATTAAAATTTAATGTTTAAAAACCTAAAATTATATAAACAAAAGAGGCCAATAATAAGACCCCCAATCCCTCACACACACATGGCAGAAGGGTCCATTCAATTTGAACCCCAAGATTAGGTTGGTGGAAGATTCAATATGAACCATCACAATAGGGATATGAGAAGCAGCAGGTGAAGAAATAAAGGTATCAACATTTAGCATAGTGATGGATGGCGGGATGACAACAACCGCGATGGTAGCAAGGTAGAAAGTAGCAGCAACGGCAATGACAACAACAACGGAAAACGACAACAACAAATTCTTCCACATCAACTTTAGCTAATTCACGCAGACACAACTTCTCCTCTCCCCTTGAAGAGAAGGGGTCATTAGAGTCAAGAAATAGGAAATATTCATGGGAATACGTCAAAGTAATGGGGATACGTCGATAAACATATCCTTTTTCACTCCCCTCCCCCCTTGAAGAGGAGGAAAGTGTTGGAAAAACAACAATAAGTGACTAATAAAAATGATTATATATCAACAATATAAATACCAACGAAATTGAATAATAAACTGTAATTTGATCTATAAAAGGAGCGCAAGTCCCCAAAATGAGGTAACTATAAGAAGACTTCCTTAAGCATTAGAAAGCCTTCGTTGATACCACACTAGTGCCATAGGTCTTACCGTAGCTCTTTGTCTTGCAGAGCTTCCTCATTTGCCGAAGAGCACAAGGAGGCCGAAGGTGATGCAACATCTCTAAGTTGGGCCTAAAAGTGCTCAACCACTTTTGTGCATCAACATTGTTGATTATGTCATTTGTCTTGGTTTAGGGTTGTGGATTTATGTTGTCACTTTATTTTGGACTGGTTTACTGAGTTAGAGCACTTCCACTCATTTTTCATGGTAAAGGGCAAAGGCAAGTAAGGGCAGTTACTATTTATGTGAATAGTGCCTACCATGGCAATTTTTTTTATTTTTTTATTTTCCACCAATTGCCATGGTAATCTAAGGGCAATCACTATCCACATGAGATTAATTTTATTTATACTTATGAGATTAATTTTGGTAAGATTTTTTGTTGCCACGTGTCCATATATATATATCAATTATAAAATTCACATCTCATATTTCGAATAAGATTTTTGGTTGCTACATGTCCTAAGTTATTACAAAATTCACATCTCATTTAACATTTTTGGTTGCTACTATTGCGCCATATGTCATCTATATCCAGTCTATTCACAACTCATATTTTGGATAAGATTTTTGGTTACTATTATTGCAACACGTGTCATCTTTATCCTCTAAATCCTTTTATAAAACCACACCCTCAACTCACACCAATCATCATATCCTCTCTATCCTTTCATTTATCAAATTTTACAAAATACATTCTACTTTCAATGTCTTACATGAGGAGGTTGTTGGAGATAGCTGAGCGAGAAAATGAAGAAAGAATGTGAAAACGTGCTGAAGATGAAAGGGAGTGGGAAGCACATAACAATCAAGTTGTTTTAGCGATGGGTATACTCAATCAAGAAAGCCAACACCACAGTGGTTCACAAACCGATTGTGGACAGATGCAGTCACTCTTGGGGTAAGAATCTCTTGGAAAATTACTTTATCCCAAATTTGTTGTACTTTAGTATTGATTTTCGAGGGTGATATAGAATGCAGCCCCATATGTTTAATAAAATCATGCATGATGTTTGCAATTACGACACATACTTCATTCAAAAGTGCGATGCTGCTTGTGTTTTAGGTCTTCTTTTGGAGCAAAAACTTACAGCTTCTTTACAGATTCTTGCTTATGGCGTAGTTGTACGCCGAGTTGATGAGATTGCTAGGATGGGGAAATCCATTATCCTAAAGAGCTTGGTCAGATTCTATGAGGCAATCAAAACTCTCTACATGAGGGATTACCTCAGCAAACCTACGACTAGGGACCTCCAAAGGCTTCTGCAAAAAGTTGAGGCTCGAGGTTTTCCAGGTATGATTGTAAGCATCGACTGCATGCACTGGCAGTGGAAGAATTGCCTAACTGCCTGACAAAGAGCTAATGGTAATAGGAAAGGCCAAAAAATTATAATCTTAAGGCCGTTGCATCATTCGATACTTGGGTTTGGCATGTCTTTTTTGAACTTGCGGGAGCTCAAAATGACCTTAATGTGCTTGGTCAATCCCCAATGTTCAATGATGTATTGAGACGAAGGGCACCTCAGATCACGTATCAAATCAACAATACCGTATACTTGGGTGGGTACTACCTAGTCAATGGAATTTACCTACGGTGGATGACATTCATCAGCACAAGGAAGGAAAAACACTTTGCCGCCTATTAAGAAGGTTATAGGAAAGATGTGGATATGTGTTTTGGTATTCTCCAAGCTTGTTGGGCACTTGTTAAGGGGATTGCTCGTATATTTGATAAAGAGGTGTTTCATAGCATTATGATGATGTGCATCATCCTCCACAACATGATTGTGGAGGATGAGAATGATTATGATGAACTAGAAGTGTTCAAACTCGACCCCATGAATATGAGATTGACAAGAATTTATGAACGGCCCATAGGAGTAAATGGACAACCCTTGGAGCACAAACCTTTGATTAAGGACGATTATTACAACAACCAGATGATTGACCGTTATACTGAAATGCAATCTTCTTATGTTCAAGAAAGATGTCAAGTTGACTTAATTAAGCACTTATACGGGATGAAAGACAATCACAGTCAATTAAGTCAAGTTTTTATTGTGCTTTGAATAAATGGCAAGGATACTTTATCTTTCTTTATTATGCTTTGTTATGAATTATGCTTTGTTTTGATGTTGCAATGTTTTAAATAAATGGCTAAATTAATTAATGCTTTCTTTATGGAATAAAAGACAATCAATACAACCTAATGGTTTTCGTCATTTAACTAATTAGTGTTGCTAGGTTCGTCGTCACGGAAAAGCCTTCTTCTCATAACATTCTTTCGTTCTTGCTTCCAAAATGTCTTTGTTTCAGGGAACATGGTTCGTAACCATGGCCATGGTTTCCTGATCTTTCTTATGCATGCTCATTTTCTCTTACAAATGCCTTATCTCTTTTGATGTCTCTCTCCATTCTCATTGCGCCTTGGAGAGCAATTTGTTCCAAGAATTTTGCACATTCATTGTTCGAAGTGCTCCATCTCTTTGTCTTTGCCACTTTTCTCCCAATAGGCCTCTACTCCCTTTGGATTGGTGAATCCACATCAACCGGGGAGTCCAACGGTTATTCTGATGCCAGTGAATCATGGAGCGGCGTCTCGTTCAACACAACGCTCGGACCCGTGGTGACAATTTTGAATATTGGACAATTCGTCACAACCTCCTAACATTGGCGATTGTTGAAAGCATTTTAGCCTTGGCCAATTGCACTAAACCATAATTGTACTTGAGTATTCTATAAAAAAAAAAGAGTTTAGAAATGCAAGAAAATATCAAACAATATGACATTAAATTTAATAAAATGCAAGTTACAAAATTTTTACCTCGTTGCCAAGATTTCGTCGCTTCAAACATTATCCTCCCCTTTTGCCAATGCATCTCTCAATTTCCCTAACTCTTTATTCAAAATTTCTCACCTACTAGCCAAGCCCATTTCCATACAAGGTGAACCCAATCGAGTGAAAAATTCTCCATGAATTTTCCTCGACATATGAGAGAACTTCATCTCATTGCCTGTGATCGGGCAATGACCAACTTGAACCCAACACTCACACAACAAAACATCTTCCATAGTTGTCCACGCGCCTCTGGTTTCGATGGAAGAGACCATTTGTATTTTCACACAAATGGAATTTAGTAGTATAAAATAAAGATATGATATGAGGAGAATAATTTGTATGAAGATTTGGTGTGGAAAGTTAATAATATTGGTAGGTATTATATAGAAAAAAGAATAGAAAAGATTTTTTTTTTTTTTTTTTTTTTTTTTGGTTGGAGAAAAAAATTGATCGGACGCCCCAGGTCACGCCACAACCTGGCATCAGTGAAAAAAAATTCAATTTTTTTTATTGTTGGCTAGCGTGAGCACTCACGCCCCGCGTGTATGTCATTCATCAATGGTTTTTAATGACTTTTATTTGCTTATGCCAGCCTAGTGTTAGCGCTAACGTCATCGCCCATGGGCAGGAGCTTGAGCTAGTCTTGCCTTGGGCCTTGCTCAGGCTTGGTGGACCCCATGTGTTGCCAGGGTAGGAATTCACCACTAGAACCAGTTTTGGAAGCCTAAGGGGCCTTTTGCCTGGGCTGGGCTCACTGTTGGAAGTGCTCTTAGAGATTCTAGAATTTGTGAAATTCGGTTATTATGTCAATTTAGGTGGTGGTTGTGTTTTTGTTTTCCCAAAATGAAAAGTTGATTTAAAAATTAAAAGTGGTTTTATATTCTAGTTGTAGTTTAACATTTGTGAATATGTTTTTGAATCTCATACTGAACGAGTGAGGATGGTCTTATCCTACCTCCTGCGTTTCAGCCATACTTTGAAATTTGTAGCAGGACTAGGTCGCTAAGCTGCTGTTTGTCCTGTTCAGACCACAAAAGAAGAAGCTGCAGTTTGTCCTCAAATTTGTTATTTTGATTATAGATAAAAATTTGTTGTGTTTTTTTTATGGGGTATATAACAGATATTGTTTTCAGGTATCTAGTTTATAAACTAGTAATGTATGAGTAAAGTCAAACAATGTTTGTGAGAAAGCTCAAAATCTTGTGGTTACGCTTCTTTCACCAATAAATTATTTTCATGGGTTTTACCAAAAAAAGAATTATTGAGCCAAGTGAGATGCTCTTACGACTGAGCTATGAACTCGTTGGTTGGTTTTCTTAAAGTGGTTGCTGAGTACGCACACAGCTACTCGGAAGTGCCTTATATAACAATATTTTCATTTAGAGCCCTTGATCAAACTCAAGCAATCTTCTTACTGAAAAATGGCATCCTTCCAAATGGCAAAAGACACCATACCTCTTTCCCTTTTGTGTAGAATCGAAGTGGGAAAAGATATCTGAAAGTAGGTTTTGAGTAATGGAAGATATAAGAGCGCCGATCGCATCCACAGGGCAGTGACCAACATAGTTGAGGCAAGGTTGTCATTGTGAGAATGTGAAGGTAAGAGTCCCACATTGGAAAATTGAGAAACCTAGTAAAGGCTTATAAAGAGTTGGGCTACTCCCTCATTGCCAATTGGTTTTGGGGTGGAACCTCAACTTCCTTCATGATATCAGAGTAGGTTGTCCACGTGTGAAAGCCCAACAGCCACTCGTGCTCCACGTCACCCATAATGTGTTGTCCACATTGGAAAGTTGAGAAATCTAGCAAAGGCTATAAGTATGCAGAGTTTTTTTTGAAGCTTTTGAGTTGCACGATTGATAATGGCCATGAATCAATGAATACTGTAACGCCTCAATAAAATATAGCTTTCATTTCATTCATTTTAAATAATATATAAAAAATTCCAACAAAATAATAATCAATGACGTTAGCAGCCTCGTAGGAGGAAAGTTCAATTGATAAATAATAAGGAGGTTGAGAGAGTTGCATAATCACAGACGTTAGCAGCCTCGTAGGTGGAAAGTTCAATTGACCGTTCTCTTGTCTAATAAGAACCCAAGAATTGACTGAACATGGTATCAGAGCGGGTTGTCCATGTGTGAAAGCCCAACGGCCACTCGTGCTCCACGTCATCCATAATGTGTTGTCCACGTGTTAAGCTTGAAAATTCTCTACACGTGCGGGAGCGTGTGAGAATGTGAAGGTAAAAGTTCCACATTAGAAAGTTGAAAAATCTAGCAAAGGCTATAAGTATGCAGAGTTTTTTTTTGAAGCTTTTGAGTTGCACGATTGATAATGGCCATGAATCAATGAATACTGTAACGCCTCAATAAAATATAGCTTTCATTTCATTCATTTTAAATAATATATAAAAAATTCCAACAAAATAATAATCAATGACGTTAGCAGCCTCGTAGGAGGAAAGTTCAATTGACCGTTCTCTTGTCTAATAAGAACCCAAGAATTGACTGAAATCTAGCAGTTTAAAAGCATCTTCACTTGATGAAAAATTAAAAACCAGACTTCAAAACTTGATAAAAAACTTGAGCTAATTTCCGAACATAAGAAACTAAAGATGGCAAATGCTGCTTCTTCAGCCCATATCCCAGAAGTGGTGCTTGGCTCTTCCATTGGCCCCAAGAGCATGCCTGTGCTTGCCTTTGGCACAGCAACTGACAACATACAGCCTAATCTGTTGAAAACAGCGGTTCTTGAGGCCATCAAGCTTGGCTACAGGCACTTTGATACAGCTGCCATTTATGGCTCAGAGCAGACTCTGGGTGAAGCTATAAAAGAAGCACTTAAGCTTGGCCTTGTTGCTTCCAGAGACCAACTCTTCATCACTTCAAAGCTATGGAGCAATGATGCTCACCCTCATCTTGTCATTCCTGCTCTCAAGAAATCACTTGAGTGAGTCTCAAAATCTCACAATCTCACAATCTAATGGTTTTTCTTTTCTTTCAAGCAATTGGAATTTTGGGGTGAGTGGTTTTGTTTGATTATATGATTATGTGTGCAGAAATCTTCAATTGGAGTACCTTGACCTGTATCTCATCCACTGGCCCATCAGTGCTAAGCCAGGAAAATTGGTGTACCCACTAGTTGACCTTATGCCAATGGACTTCAAGGGTGTGTGGGCAGCCATGGAAGAATCTCAGAGACTTGGCCTCACAAAATCAATTGGAGTAAGCAATTTCTCCAGCAAAAAGATTGAAACTTTACTCTCTTTTGCTACCATTCCTCCTTCAGTCAATCAAGTAAGTCCATTTTCTTTCTATACATGCTTTGGTTTCTTTTCTTTTTCCAAATGAACAAAATTCATTAATTCGGGAGTCTGTGTGTAAATGTTGGAATTATAGGGGGTAAAAAAATGATTTTATTATATTGGAGGAGAATAGTACATAGCTTTGTGTAGGCTGATTGGCCTTCTTCATAACTTATTGGCTTATTGGCCACCACACTTGATTTAGATTAGCTTTGGGCTATTTGGCCCTTACACTTTGATTGGTGAGCTTATTGGCTCTCTAACATAGCTAGCATTGGGTAGCTCTTGGCTCCCTAATGGTTTGGGAGTTCTTTTGTTGACTCCCCATATGACTTGGGTTGGGTAGCTTTTGTGCTCCCACATAGATTGGGAGTTGACTGCTTCACTCCACTTGGCTTTATTGCATTGCATGCCTATTTATAGGCATGCTTTGCCGACTATCTAAGTTGGCTTTTTGCTTAGTTAGGTCGGTTTGCACAGTAACTGACTTTGTCTAAGTAATTTCAGCCATATATTGTAGTTTTCTACTAGAGCTTTCTACTAGCTTCATTAACTAGTGTTTAGGGAATACAACTACTGACTTTTCATTCTATATTATTCTAGAAAATTCTGCTGTCTTGAAGAAATATCTCTCAAATGTGCATTAATGTTTAACAGTAAATATATGTGTAAATATAGGTGGAGATGAGTCCACTCTGGCAACAGAAGAAGCTAAGAGACTTCTGCAAGGCCAATGGTGTAGTTGTGACTGCCTTCTCTCCTTTGGGTGCCATGGGGACCAGTTGGGGAACCAATTATGTTGTGGAAAGCAAAGTGCTCCAGGATATAGGAGAGGCTCGAGGAAAAACAATTGCTCAGGTTCTGTCACATTTTTTCTCTTTTGTTCTTGAGATCTTTCTGTCATATTTTGCCACATTAATTGTTATATAGAAAAATACAAAGTGTCATATTATTTTTCAGTCATAATTAGGAGTAGATAGAACCCGTTAATTATTTTCAAGTATATACATTTTGTGCTTGGCTTCAATTCAAACAAACAATTTGTGACGCTGTGTGTTGGTACTTCAACTTGGGCAGGTTTGTATTAGATGGGTGTACCAAGCAGGGGCAACTCTTGCTGTTAAGAGCTACAACAAGGAGAGGTTGAAACAGAATCTGCAGGTGTTTGACTGGGAGCTATCAGAGGATGACCTTAACAAGATCAATCACATCCCACAGCACAAAATGATGATGAGAGAAGAACTGGTTTCTGCTGATGGATCATCATCACCATACAAATCCGTTGAAGAATTTTGGGATGGAGAGATTTAGGCCTGAAATGAAAACCAATCCTTGTGTAATATGTTTGTGTGCATCCAAAAATAAAGGCACTGTTGAGGGAAAATGTGAGTCTCCCAACGTAATTTCACCACCACTGTCTAAGCAATGAGGTTTTATTATTTATTTCAGGTTTGGCTCATTCGAGATGAAACATCTCTTAATCACAATCCTTGTTATGAATTACAAGAGAAAACCCTTTTATTAAAATTACAAAAGAACATAATTTGGGGGAATGTGTGTTTGTTTGGTTTTGCAGCTGCACCTAAGTAAAAGCTTAAGTTGCCTAAGTATCCATTAAGAGAATCAAGCCACTTGTAATTCAAGGAATCTTAGTGAGTGAATGGCCCACTAAAACAATGGTTTGTGTATGGAAATTTGTAGTGTTTGTGCGGGGAAATTTGGGGGGGCAATTTTGATTTAGAATAAACTAGTGATTCTGTTTAGAATTGTGTTCGGGGTGAATTTGGTTAAGAAAAACTAGGGATTTGAATTTGGTTGTGGTTGTGTCTAGTGGGATGCTAGATTGCCTATGTACCCTTGACGGGATCAAAAACCAACGTAATTTCAAAACTTGGGTGGTTTAATTTGCATTAACTCTTTTATACAACTTGGGTCTTTGACGTGGTTTGGTATCATTTGGGCTTTAGTGTGGTTTTGTACCACTTGAGATTTGATGTGGTTTTATGCCACTTGAGTCTTCATTTGACGATTTGTGAATTTGAGACTTTGCACCAATTGTTTGCCAATTGAATTTTTAATGGACAAATCCATTGTACTTGAGACTTGCAATGAGCCAATTATATTTAAGACCGTTGATTCTTGAGATATGAGACGAATCCATTATACGTGGGAGCTGTAGATCATGGGGTCATGGATTGTGCAGCGGCTTCTAACCAGTCTTCTTGGTCCCAATTAATTTTACATTGGGGTATTGATTTGCAAGTGGCGTGGAACAAAACAACTAAGCTTCTTTGGCTTTCGCATGATGGCTCCCCACCGCAACACATTTTATCATAAACTTCATGTAATAGAATTTGGGCATAATCCAAGTTCCTTGTTTTGCTGCAGGCAGAGTTGCAATCCATCTTTTTGCATAATCTTGGATTCACTTCAAGTCCAGGACTTTTTTTTTCTGTTCTTATTTGCTGCAAGTCCAAGACTTCCTTTTGATTTCCCTAGTGTTGGGTTCACCACCACACTTACTTTTCATTTTGTTTTGCTTCTTCAGCATTGTTTGTTTTTTTTCATCTTTAGCTTTCACGTGGTGGGCTCACCCTCGTAGGCTTTTTTCGTTGATGTGCAAACAAAAAATATTTTTTTCCTATTGCAGATATTGTGAAGCTTTCATTTAAAGACATTTAAAAGATAATTAACTTGTCTTGTACCATGACTGGGTATTTGAACGAATGCCTTGGTTAATTTTTTTGCTTTCTCCCTTCTTTGTATGCTATTTTTCTTGAGGCACAACCCAAGTCAGAGGCAAACCTATGCTCGTGATTTTCTTGCAAAGATACCAGATTTGGTTTTGTTTTGTGATGATTGAAATAATCATGACAATCTTCACAGATTGAACTTCTTGTTTTGAGATGCTTGAAGGCATCGTAGGGAGACCCAACGAGTCTTATGTCTTTGGATGCTGAACGGAGCCAACTGTTGGATTCCTGACTATAATTATGATGATAGAAGTCATCATAGCCAGCAGCCCTCTTGGGTTGCTTGAGATTTGGGTGCTATCTTTTGCCCTTATCTCTACAATTGCTTTTGATCCCATGGTGACCACCACATCCTTGTCTTAAAGCTTACTCGCAGAAATCCTCACAAGCATGGAGCAAGCTCTCATTGTCCTGTGGTCTTCAATTTGAGATGGCTTGACAAATTATAGACTTCTCTTGGCTGTTCATGGACGTAAAAAAGCGAGACAAGAAGGTCTCATGGCATGCAGAAAAAATGAGACTAGAAGGTCTCATGACAAATTTCTTTCACCCTGCAAGCTTTTGGCTGAAATTTGCCAGCAACTTCCCTTTGTAGCTCCCCCTTTTTCTCGTGTCTCCCCCCTTTACTCCAGGCATCATGCCTTTTATAGGGGCTATATTATGACGAGTTTGAATTCAAGTGGATGACCACTTCTCAACTGAGATATTTATCTCTTGGTGTTTCATATCTAACAAAATACATCTCTTTTATTTTTATTTTTATTTTTTTTTCTTGATAAGACTGCAGGGACAAAATTCTCAATTATATCCCAAGTCAAATTCCTGGCTGATTGTTTTGGTGAAAATTTCACGTTCAGTTTTATAACGTTACAAGGAGTTTGGCGAAATTTTCAGAGCATTTTTCTGATTTTCCTACTATTTATTGCCCATTTTTTTATAAAGAAATTTGCTTTACAAAAATGGAAAATAAGAGCAATGTGACACATGGCAAGACCTGAGCGCATCTTCTTCAGCACTGGACACATGTACATCACCCAACTTGCCACATCCTTACTTTTTACCATAAATTATTATTATATTGCCTTTTTCTTAGAAAAAATCATAAGAACAATATACACACGTCGGAAAAATATTCCAAAAATTGCTATGAACTCATTGGAACTTCATATTCCCTATTGAATGCCCCATTTCATAGTTACAAATTTTTGTAGGTTATTGAAATTAATAAGGATGTATAACAAGGGTTGAGAGGAAAGTGAGTTATCAAAAGCACTTTAGATTTTTTCATAATGAAATGAATTGTTTTTAGCTTCCCCAATTTTATAACGTTACAAGGAGCTTGGAGCAAGTTTTGGGGCATTTTTTTTTAAGATTTTCCTACTATTTATTACCATTTTCTTAATAAATTTGCATTACAAAAATGCAAAATAAGCGCTAGGCAACACATGGCGGGACCTGAGCACATCTTCTTTAACAGTGGATGTGTGTATGGTCAGTCAACTTGCCACATCCTTGTTTTTTACCCTAGATTATTATTATACTGTATTTCTATTAGAAAAATCATAAGAAAATACACACGCCGTAAAAATATTCCAAAAATTGCTACAAACTCATTGGAACTTCATCTTCCCTAATGAAGGCCCCGTTTCATGGTTACCATATTTTAAAAACAAGTCCGAACATTCTCATGAGATACTTGTTGATGTAGGTTATTGAAGTTAAAGTTAATAAGGATATATAGTTGGAGTTAAAAGGAAAGTGACGTATCAAAAGCACTTTGAATTTTTTCATAATGAAATGGAGTTTTATAGCTTCCCCTTGTATGATAATGTCACAAGGAGCTTGGACAAATTTTCTGATTTTCATACTATTTATTACCTATGAGAACTTGTAATATATATATAGGAAAATTAGGTTTTAGCCAAAAAAAAATTTTCACTTTTGGAAAAAGCCAAAGCTTTTTCAAAAAAGACAGAAAAACCTTTCAACTTTCAAATCAAAGACATACAAATGTAAAGGATTCCTTAGGAAATCCAAAAATAAATAAGGGCAATTTTGTCCATTTTGGCTTCTTTTACAAAATTTCTCTCTCCTTTATATCCAAAAATATATATATATATTGACAGGACCTGCCCCGAATTCCTTGGAACCCGGGACGAATCCTGCGGAATTCCCGACATCACCCTAATGCCAGGCCCATTTATGAAACTATATCATATTTTCCAAAACTTAGGAAAGACGGTACAAGACTTTCTGCCGAAATTTCGGCAGAGTCTCCCCCGTAATTTGAACATTTCCTAGAATTTCAACCTACATAAAACACATTTAATATCCCCAATCGGCAACATGCACAAAATAATTTCATGCAATTCACAGGATCGGCCTCCGGCCTTCAAATAATCCGTAACAAAACTACCGACAAAGTCCTTAAGTCAGACAATGCCTTAAGCAAGGCAAATAATAAACTCAAATACTAATTATGAATGCCAAACGCAGCTTACCTCATATAACTTTCCCAATTCCAACATGCAAGGTTTTAACCTCCTAACACAATCACAAGTAGTTTAAGGCCTCAACCTAAATCATACAACAATCCAAAACGAGTTTTAAATCTAACTCGATCACATCCACAAATTAACAACATTCACTCAGTCCAACTGAATAATAAATTTTTAATCAATCAAGCCTCGTTTCCATCCGAGTTTTAGGACCATCGACAAGATCAGCACCACACTCAATAAAACCACATAAGTAAAGTTTAGCCCGCGGCTTGGCACCCTAGGCATATACCCTAGGCTGCCTACATACCCTTATTAAGGGATAAAGCCACTAGTACAAAAAAAAAACAAAACAAAAAAAAAAAAAAAAAATCCAATAACGTAAAAAAATACCATCCATGCTGTAATACGAAATGATAGACTCTAGAATTTATCCCTTTCCCTTTTCTTTAAATCACAACTCACCAAACACAATCTTTAATTCATCTCCCTAATAATCACATAACCTTCCATACGCTGGAAAATCCAACGCCACGTATGGGGTCTGTCAACACACCGGAAAATCCAACGCCACGTGTGACCTAGCAAATCACATAATCTTCCCATACGTCGGAAAATCCTATCAAAGGAAATAACTACATGATTAATGCCAGCAGATTGACAGCCGATTATACAGATTTACAGATTTACAGATTTAAATACCAGCATATTCTTTCCTTAATTAGGATACACTAGTTGTAGGCTATAATTAGATAAATGTATATATGGTAGGTTAGCTGATTTTAGGGGCTGAAGATCACCCTGTGTTCTTTCCTAATTAACTTGTATTCTGTCCATATAATGGGCAATTCTTGATGAATAGATATACACTTTTTCATAAAGACTCTAAATTGTCATGGTATCAGAGATATAGCTCTGAATTATCTCTCGCTCCCAAGTTCCTTAGTCTCAGTTATTCTTGATCAAGTTCTCTTGACATCATGTCTTCAGATAAGTCTGAGGTTTCTCTGATTTGTTTAAATGGCAAGAACTACTCTGCTTGGGGGTTTCACTTCGGGATTTTCGTCAAAGGTAAGGAAGCGTGGGGACATGTTGATGGAAGTAACCCAGCTCCTAACAAAAACAAAGACAAAGACCAGCAAGCCAAGTGGGAAGTCAAGGACGCTCAAGTTATGACATGGATTTTAGGATCTGTCGAACCTAATATCATTTTGAACCTTCGATCATCTCAGACTGCAGCTCAGATGTGGACTTACCTGAAGAAGATCTATAGTCAACGAAACACTGCTCGTCGGTTCCAGCTTGAACATGAATTGGCCGCTCTCCAATAGGATAGCCTTTCTATCTCTGATTTTTACTCTAGATTCAATAATCTTTGGGCTGAATACACTGATATAGTTTATGCTGACTTACCATCCGAAGGTCTTAGTTCTGTTCAATCTGTCCATGAAACTACCCAGAGGGATCAATTTCTAATGAAACTGAGACCTGAATTTGAAGGCACCAGATCCAATCTTATGAACCGGGAATCTGTCCCCTTCTTGGATACATGCCTCAATGATCTCCTTCGCGAGGAACAACGCCTTCTCACTCAAACCACCATGGAACAACGACGGTCTACATCTGTTCCTGTGGCCTATGCAGCACAAGGTAAGCCACGAGGCAGGGATATGAGCATTGTTCAGTGTTTTTGTTGCAAGGGATTTGGTCATTATGCTGCAAATTGTCCCCGGAAATTATACAACTACTGCAAAAAGGATGGCCATATCATTAAGGAATGTCTTACTCGACCCCCCAAGAAATCAGAGACCGCATATACTATCTCCGTTGGCTCTTCTAGTGCTGGTAGTTCTGTGACTGCAGTACCACTAACACAAAGTGCCCCTGCTCCTGTTCAACCTGTGACCCCTGACATGATTCAACAAATGATCATTTCTGCATTTTCAGCTTTAGGACTCTCAGGTAAACCCTTCTCTACATCATCTCTTTGGTACTTTGATTCCGGGGCTTCCCATCATATGACAAACAATGCTGATTCTCTTACCAATGTAAACAAATATTTTGGAAATCTCAAAATTCATACTACTGATGGCAATCATTTACCTATCACGGCCACTAGTGATGTTTCTTCCTTTCTCACTGATGTCTTTGTATCTCCTGGTCTTACCACCAATCTTGTGTCTGTCGGTCAGTTCGTTGATAATGATTGCAAAGTGGAATTCTCTAAATCTGGTTGTGTTGTGCAGGATCAACAGTCAGGGAGGATGATCGCGAGGGGGCCTAAAGTGGGACGTCTTTTTCCTCTTCAATTTCCTTTGTCTTCTTGTTTACCCTTTGTCTCTTGTAATTCTGCTCATGTTGATTACCGAGCGTGGCATAAACGTCTCGGACATCCAAACTCTAATGTACTTCATGATTTACTGAAATCTGGTTTTCTTGGGAATAAAGAATCACCATCTCTTAGTGCTGTTCAATTTGATTGCAATTCTTGCAAACTTGGCAAAAGTAAGACTCTCCCATTTCCTATTCACACACCACATGTAGTCCAACCGTTTGATTTGATACATAGTGATGTGTGGGGTATGGCACCAGTAACTTCTCATGCTAATTACATACTTTGTCACTTTTATTGACGACTATAGCCGTTTCACATGGATATATTTTCTACATTCTAAAGATAAAGTCTTTTCTGCTTTTAAGATTTTTCATGCATATATTCATACCCAATTTTCGGCCCATATCAAAATCCTTCGTTCTGACAATGGGGGTGAGTATATGTCTCATTTGTTTGAGGACTTCCTACAGAATCATGACATCATCTCTCAACAGTCTTGCTCTTCAACACCTCAACAAAATGGGGTGGCTGAAAGGAAGAACCGTCACCTTCTTGATGTTGTTCGCACTCTCCTGTTAGAGTCATCTACGCCCTCTCGTTTTTTGTGTGAAGCTCTCTCCACTGCTGTCCATCTCATCAATAGGTTGCCTTCTCCCACATTGCACCACAACTCTCCTTTCACCAAGTTATTTGGTCGCCCACCATCTTATTCCAACCTTCGTACCTTTGGTTGTGTCTGTTATGTTCATCTTCCTGCACATGAATGCACAAAACTCACGACTCAATCGATTCAGTGTGCTTTCCTAGGATATTCAATCCACCAGAAAGGTTTTCTTTGCTATGATCCAACTTTGCAACGCATTCGAGTTTCTAGAAATGTAATCTTTCTAGAAAATCATTATTTTTTTCCCACGCATCAGGACCCCGTTTCTCCTTCATTTTCTGTTTTGCCTATGTTTACTAACTCTTTGCAGCTCCTGTTTTAAATACCTCTTCTCTAGCACCAGTCCCTTCTAAGCCTCTCTTAGTGTATCAACGACGCTCCTCCGCCACTTCCCACCAGCCTCCAGCACCTCCCAAGCCCCTTCCAGCTCCTTCCCCGACTGCTGCTCCTGTTCCAGCAACTCCACCTCCCCCTCTCAGACAAAGTACTCGGGTTCGTAGACCACCAGATAGGTTTGGTTCCTCTCCTCTTTCATCCTTCACTGCCACCTTGTCTTCTATTTCTCTTCCTTCGTCTTACACACAGGCCATGAAGCATGAGTGTTGGCGGAAAGCTGTTGAAACTGAGCTTCTCGCACTTGAGGAAAACCAAACCTGGGACGTTGTTCCATGTCCCTCATCCGTGAAACCCATTGGCAGTAAGTTCGTGTTTTCTGTCAAGCTTCGTTTTGATGGGTCCATAGACCGTTATAAGGCTCAGTTAGTGGCACTTGGCAACAAACAAGAATATGGTCTCGACTATGATGAGACCTTCGCACCAGTCACCAAAATGACCACTATCCGCACCATACTCGCCCTTGCTGCATCCCAATCATGGCCCTTACATCAAATGGATGTCAAGAATGCATTCCTCCACGGTGATCTCAAGGAAGAAGTTTACTTGCAACTTCCCTCTGGTATGCCTACTTCCTCACCTAATGATGTTTGCAAACTGAAACGTTCTTTGTATGGTCTGAAGCAGGCCCCGCGAGTATGGTTTGAAAAGTTTCTCTCCACTTTGCTTGGTTTTTCTTTCACTCAGAGTCAGTATGACTCCTCTCTTTTTCTACAACGAACATCTATGGGTATCGTTGTCCTCCTTGTTTATATGGATGATATCATCATCACCGACTCTGACTTGGACGCAATCTCTGCAGTTCAAACTTTGTTGCATTCTACTTTCCACATGAAAGATCTTGGTCAGCTCACTTATTTCTTGGGTCCATCATCAACCTCATGGTCTCTTCTTGCATCAGCACAAGTACAGTCAAGATCTGGTTCAGTTAGCCGGCCTTACCAACACTACTTCAGTTGACACCCCCATGGAACTTAATGTGAAATATCGACGTGATGACGGGGAGCTTCTTGAGGATCCTACTACTTATCGAAACCTGGTTGGTAGTCTTATCTATCTAACCATCACTCGACCAGACATCTCTTATGTTGTTCACACTATCAGCAAGTTCATGCAAGCCCCAAGGCGTCACCATCTCTTTGCCGTTCGCCGCATCATTCGCTATATTCTTGGCACACCTAGTCGTGTCTTGTTCTTCCCTACGGGTTCTTCCCTTCAGCTCCAAGCCTATAGTGACGTTGATTGGGCCGGTTGCCCAGACACCAGGAGATCTACTACTAGCTGGTGTATGTTTCTTGGTGATGCCTTTATATCTTGGAAATGCAAGAAGCAAGACCACGTCTCCAAATCATCCACTGAGGCAGAGTATCGCGCCATGTCTGCTGCGTGTTCCAAGATCATTTGGCTGTGTGGTCTCCTCACAGAGCTTGGGTTCAGTCCACTTCATCCTACTCCACTGCATGCTGATAACACAAGTGCCATCCAAATTGCAGCCAACCCCGTCTATCACGAACGCACCAAGCACATCGAGGTTGATTGTCACTCAATCCGAGAAGCCTATGATCATCAGGTTATCACCCTTCCACACGCCAGCAGATTGACAGCCGATTATACAGATTTACATATTTAAATACCAGCATATTCTTTCCTTAATTAGGATATACTAGCTGTAGGCTATAACTAGATAAATGTATATATGATAGGTTAGCTGATTTTAGGGGCCGAAGATCAGCCTGTGTTCTTTCCTAATTAACTTGTATTCTGTCCATATAATGGGCAATTCTTGATGAATAGATATACACTTTTTCATAAAGACTCTAAATGGTCAAATCCAACGTCACGTATGGGGTCAGTCAACACGCCGGAAAATCCAACACCACATGTGACCTAACCATCACGTATAATTTCTTGTAATAAATAATAAATTTATTTCCGATTCCCCCAATTTAAAACAATAAACTAATATCCTAATCCCACATAATCAACATAACTCAACAACGCTCAAGACTTGTCACTAGGGTCATTTTAATCCTCCTAGGAAGTAAAACTATCTCGGAAGACTCACGGTCAACCAAGGGTCAAACGGGCCCACAGGGCCCACGACCTCCAAATTTCGATCCAAAAGTTCATATAGGTTCTACAAGGTTTAGGACACACATCCTGCAAGTTTGGTCTAGATTGGACGGTCGGATCGCTCACGATCGTACGATCAGACGGTTACTGTAAACAATGCCCTAGGGTTGGCATTCACAGAGTATCCGGGACTTCGTTTTACGATCTGTCGAATCCTATATGATCCTAAATATGTCTAGATTATCATATATTAATTTAAGACGATCCAACAGTTCAAACCTATCGAACCCGGATAACGCACAATAGGCGAAATCCGTTCAGGGTTCAAACGTCAACCAAATTGGAATCTGAAAGTACCTACGCGCCCGTGAGGACTAGGAGATCACATCGGGACATAATGCCCATTTTCTATAGTGCCCACGCGCCGCCACACGCTCGGGCAGCGCGTGGGTGTCCAAAGCGATAACCTTTAACCGAAAAACTCAAAATCACGGGCCAAGCTTCCTACCCTAGGTTCAGGACATGACTTGGAGCCACTTTTGTTCTTGCACCAATCTCGAAAAACAAGCAGAAGTGGTCGGAATTTCACTTTGAAATTCGGCCAAAACCTAAATTCTAAATCGAGTTTCTAAACATGACTATCGTCCAAATCCTACACAACAAGCAGCTAGAGCGTAAGGAATAGGTGAGAAATCGTACCTTGGTTGTCGGAATCAGCCGTAGCGACGCCGTGAACAACCGAAGAAACCAGTCAATATTGCCGGCAAATCTCAAGCTTTCCGGTCGGGAAAAGGGGTGGGTCGTGACCGGGGCATCGAGACGAAGCGAACGAGACCGGTTCCAGCCCTTGCCGTGGCCGAAGCTGAGAGAATAGAAGAGAGAGGGAATCGGAGTCGGGGAAAGAGAGAGAGGAGAGAGAGAGAGAGAGAGAGCTGCGCCTGTGCGTGGGCAAGGAGAGAGAAAGGCAGTTTTCTCTTTTTCTACACCGAAGTTCGAATTATTTACAAGTTTGCCACTAAACTAATTTTGGTCGCCAAAACTTCGTTACAACTCCGATTCAAGCCTACCGCGTGTCTACGGACTCGTCTCAGTATGACCTACGTAACCAAACCACTCGTTGTCCCAAAATCCTTCTACATAAGAAAATGACCAAATTACCCCTACCCCAATGGTAAATTCTTAATTTCAATTAAATAATTTAAATGGGTAATTAAATTTGGGGTCGGGGTGTTACATATATATATATATAATTATGGAGCTTTAATAATATACCCAAAATAGGGGTTGGAATTATAAAAAAAACCCTACATAGAATGCATTTTAAAAACATACCCAAAAATTATTTACTACATATGAAATTAGTATTGAAGTTCCTATAAATTACATATCTGTCATTGATTAACTTAAAACAAGCTCAACACAAAATTCCCAAAAAAAAACCCAAAATAAGCCCAGCAAGCCCATCCCAAATTTTTTTTTAAAAAACCCAAACTTTAAAATTAAAAAAATTAAAAAATCACGAAAACCAAGGGCCTATCCCCACGACCCTTCATTCTCCATCAAACCTCTACAAACCATGTCATAGAAGTACATTATTAATACCATGTCATAAAAGTACATTGTTAATACTATGTCATAAAATACATTATTAATGCCATGTCATAAAAGTATATTGTTAATAACATGTCATAGAAATACATTGTTAATACAATGCCATACAAGTATATTGTTAATACAATTTCATAGAAAAACATTGTTAGTACAATTTCATAGAAAAACATTGTTAATACTATTTTTATAAAAAAATAAATTTATTATATAATTTAAAATTAAAAAAAAAACCCCAAACATAGCCTAGCAAGACATCTGATATCCTTTGCAGCCACCTCCAATTATTCACAGTTTCACTATATACAATCGCAAAGGCAAAAGAAAATGTCTCTATAAGGAAAAAAAAATGCACTGTTAATACTATGTCATAGAACTATATTCCTAGTAAAAATTACATTTTGCATATCATAAACTTCAAATGCACAACTATATATAGAGCAAAATATAGAGCATGTTTTATTATTGAAAATCTATTAATACTATGTCATAGAAGTACACTGTTAATACTATATCATATAAATCAACTCAGTTGCAGGGTATGAACAATATAACAATTGTTCATACCACTTACAAATAACAAATTATATACTACAAATCAACTTACCAGCTTGTTGCAATTTACAAGAGTCATATATTAGACCCACAACCATCCCAAAAGCCAAAATTGGCTTGTTGCAAATGCCACATCAAAGCATAGAGAAATGAATAAATTCAGTCATGAGGCACACTTAGAATGAGTTCAAAATGATAATTTCTCTCTTCACCAAAATAACAAAAGAACAAAATGAAATCAAAACCTGACCATTAAATTCAGCTGCAATCCATTACAAACTTGTAAGGCAAAGAGAACAGCTCTCTTTCAGCTACAACTCAGAAGCAAAAACAATTGCACAAAACTAGTACAATAAATAAACCAACTTTCTCATTTTCTAACGCTAAAAAATGAGGAATTTGTGAATATTGACACATTTATCAGCAACCCAATTTCCCAAAACAGACGTAACTCACCCAATTTTTTAGTTAAACTTTTATTAAAACTCTTCGCTAGCAGCTTGAAACGATGTAGAAAGTTTGGGGGTCAGATGGTAGTCTATCTGTGCATGACTTAACCAATGTGACTTAAGCAAGACATGCTTCAAGGCAATGAATACAAAACATGATTAATCATTTATTACATTTTAAATGTTGTTTGATTCGCTGTGTTACCTCTCTGTGTAAAACCTAATCTTGGCCAACAAGTTTGAGCAACCTGAAATCAAGGTAAAATTTATAAATACAGAGATGAAAGTCGAACTCTTGTTGTAAGCGCGAGGTTATAAGTATCCGAAGACTTAGATCATTGGACTATTTTGAAAGTAAAAAAATTATGTATCTATCTATGTTCTTTGGATCACTCGACAACACCAAAACTAAATGAATTAAAACATATGTTGTACCTAACAAATAGGCTTTGGTCAATCATAGAGCCAATATTAGGGAAACTGAATTTGGTTAATATTACAGGGAACAATCCTAGGAATGTAGGAAAGACATACATCCTCTATGTATTGCATTTGCTAATTTGTATTTTTGGTGCCCCAAAAGAAAGAAAAGACTAAACATCAACCAAAGCAAATATGCCTATCACGACTAAAGAACAAATAAATTAGTTTCCTTCCATATTGAAACGATCATAAACCACAATATCAAAGTTAACATGTTTAGATCTCTAACCTAAGCCATACAAACTAAGTCTTTAAACACAACAATTCATAAAATAAACACTAGAAAATACTGACATGAGAAATCATCATAAGAATAAACGGTGAAAATACGTACATCAGAGGCGTTACCGATGAGCTCACGAAGAAAGATCTCCTTGTTGTTGTAGAAGGTGATAATAAAACTCAGAAGCTAATTGATCTCATGGATTAGGACCCAAGTCCACCTCCTGAGTTGTAAAATGACATTGCCGAGGTCAGCGTATCCCGCTCTTCAAAGAAGAGCTTCTTCAATGGCGGTCGCAGAGAAGAAGACGAAGCGGCAACCCCTTTGGCTCTGGAAGAATCGTCTTCGTTGACATCGACGAACAGGAGATCCCTGTTGAAAATCGGGAACACCAAACGAATTTGGGCATTTTGGAATATATCGTCGGTGGAAATCGGGGATCCATTGGGGTTGGTGCATGTGAAAGAGAAATCTTCATCATCTTCGTTCTTCTCACAATCGTTGAACACCTTCGTCCGGCAATTAACACCTCAAATCTACATAGTACCCACAGAAATCCGCGAGCTTAACATTAGCTTTGTTCATATAGGAAAAATGGAAATTAGCACCAAATTCAACGAAGAAATTGAAATCGAGTTGAAATTGAAGTAAATTAAGCAAAAATCAAAAGGAAAATACTGAATTGAAGCAAATGGAACAAACCTACAAAGGAAATGAAGGCATCGGCAGCGAGAACACGTGTGAGGCCACCGATGTAACGGAGATTGTTGTCAATGTGACGAGGGGGCATTTTCCCGACATAGCTATAGAATAATTTTAAAGTTTCTTTGGTCTTCTATTGGTCCATGGCTCTGAGACTGTTGGTTTACTTTGAAGGTAGAGAGAGGGAATAAGGGAGAGAACATAGGAGAGAGAGGGTTTGAAGGAGGAGATGGGCTTGAGGCTTCAAACCTCAGGGAGTGGTTTTGTCGAATGTTTATGTTCTCTGTATTCTACAAATGTTAAACAAGATCCAAAACTAATTTAATGCTAAAAAGGGTAATAAAGGTATTTCATCTTATTAATTAAATTAAAAAATATACAATTGTTTAATTTGGGTATGTTTATAAAGATTAAATGGTATAGGGTTTTGTAATAGGAATAGGTAGAATTGGGTATTTAACTAAAAAACTATAATAAATTATTCAAACTGCATATTAATTATTTATTAATATGAAATTTTCTTGTTTAAATATTTATTGTGAAGATATGTTATTCAATCTTAAGCCTAGTATGAGATTACCTTTTAGTTGAAAGATGACACCATTCTTGTTATCCATGTGTAGAGACTTAGAATTGGTTTTAATCAAATCACCATTGCCATACCACCTTGCATGCTAGTAACAAGTGATGTTGTGATATCATTGGCCAAAGGTGGATGACTCACATTATTCATTTATCTTTCTATCTTATCTTTTGGAGGTGGTGTTGTGATATCATTGGTCAAAGGGGGATGAGTCATATTATTCCTTTACTTTTCTATCTTATCTTTTGGCGGTTTAAAATATTGTATATATAAATATTATTTGGGTGCATCCATAGCCTCTCCTATAAGTATCATGCTTCCATACTTCAATCATTCATTTCAATCCTTTAAGATAGATTTCTACCATGAAGTAGTGTTAGAGAGAGAGAGAGAGAGAGAGAGAGAGAGAGAGGAGAGAGAGAGAGAGAGAGAAACAAGATGAAGAGCGTGTGTTTGTCTTGCTATATTTCATACTTATCATGGTGAGTGGGTTATGTAATATGTTCTAAAAGTTCTTATTTTGTGATAAATGTGAAAATCATGAGTTTATTCTATTTACAAATCTCTCTCTATTTTCAAGTTAAGCATGTCTAATTTGTGCAATATTTCATACAATATATATTATTTTGAGTTTTTGTGAAGTATGTATTATTCATAGAATATGAGAACTTCAGTGACAGGATATCCGAAGGATAAATTTACCAGACGGGAACATAGGGCAGTGAGGCCGATAGGGGTCACGTACTTGGTACAATTTGTGAATGATAACCAAGATATGAAGATGTTATATGATTTGGATTGTGTATCTTTTTATTATATTTTTCTAGAGTGTGTAAAATGATATTGCTTGACTGACATATTACATAATCTACTCACTGAGCGATGGTTTGCTCATCCCTCACCTATTTTGTTTTTCAGATCAATTAGTGGGCAAGACAAAGCCGAAACCAAAGAAGTTGGATTAGTTTAGAGTGATAAACTTTTATTTATATCTTGTACACTTGTAAGATTATTATAATTTTTTTATAAATACTAGCCTCTCTGCATGCGCTTCCGTGCTTGCGAGAGGTTTTTTTTTAAAAAAAATTATTTTTTTAAGTTTAATTATTTTAGAATTAAAAAATATAATGAGTGGTTCTGTTCCATAAAAATATGATTCATTATCTTAATTTTCTTTTAATTTTAATTTTTTTAATATGAAAAAGTGTGAATTTACCATATTATCCTCATTTAATTAATAATTTTAATTCTTAATGTTTAGATTAACCAAAGGCATTTTCTAGTATTTTGAATGTTTCACTATTTTCCATCTTTTGCTTTATATATATAGATAATGGTAATGTATTTTAACCAATTTTTCAGTCTTTTTATTTATTTCTTTCAATTCATGCACCTTCATTCTAGAATATTCTTCATTTCTAGAACGGGGCTTGACATTACCATTTTCTATATAAATTTACATTACAAAAACCAAAGTCAACACGTGGTGGGACCTCAGCGCATATTCTTCAGCCGCTAGATGCATGTAAGACATCAGCCTTGCCATATCCTTACTTTTTCCCATAAATTATTAACATATATCTTTTTACCTTTTTACCCAAAATTATTAACTGGTAACATCTTTTTTTTTTTCCCTAAAACTAAAAAATTCTCATTATAAAAATGGAAGTTAATTACCAAAATGCATTTATTTTACTATTTTGTCATTTTAAAAGCCAAATTTTTTTGCTTGCCAATTTTTATCTGTCAAGGATATTTTCGATGTTTTGAAATGTGTTCACCTTATATATATGCATAATAAGCTGTAGCATATAGAACATGTTGAAAAATAAATATTCTAAGATTCCTCGCCAAAAAAAAACGAAGATTAAGGGCCAGTTTGGCATTGCTGTGCTGTGAAAATAATTGCTATCAGATTTGCTGTGGGAGAAATCAGCTGTGAGAGAAAGCAGTTTGGCGTTTGGTAAATTTTTTATTAAAAGTATTGTTGGTATTGATTTTACGCATAATCAAAAAATGATTGCCGCATAATCATTAAACTCAGCGCCTCTTCGAAACTGATTCCTGCATAATCAGAAAATGAAAGCACCTCATTAGCTGCTTTCCCTTATAGCTTTCTCTCACAGCAATTTTTAACAATAAGTGATTTTCTCACAGTTTACCAAACGGGTTGGGCTTCTCAAAATTTTTAAAAAATCACTTATCACCCCAAATAAGCAATGCCAAACTGGCACTAACTGAAAATATAGGCATATGAAATAAAAATACAAAAATACAAACAAAAAAAACCCAGAGAGACGAAGGCAGAAAAATAAAAATGTAAATATGATTTAATGATATATAGATCCAAGAAGATATTGTTTTTTTATAAAAAAAATATCTGATTTAATGATATAGAATAAAAGAAGGAAGATTCACTAATATACCCACTATGAGTGCCCAAATTATAAAAATACTCTATATGAAATGAACTCTATAAATACACCCAAAACCCATTTACAACATAACAAAGAGGCCTTAACTTCTTATAAATTACAAAACTACCATAAATTTCTTAAAACAAGCTCAACCTCAAAATCTCATAAAAATACCAAAAACACTTAGTAGGGCATTAAAGTAATTTAATAATCAATATTAAATTCAATAAGGCCAGCTGTCATTTTTGGGGTTTTTTTTGGGTTTGTTTATAGAAATTCAATGATGGAGGGTTTATCTATAATATTAGTGTTAAGAATGGGTATATCACTAAATATCTCATAAAAGAAAGCTACAATATGCAAATATGTGACAAATAAGTTTCATAAATTCATTATTGAGATTTTCGAAAAATAACCGTAAACCCAACTCTTGAATTCCTGAAGTAAAAAAATATCATCTTAATATGATCAAGAGACTGGCTGTTGATCTGATTTTGGGTTATGTTATGGGAAAAAAATGAGAGATATGGAGAGGAGGAGAGAGAGGAAGAGGGAGAGAGAGAGAGAGAAAGATATGGACTATATGGACTCTGCTTTTGTAACTTATTTATCGCGCTTTTTTTTAATCTAGCCGCTCCAATGTCATCCAACGGTCCTGCCTGATCAATTTAGTTCTCAATTATTGAGAGACCTTTTCTTTCTTTTTTTTTTTTTTTTTTTTTTTTTTTTTTGGTGAAATAAACCCTCTAAAACCTTAACCCCTACCCTTGTTCTCAAAGTCCCCAAAGGGCAAACCTCCATCTTCAAATAATTCAACCGCTCATAGCGAAAATCGAAAGTGTTTGATTAAATATGCAGAACGACGAGGTCATATGGCAGGTTATCAGGCACAAACACTGCAGCTTCATGTCCAAGTATGCCGTTTTCTTTCTCTAATGTTCTTTTTGTCTGTAAATTTTGATAATTTACCTGATTTTTTTTATAAGTATTTTTGAGTGTTAATTGGTTTTTGTTTCTGTATTTGTCAGAATTGAAACTGGGATATTCTGTAGAAACCCATATAACGTCACTGGGATTTGTAATCGAAGCTCGTGCCCTCTGGCTAATAGTCGCTACGCCACCATTCGCGACCATGATGGTACTTGTTTCTCATTTTGCTTATTCGTGAATGGTTCTCTTTACTATGCTATGAAGATAGCAAAGAATGACTGTGTCTTTTCTTGCTTTAACAATGTGGTTTGCTTAATATTAAGTTGGACACTTGATCAGAGATTGAGGGAATTTAGGTAGAGCCGGTGGTGGAGCTACGAATTTTGATTTTCAGGGTCAATAACGAAAATATAATTTTATGGAAGGTACTCTTAAGTAGAAATGAGGACGGGCCTGCATTTAAAATAAAGTCAATTATGTTAGCAGATTCTTCATAACCCTTTTACCTCAGGGCCAAGTTTTTTAATCTATTATGAATAGGCACCCATATAACTTTCTCCTTGGTAAACACAAAAGCCTCTTAGCTGCTTCTGTTCACATACATAAACCTTCTACCTTTCATCCATGGAGATGCCATCTTTGAACACGATATACTGTATGTCGAACAGAAGCATCTAGAAATTGCTGCGCACAACTTTCCCTCTGCAAAACTAAGAGCACTTATTTATGTAGATTATACATTTTTTTTTTTTTTTTTTTTTTTTTTTTTTTTTAAGAGATCAAACAATCTTCAATATCCTTTGAAACCTATTGGTTTGCTAACATATATCTGAAAAGCTTATATAGTCTTGTTGATTTTCCAAGAGTATAAGTTTACTTAAAATTTGTTCCTATACTAGCAGCAATGCATATAATGTTTTCCTATGTTATGTTTGTGTCCTGCAGGAGTCTTCTATCTTTATATGAAAACTATAGAAAGAGCTCATATGCCAAACAAATTGTGGGAAAGAGTTAAGTTACCCAGGAATTATGAGAAAGCACTTGAAATTATTGACAAACATCTGGTATTGAAAATCTGACCCTCTTTTAACTGTTTCTGATTAAATGTATGTTAGTTTTCATAGAGTTAGAGGTTCTTGAAGTGATTAATCAGCATGACCTTCTTGAATTGGCAGATGTACTGGCCTAAGTTTCTTGTGCACAAAACAAAGCAACGGCTGACTAAAATGACCCAGATGAGGATACGCATGAGGAAGCTTGCTTTGAAAACAAGGTCCGTATCATCTCATTGTGTAATGCTTCGTGTCCATGTGATAAATGTCCACTTCATCTAATAATTATGTTTTTAAAATTAAAAAAATTGTCCGAAAAGTGACTTTACCTTTTTAATGTTGATATTAAAGAAGTTGTATTGAGCCATTGTATTGATGCAATTTGTTGTGTTCTTTACCAGGGAGAAAATAATGACGACACCAAGGAAAGAGAAAAAGAGAGAGGCTAGAAGAGAGGAAAAGGCTGAAAAAGCTGCAGTGTTGGATAAGGTTTTAACTTAACTGCTATACACTATAAATGTACTGGACTTGATCTGTTATTGTCACTAGCTCTCATAAAGATTTACTGTCCTTCTGCAGAGCATTGAGAGAGAACTATTAGAACGCCTCAAGAAAGGAGTTTATGGTGATGCATATAAAGATATATACAATTACCCCTTTGATAAATACCAAAAAGTTCTTGAAGGGGAAGAAATGCAGTTGGATACTGAGAGAGAAGAAGAAGAGGAGGAGGTATTCTTGTCCAATTTTATCATTGCCTTCTTTTTGGATGATCTAATATCTCAATTATTAGTATTGAAATGTGAAGTATTTCATCGTATGCTTACTTGAAATTGTATACTTTCATAATCTAAATACTTTTGTGGTTGGAATAAGCAGGAACCTGAGATAGAATATGTTGAAGGTTATGATGAACTTGAAGAGGAAGATGATATTGAAGATTTTGCTGGTTTTTCAATGGACAATTCTCGTGCAGATGATGATATTGGTAAAGCTAAATTCTAGTCTTAACAGAATATGAAATGAATGCATGCATAATCCACACAAAATTTGCATAACAGACTAATTTTTTTAGTCTGCTATTACTGAAAAAAGGTTTATAATGCTTTGTTCCAACTGTTGTATAAAATTATGGGGAAGAGTTTGTGTGCTTGTGCGTATCAAATGGACTCAATGAAGGATCTTAATGATGCAGTTGGAAGTGATGAAGAGGCAGAAGCAGTTATTCGCAAGAGAGAGAGAAAGGAATCTGCCTTTGCTTCTAGAAGATTTGAGAAAGATGAACCTGGTGCCAAATCAAAGAAGAAGCCAAGGGTACTTGTTGAGGTAATGGCTAGTTACATCTTCAGTCTTGAGACCTTTAGTTGGTTCAGCATAGTTTTCTCGCTTTTCTTGCTTGAAAAGCATTGATGTATCACTTTAACTAGAAACTGTCTTTCCTATCCTTAGGACTTAAGGGGTTGCTATTAGACCATATCGTATGTTAAATCCAAGCCGCTTATCTCCCTTTTAGTTGTAGATTAGTAGAGCAGTACCCTTGAAGTAAATAATACTCTTTTAAAATAATTGTAAATCACTAGAAATAACTTGCTATATCTACACGTCTCTTGTGATATGTTACTCTTCCCTCGAATCTGAATCTATTCCTTATTTATCAGGTTGAGCATGAAGATGCTGGTGTTAGGCAAAAGGCAGTCCACTGAGAACTTCTTATTTTCATTATTTGATCCGGAGAAGAGATGGTTGCAACGCTCTTCTTCTTGTGAGGTTGGCCTATTTTTCTCAAAGCTTGCTGCGCAAGGAAGAAACTTGCTGATGGTGACCAAATTTTGAAAAATTTTGATAGCTGAACAATTTTTTTTAAATTACCGTAGTGTTGGGAAACCATTGAATTGCTAGCTTTGAGTTGGAGCTGGCTTTGGCCTGTGGGTTGTTTGTAGGCCAAGGGACATTGTTAGTTAGGTTTGCTGTATTGTAAACGTCTTCTGTAACAAAGAAAAACAATAGTCTGTTGGAAGGATCCTAGTTTTTTCCTTTGCTTTTGTTTTGGATTTTATTTCTGTTTATGAATCCTTGTTTTTTCATTTGGATGACGTTAATGAGAACTCCTGTCATCCCTTCCAAATGTAATTTTAAGAACATAGTTCTAAATTAAATGGTTCTACAGTTTATGGGTTGTTCAAGATCCAACAAGTCATGTCGTCTAGTTGGTTTCCAACAGTTAATCCGCTTCCTTCGTCGTATCAAAACAAAACCAGCAGCCCATAACTCTGTCTGGTTGGAGCCCACAGGTTTCTCTAGTACTTTCCAGTTCTCTCCCCCTTTCTCTGCATATATATGCTTCCTCTTTCTCTCACGCTCGTATTCTATCTCTCTCTGTCTCGATCATCTTCTACTTGTATGTCCAACTGTTTGGAGTTCTTATGAGTCCGAGAGAAATGGATCAACAATATTCCAGGGACTTTCCGATCCTATCCTATATCCTGTCAAAGCTCGACCCTGAATCCAATCCACCACTCTCACCCCAACTCCAAGAAACTCTGTTGACTCAGCTTCCCCACCTGACCCACCCCAAAGTCCTTGCCTCCATGACCCACCTCATCCCCACCACCCTCTCTCAGACCCTCTCCCTGCTCCGGGCCCTCGGTACTCCACCCGACCCTTCCACCGTGGTTGTGGCACGTGCCAAGATCGCTGAAATCCAGTCTAAGCTCCAAAACAGTAGTAGTAGTGCCCTTCAAGAAACCCAGAACTACTCACAAGTGAGAGAAGCGGCAGAGAAAGAGTTGGAGATATACAAGGCGGTGGTGAGGTTGGAGGAGATACACGAGACCTATGAGGAACAGTTGAGGGATGTGGAAGTGAGGCTTGCTGAGGCATATGGTTCGGTCGTGGTTGATTTAGAAAAGGAGGAGGGGGGTGAGGTGATAAAACTGGACGAGGAAGTGGTCAGGATTTTGAAGGAGGCAGAGAGTGGGGTAGCTGTTGAAAGAGTTGAGCTTTGTGGGCGTCATCTGAGGTTTCTACCTGAGGCCTTCGGGAAGCTTCATGGGTTGGTCTCTCTCAACCTGTCAAACAATCAGCTACAGGTTTCCGCTCTCATCTCTCTCTCTCTCTCTTGTTTATCTTAGAGACAGAAAAGCATACAACTTTCAATGAATCAGTTCACTTTTCGAATTAGACATATGCCAGATCAAGCATTTAGCTAATCCTATATGAAAAATTAATATAGCTTACAAGTCCACTCACAATTGGTTTTCTATATTTAGAGCAAAATCCAACTAACCAACCAATGTTTGCAGCAGATTGATAGAATTAAGACTCTCCTTGGCATCATTGATCTCTAAGTAGTAACTTATGATTGGGGTCTTGCATTTCATTGATGTTGTTCCTGGTAACATATTACATAACTGGTTTATTTGTTTGGCAAAACAGTCCATTCCAGATTCAATAGCAGGACTTGAGAACCTCGAGGAGCTCCATGTTTCGTCCAATCTTTTAGTTTCCTTGCCCGACTCCCTCGGATTGTTGCTTAACCTGAGGATCCTCAATGTGTCAGGAAACAAGCTGGATGCCCTTCCTGAAAGCATTGCTCGTTGCAGGTAATGTCTCAAATTTTCTTTTTCCACTTGTCCATCTGTTGTTCATGTGTTCTGTTCTTGGCGGGTAATGTTTCCTTCCTTTCCTGCAATTCTCACTTTGTGACTGTTTCCAAAACTTGTTTTTGTACTCAATATTAGTTCACTGGTGGAGCTAGATGCAAGCTTTAACAACCTGATGTGTTTGCCAACAAATATTGGTTATGGGCTACTGAATCTCGAAAGGCTCTCAATCCACTTGAATAAAATCCGTTCCCTTCCTCCATCCATCTGTGAAATGAGGTCACTGAGATATCTAGATGTTCATTTCAATGAGCTTCGTGGGCTGCCACATGCAATTGGGAGACTGACAACTCTTGAGGTGCTCAACCTGTCCAGCAACTTCAGTGACTTGACAGAGCTTCCTGAATCAATTGGTGATTTAACCAACCTCAGGGAGCTTGATCTAAGCAACAACCAGATTCGAGCTCTTCCCGCAAAATTTGGCCTGCTTAGAAACCTAAACAAGCTCAACTTGGATCAGAACCCGCTCGTGATTCCACCAATGGAGATAGTAAGTCAAGGGGTTGAAGCTGTCAAGGAATACATGGCACAGAGGTGGCTCGATATCATAGCAGAGGAACAACAGAGGAGCATGCTTGAAGCAAGCAAACAAACAGCTCAGACTGGATGGCTGGGTTGGGGAACCTCCTTGTTGAATAACTTGGTTTCTAGGGTCTCCGATGGTGTTGCAGGTAATCTTGGAGGGAAGAAAGATTCTAGAGACGCATGTCTTGATCAACAGTTGTGATCATCCAGCTCTTTCTGTAAATCTTCCTGTGTATAGATGTACTCTGGACATTTAGTTATGTATGAAGTCTGGTCTCTGTAAGATAATACTGATTTTATTGTAATTGATGGATGAAGATGCACATTGTTTTTGTGTAAAATGCTCTTGATATATTCTCATTTATTTTCATGGATTTTACAACCAAAAAAAAAGAAGAAGTATTGAGCTAAGGGAAATGCTCTTACGACTAAGCTATGGACCTGTTGGTTTTCTTAAAGTGGTGTGACCTGTTGGTTTTCTTGAAGTGGTTGCTGAGCACGCACACAGCTGTCCGGAAGTGCCTTATATGACAATATTTTCATTTAGAGTCCTTGATCAAACTCAAGCAATCTTCTTCCTGAAAAATGGCATCCTTCCAAATGGCAAAAGACACCATACCTCTTTCCATTTTGTGAAGAATCAAAGTGGGAAAAGACATCTTAATGTAGGTTTTGAGTAATGGAAGGTATAAGAGCGTGCACCACATCCACAGGGCAGTGACCAACAAAGTTGAGGCAAGATTGTCAACGTTCTATGACCCAACAAGGACACAGTGATTGGTCCAATTGAGGATTTGATTGACGAGGAACACCCTCCATTGTACCGGAGCTATAAGTATGCAGAGTTTTGTGAAGAATTCTACAAGCAAGAAGGAAAAAGAAGATTGGTGAAGGAAGCTTTTGAGTTGCACAATTGCTAATGGCCATGAATCAATGATCTGGATGATGTATTCAAAGCCATGAATCACTGAATACTGTAACGCCTCAATTAAATAAAGGTTTCATTTCATTCATGTTAAATAATATATAAAAAAGTCCAACAAAATAATAATAATAATAATAATATATGAAATGTTGTAAAATGAACGGTATATGCGGAATATTGAGCTACATATAAAGTAAATGAGATATAATATTTAACGAGGTTCAGCCCTATCTACTTCATTGGAGAGTAGTAGCAGTAATTTTTCCACTAGGTGAAATAATAGGGCTATAACTTTAGTGTTTACAATATTTGTAGCTCATTGATTTTTCTCTTTTGGAGAATTTCTCTCTCCTCTCACTCTTCTTTCTTTCTTCCTTATTTATAGGCAGAATTCTGTGGCTGCTCGCTCAAAAGTCTTTGGCTTCATGTGGGTGTTGGCAGACAAGCTTCACCATTATTTTCCTTAGCTCCACTACATTCTTTACAACACTCCCCTTTAGAGACCACAAGTTACATATTGTTGCCTCCCCCTGATATCTTCGTGACTATCCTTTTTGGTGGAAAAATCTTTTAGAGTGAGTGGAAGATGTAGCCTTAAAAACTTCCTCAGTTTATTGAGTAAATATATTTCCAGTGGGCGATCTCTGTGTAAATCATAGAAATTTTCAGAGTCTGCATATCCAACAAAACTTGGGCTATTTGTAAGTTCACTTGAAAAGAATATGCCCGTATATAATGTTATGCAGAGATATCATCAAATATGACTCACATCATCCCAAAGTGGTGGTGATGGAGTTGAGCTTTATCTGGAAAATACAATGTCCGGAAGTGTACCCAGTACACTTCCAGAAAATCATTTAAGTGCCCAACGGATAATCCGCATAAAAATGCTTCAATACTTTCTTAGTATAAGAAAGAATCTCGTTGGCATAATTCTAGATCTTCAAGGTGAGACAAATATTTCTTGAACTCTTCAAGAGTTTTAACCAAGTATTAACTCTTTAGGAGTTTTGATCAATTATCAACTCTTCAAGAGTTGTAATGTGTTGCAACCATATCATAATTAATGTACTCACTGAGGCAATTTATACATATTAGTATTGAGTACAAAATTTGTGCTTCAGGCACATGTCCTTCATGGACTTGCTTCATGCAATTTCAATCCTCCAGCAATTTTATTTAAGGGATTACACTTTATGACACATTAAATAGTTTTAACCTAGCTATTTATACATCTTTAGAGAATCGCTTATGGCGATATGCTCTGTGCAACTCAAATTCCTTCAATTTTCTAAAAGTTCAGCTTTTCAAAAACTTTCCTAGAAACCTTTTAAAATGGCTTCCTCTTCTTCTCGCCCAAAACGTTTCAATTTAAATGTTGCTCCCAAAACAACTCGTGACGCTAAAGTCTAGCGTCCACCCTTTGTATCCCAAAATCATCATCTCACTATTAATGACTTTGTGATGATGAATGACATGACTGCTATCATAGTAGTTAGGAATTTCCTTACTCTTATGGATGAAATACTATTAACAGAGAAGGTCTCATGAAGAGGCTATTAATGACTCAATAGCTTTTAGCATTCAGAGTGCTGCTTCTATTTCTGACATGGCTAATTGTTTGCTTGCCATAGCAAATGAGATTCAGGAGATGAATACTGAAAATTCGTCTCTTCGGAGAATGCTTCATGATTCTCAGCAAGAGGTTGAAAACTTTAAAAATGAAAATAAGGCTTTGTTGAAACTGGTGAGTTAATATTCCATCAATACACAGACAAGGCTTGACATGTTGCAGATTTCAAATGGAAAGATTATGAAAGATCAAGATAGGCTCATGGCTAAGCTCAAGAGGCGTCGTTCTCTTTCTCTAGAGACTTCTAGATCATAATGGAATTTTATAGATTTCACAGAGCCTGCTCATTCCTTGCAAGTGCAAAGAATCTATTTGTTGTATGCTCTTTTCATGTTATAATAATTGGGCAAATTCTTAAACTTCCACCTGTGGTTTGCACGTCTTATCAAAATGATGGTTTGGAATCTTGTGCCTTATAGGTTCAAATAACCACATTAAATCTCTTAAATTATATATTTCAATGCATGTGTGCCCGGAACTTCTAGCCCAGATTAAACACAACCTCATAATTTAATTTCCATTTTGAAATGGGCATGAAATATAATGGGCATGAAATATAAATTGAGGAAAAGCCATGATAATATTGCAATATAGTAATGAAAGGAATTAACTACTATATACCCAAAACTTTAGGTTCAGGATTTCTCATATATTTGGATCTATGGGCTTCTGACCAAGATCATATAATATAACAAAATATGTGGGGAGCCTCAATTCATCATTTGAGGTTTATCATGATTTTATTTAATTCATCCTAGGGAACTGTAGGTCCCTTTTTTATACAGTGACGGGTTACCCAAAATGGTTACTATTCATGCATACGATACTATTCATCAATTTATGAATATGATTTTGTTCATGCATATAGTACGTTTGCCAGTACAGTTACCATTCATGTGTACGGCACCATTCACGTATATGGTTACTATTCATAATACACTTGCCAATACATTTACTATTCATGTGTACGACTCACATCTACAGTACTATTACATTATCAAGGAACTTCAAGTCCTTATTTACATGCCAAGTATCAAGGATCTTCAAGTCCGATAACTTGTTTACAAATATAGTACTGGAGAGATTGTCAGCTCTCATATTATTACCATCATTAAGGATCTTCAGGTCTTGATGTAGTTGTATGATGAGGATCAAGGAACTTCTGGTCCTGATCTCTGTATGATGTAAAACTTATCATAACACATAATTAATTCATAAAATAAATTGCTATAAATTGATTGTAAATAAATTGCTGGTATGGACCCCTAACCATACTTTAAATAATAAAGTAAATGTGCGATAACATAAAAGAAAAATTAGGTATTAGACATAATTAACTTTACTAATTAGTATTTGAGACATTGGGCATTTTTGTTTGGGTTTTAATACCTAGAAAAGAATTGTTATTTTGGATTAGGCCAAAGAGGAGGCCTAGATTCATTGGGCCTATCAAATTTATAAAGGTAAAATACATTTGTACCCTTTTTGTTTAAAACCCTTTCAAAATCAGATCTCACCCTTTCTTTCTCTCTTGGACAGACGCGGCATAGCGACTGCCTCAGATCATGGCTTCTCGGGCCACCTGCGATGACGACTAGTAACAAGTAGGGTACAGTCTATGCTGTTATGGTTTCTAACTTTCATACGGTTAGACTTGAGCTATTTTCTACAGTTTATATATTTGATTTCTTTCAATTTAACAGATTGGTAAAGTTGCTTGAGGATATCATGGATGACATCAGAATACTGATATTCATGGATACTAAGAAAGGATGTGATCAGATCACTCGACAGCTCCGCATGAATGGTTGGTCTGCTCTCTCAATTCATGGAGACAAAAGTCAAGTAGAAAGGGATTGGGTCCTCTCTAAGTTTAAAGCTAATGACTGCAACAGATGTTGCTGCTCATGGTCTAGGTATGGAAATAATTTCTTTTGAGTTTGTCAAAAGACTTGAAAGGAATTCTTGTTTTGTGTAAACTTATCAAACCCCCACCCTGGACACCATTTCATTTTGCTCTTTCCTATGTTTTATCTTTTATGGTTTTATGATATTTTATTTTATTTGCACTTCTTTGTTATTTATTAATTTTTTATTTATCTATTGAAAGATGCTATTCTTCCCACCTAACAATTTCTATTTGTTTCCCATCTGGGATGAGACCCACTCCACGAAGAAGATTACTATTTTTTGATTAATAAGGCTATTTGAAGCAGTCAATTGATACTTGGTTCAGTTTTTTCTTGTGTGTGTGTGTAGTATGCTTGGGTATTTCAAGGAGATTGACTCTCCTCCACCTGTGAGAGCCTCTTTCTCTTTCATTCTCTTTTAATGCATTTGCTTGTATTTGTTATTGGGGGTTTGAAAATATTTTTAATCCTTACGATTTTATAGGTTTTTCTTTTTCTTTTTGTTTGTTTGTTTGAAAAGATGGCCTGGTGTTGTTGGATCAATTTTCCTGTATAATTGCCTTTTTTTTTCTTTTTGATACAAGTGATTATGTTTTTGGTCAATTTTGTGAAAATCAAAATACTTGAGAAAAAAGAAGCTGCTTTGAAGACTCAAATTCAATTTCATCTAGCTGCTTTTGAAATGGTTGATGCCATCACTGTGATATAATATCTTGCAATACCATTTAAGCTCTAGTTTAGTGAAATTTTACACAGGTTCTACATTGTAGTTTTGCACAAACTACATTGCAGTTTTGGTAATTACAATTGGATTTTTTCTCTTTCCTTGGCCTTCAACCTCACCAATTTGAAGAGTAGAGGCTACCCAGATGAGGAATTGAGTGGGCAAGAGAAGAGAGAACTACCCAAGAGAATGGAACTCAAAATTGGACTTTTGGAAACTGGAAATTGCATTGCAATTTTCATTTAATTACAATTTGATTTTTGTTCTTTCCTTGGCCTTCAACCTCACCAATTTGAAGAGTAGAGGCTACCCAGATGAGGAATTGGGTGGGCAAAAGAAGAGAGAACTACCCAGGAGTAAGGGAATTCAAAATTGGTCTTTTGGAAACTGGAAACTGCATTGCAGTTTTCATTTAATTACAATTTGATTTTTGTTCTTTGCTTGGCCTTCAACCTCACCAATTTGAAGAGTAGAGGCTACCCAGATAAGGAATTGGGTGGGTAAGAGAATAGTAGAACTATCCAAGAGCAAGGGAACTCAAAATTGGACTTTTGAAAACTAGAAACTGCATTGCAGTTTTGGATTGCAAGTGACGATAAAACAGACAGGGACATCTGCACTCTTCAAAGGGTGATGACTCAGTCTAATGGGAATCTCTCTGATGCATTTTCAACATTTTTGCACTGCACTAGATTTTTGTGCTCTTGTGTAATTGTTCGTTTATGTTGGTTTTTTTCTTTTAAAATCATAAATTTGAGTTGTGTTGGTAGGATTATTGGTGGTAATTTGTTTTGATTGCAATGCAGAAAACGGAAACTGCATTGCAGTTTCCATTTAATTACATTTGGCTAAATTGTTTTATCATTGGATATTGGTATGATTTTTGAAGTTAATGGAAATTATATAATTGTCATCAATGAATATGTCTTTTTGACTTTGTTTAGTCGCTTGTTTTCATGATGGCTTTGCCTTTTGGTTTGTTTTTTTGTTAGTGTGGTTGCAACTTGATTAGAAATTGCAACGCGGAAAATGGAAGGAACTTCTGTTACCTTGATATGTTTCCATTGCACGTTCCAATGTCTTTTCAATGAGCATGCTTAGTGTTACTAGTAATCCAGCTGGGCAGGCAAGTGACAAAGAATGTAGCTAGAATTCTTTTTTATTAAATCAATTTGATACAGCTCTAATACAAGGATTGCCACTTGCCCTTTGCTTGTTTCAAATATATTTTCTCCTTTTATTTAGGGCATGTACTCATCACTCAAGTTTGGAGGTTGACGCATCTTATTCTATGATCGTTGTTCATTGTACATAATTTGGTCTTATTTTATATAGCACAAACGTCGTTTTATATAGCACATAATTAGGTCAGGCAATGATCTAATTTAGCTGCAACTAAAGCTCACTTACTATGCATTTGTCCTGATTTGGAAATGGTTGATGCCATCACTGTCATATAATATCTTGCAATACCATTTAAGCTTCAATTCAGTGAAATCTTACACAGGTTCTGCATTGTAGTTTTGCACAAACTACATTGCAGTTTCAAAAACTGCATTGCAGTTTTGGTAATTACAATTAGATTTTTGTTCTTTCCTTGGCCTTCAACCTCACCAATTTGAAGAGTAGAGGCTACCCATATGAGGAATTTGGTGGGCAAGAGGAGTAGAACTACCCAAGAGCAAGAGAACTCAAAATTGGACTTTTGGAAACTGCATTGCAGTTTTCATTTAATTACAATTGGATTTTTGCTCTTTCCTTGGCCTTCAACCTCACCAATTTGAAGAGTATAGGCTACCCATATGAGGAATTGGGTGGGCATGAGAAGAGTAGAACTACCTAAGAGCAAGGGAACTCAAAATTGGACTTTTGGAAACTGGAAACTGCATTGCAGTTTTCATTTAATTACAATTTGATTTTTGTTCTTTCCTCGGCCTTCAACCTCACCAATTTGAAGAGTAGAGGCTACCCAGATGAGGAAGTGGGTGGGCAAGAGAAGAGTAGAACTACCCAAGAGCAAGGGAACTCAAAATTGGTCTTTTGGAAATTGGAAACTACATTGCAGTTTTCACTTAATTACAATTTGATTTTTGTTTTTTCCTTAGCCTTTAACCTCACCAATTTGAAGAGTAGAGGCAACCCAGATGAGGAATTGGGTGGGCAAGAGAAGAGTAGAACTACCCAAGAGCAAAGGAACTGAAAATTGGACTTTTGGAAACTGGAAACTGCATTGCAGTTTTCATTTAATTACAATTATTTTTGTAGCTGTTTTTGTTTTTGTTTTTGTTTTTTTTTAAGCATATATTGTATATCTATTTTATTTTTGTTTTATTTTTGTTGTTGTTTTTTTGTTTTTATTTGTGTTGTGTGAAACAAGAACAAAAGTTGTGGTAGTGGTTGAATTGATTTTTTTTTTTTTTTTTTTTTTTTTTTTTTTTTTTTTTTTAAACACCGTTAATTGTTTATATAAATACTGTATAACTGATATAAAATATTACAAAATTAAGTTTGGTGTAGTGGTTTGTGAGTGAGCCTTCCTCCTTTGAGGGTCAAGGTTCAAGTCCATTCAATGACACAAAATCTTTTTTTTTTAAGGTGAATAAAGGGCAACGGAGTTGGTCCCTTGTAGACGGTAGCAGGCCGGTGATGGGCGGCGGTGGTGGCAGGTGGCCGGCGGTGGTGGCCAGCGGCAGAATTCCAGTGGTGTTGGCCGGCGACAAAATTCCGGTAGTGGCCGGCGGCGGGATTCCGGCGGTGGTGGCCGACGGCAGGTGGGCGGTGGTGGTTAGCTAGATATGGACATGTGGCCTAATATGCTTACCTTAGAAGGAGTGGCGTTGTGTGTAATTTTGATATTTTTTTAGTGATATTTTTGTAAAATTAGGTGCCACATTTGGTTTTTAGCCTTATGCTAATTAGATGAAATTGTATTCTTATCTTCCAAATTAGTAAACTATATTGTGTTTTAAAACTAAAGCTCCCTAAAATAAATGTGTTTGTATGGACATTAATTCTACTCCATACTTTAAATAAAAAGTAAAGGAAGTTATGTGGACGATGAACCCGCTCTACAAATAAATACCATTGTATGAGTATTAAACCTACACTATACTGTAAATAAAGTAAATGCGGAGATAAAACTGCCACCAAATATATATAGGTATATATACATAAAGTAAATAAGTAAGACCGAGAGTATATTACTATTGTTAATCTTGTTCACCCGTTTTATGTTTGTTCCTGAGATGGAAGGGTAAAGTTCCTCATTGCCTCAAGAACCATTGACTGGTCAACAAGTCAACTTTCTTTGGTGTGCGAGCATGCCACTGCTAGCAATAGCAATTCTAGCAGACTCCTTAAAAATAGATAACTTGCGCCCCAAGTTACTAATTTCTAAACAAGCGATTGTGAATTTGGGTGAGGAATATCTCCCAAGTAAGTTCTTTTCTTGCCTCAGACTGGTGAAAACTTCATAATTTATCTCAGTACAAAGTTGGTCGTTCTGGCCAGAACAAATGATAATAAAGTGGACTGTTTTAGGCAAAACTGCCTTTTACAAAACTATAGAGAGACATATCAACACTAGACAAACAAAAAGACAGCTAGAATTCCATTTCTGCTTGGGTAGAAGTCTCTTATTCGGGCTGGACTAGGTATGTCTGTGCTGGACTGAACTGTTTAACAACTCCAACTGCTAAGCTTCAACTGCAAATCAATACCAAAATTTGAATTTGGCAGAGCTTTAATCTATTTCAAGCCTTGGAAGGCTTGAATGGGCAGAACTGCGGCCTCTTCAATCTGCAAGGGGCAGAAGTGGCTGGACTTGAAGACATACCGAGCTAGAATTGCACTGTGGTACCTGTTTTGCTTGATCAAGGCTCTCCACAAATTTGTTGAGGTTTTCATATTTGTGAAAACTCAAACTCTGCTTGTCTTGGCCTTTGCTGAACCAAACTTGTAACGAGAGAGGTCTCGTTTTGAATGACTTTTTCTCTAAGTCTTGAACTTGGAAATTCTAAGAAAGAAAGAGAGCTTTTGATTACTCCAGTTTGTTTGAAGGTTCTTAAGTGATCAAGTGATTCATTTTTGAGTTTCTTGCCTTTGGTTTGTTTTGATTTGTTGTTTTGTTTTTTTTTTTTTTTTTTTTTTTTTTGTTTTTTTTTTTGTCATGTGCACCCTATCTTATATTTATAAGAAGTGCTTTGGAGTAGGGTTTCTTTCTTTTAATAATGGGCGGCAAAATTTTTCAAAAAATCTTTCATTTTTAAATGCAAAGAAAAAATGGGGCTTTATCAATTCTGGCAAATAAGTTCTTAGTAGTCATTTCTTATGGCTATCACTTCCTTGCTTTTCTTGAAAGAAAACCTAATTCATTTTCCCAATTTTAACTCCCCCTCGTGAGAGCTCAAGCTGTGATGGTTAGTTTGATCTTCCAGTTTGAACAACTCCCTGTTTTTCCTGCTTATCTCTCTTTGAGAATATAGCCTGCTTATCTTTTTGGAAGGATCACCTTTCTCTGACGCGAAAATGTAAAAAAAAGATTTTGATCTTTTAGTCCCGGAGTTTCAGAGAAGTTTCTTTGCTTGATTTCCTACTTTCATTTAATTCTCTATCACTTCTTCTATAATATTGACTTTTCCAAGTTAGGAGATCACGTGGGTTTGCCTCCAACTTTTGAGTTTTTCTTCTTTTTAATCATATCGGGCCCGCTTTGATTTTTCTGGAGCCCAAGGATGGTTGCATTTCTTTTGGGGCCCAAGTTTGCTTACCATATTTTGATAAATCTTGGGATGACCTCTCTAGACTTTGGGCCTTTGATTTTTGTTTTGCACAGTCCAGATTTTGGACCCTGTGGCTTTTGTTATCCTGGGCTTTTTAGCATTGGGCTGGGTGCGCCAGATTTTGGCCCAAACAAATCTATATATATAAAGCAAAATGCAAAGAATGGTAAAACATTCAAAATACCAGAAATGCCCTTGGTTAATGTAAACATTAAGAATCGAAAAGGCTAGTATATATAATATATCATATACTAATATATTTTTAAACTAATACATAGAAGTGTAAACCGCGTATCCTTCACGTATCTTGTATAGCCTGGACTTGGATTGAGGTCAGGGCCTATACTAGATATCCTAGGTTGAGATGCTCTTCTTAGAAGACCTGCACACATTGAACAGTTATCATAATAAGAGCGAACTGGGGTTGGTCCTAGTTGAACTCCCTCCGAGGGTTAAGTCAAAAATGGATGTAAGGTGGAGAGAATGGATGTAGGGTTTGCAAGGTGAGAATATTTATTACCTTTGTCCTGATGTAGGTGAAGGGTATTTATAGGGGAGAATGAGAGGCCAAGATATCTTTCAAGGAGCGTATATTTATCTCCCCTTGTTTGCAGTGGTGGTATGATCCATTAACAAGTATGGCTAGAAAGCTTCTAGAAATCATACTAAGGGTTAGTTTGGTATTGCTGTGTTTGAAAAAAAAATATATATATATGCTTATTCTATGCTGCAAGAATAAACTGCTGTGAAATGAAGTAGCTAAGTGTTTGGTAATTTATATTTGTAAAAGTGCTGTGAATATAAAAAAATGTTTGGTAAATATTTTTGTAGAAGTGTTGTGACTATGCATAACGACAAAAAAAGCATATAATACCAAAAATGTTTTTTATGTTTTTCATAAAAGACAAGAAAAAGGGGTTTTTCTTTATTTTTTTGCTCTCCCTGGTCTCTTGATCCTTCTTCTCTCTTCTTCTTCATCTCATCTCTTTCCATGTAAACAACCAAAAGTTAGAAAGGAAAAAAAAATCAAAACCAGGCCAAAGAAATCAATCAACACAAACCCTCATTAAAGTTTTTTTCCCATATCTGCAATCCTGTCACTGGTTGATGAGGAATCAAATCGGCAATAATTGGTTTTCCCCCATTGATTTCTCTTTCAAACATTTTATTCCTTCTCTTGTGGTTGTTCCACATCCCTCCCCCCACTCCACTCCCTACACACCGAACAGCAGCCCCACATAAAAGCCCACCAAACCACACACACACACACACACACACACACTCTCTCTCTCTCTCTCTCCACCAAAAATCCAGCCATAACACAGCCACATCCCATATGGACCAGGGGAGGTTATGGCGAGGTGGTGAATTTGGGACTGTGGTGGGTCGGAATGTGGAATAGAAAGTGAGGAAAAGGGATGTCATTTGCTAAAATAAATGGGGGGGTATTATGGGTATTTTGAATGTTTCATTAATTGCTCCGCATGCTTCCATCCGCAGTAGTTGCATTAGTTTTGAAAAGCACCTCTTGAACTGCTTCTAAAATCTGCTATGAGTGACAACAATTTTCAAAAGAAGTAACCTTATCTTGATTTACCAAACACTTTTCATTCAAAACTTAAAAAATAAGCTGCTTCTTTTAAAAGCACACAGCAACCCCAAACTAAGCCTTAAGCTGCATAAAGCTTTTCCACCCTTCCTCTTTCAGTGGGTTCTGATCAATACCAAGATGCAATAAATTAATATATATATATATATTTATAATAGCAAACAAATAAAATTGATCTTTGTGCAAGATATCACGCATGTTCCCTTAAGAGCACTTCCACCCATTTGCCATGACAAAGGGCAAGGGCTAGGTAAGAGCTGTTACTATTCACGAAAATAGTGGCAGCCCTTGCAAAAGGCTTATTGTGTTTCCACCTATTGTCATGGCAAGTCAAAGGCAACCACTATTCATATGAGATATGATGAGAGAAATTTGTAAAGAGTGTTGGTGTGGCTAGGTTGCTTTTTAAAACAAACAAAAATATCTAAAATTTTTGGTCTTTTTTTAGAATTTTTTGAAATTTTTTTTTAACTTTTCGTTGATGACGTCAGTAGCCCCCAGGCACAAGCTCGGGCTCGTTTTGCCTTTGGGCTTGCCCGGTTTGCTGGGACCCATCTCCTGCCTGGGTTGCTGAAGCTCGCTGGAACCACAACCTGCGGCATGGGCCCCCTCCTGCCCAGGCTAAACTAAAGCGCTGGAATTTCTCTAAGCGATAATTTCATAAACAAAGTGTAATGGACAAGTATCATGATTGCCATTGCTTTTCTTCCTTCCATCAACACAATAGTTAGTAATATAAATACTAGTACGACATAGAAAATTATACCTGAGAGCTTCTCGTGCTGATCAAATGTTGTAAAATGAACTGTATATGTGGGAATATTGAGCTGCATTTAAAGTAAATGTGACATAATATTTAACGAAGTTCGGTCATGCCTACGTCCTCGGAGAGCAGTAGCAATAACTTTTCCACTACGTAAAATAATAAAACTACAACTTAAGTATTTACAATCTTTGGGCTCACTAATTTTTTTCTCTTGGAAAATTTCTCTCTACTCTCATTTCTCTCCTCTCACTTTTCTTTCTTTTTTCCTTCTCTCTGCCTAGGCTCTCATTTTCTTCTCTAATGTTTGGTGCCTAAAGCAAAGGAAGGGGGAAGCCTAATTTATAGGTAGAATTCTGTGTGTGGCTTTTGTTGTTTTTTTTTGGTCAAGAGAGAAACTTCATAAAACCCAAAGTGGGAAAACAGGAGAAACCTGAGCAACAAACAGAAAGCTGAAGACGTCACAGTGCTGATCAGCTTTAGCCTCACCAATTTGAAACATAACAGATACCCCAAAATTTTGGGAACCCATGTTAGTTTGAATTTATCATTTAATTTTTATTTGAAATAAATGATAAGATTTATTTGGCCCTTCTTCTTTTTTTCAACAGTTGTCATTAACAATGTTCTACGGGCCCAAAAAGGACACATTGATTAGTCCAATTGAGAAATTATAGAATAGTACAGTATCACCACGTCAGCTGGTGATACTTCCAGTCAAAATTTGCCATGTGTATTATTTTTATAAGAAATTAAACATTTTGTTCCAGCTGTATTTGAACTCCAATTTTACCCTTCAAATTAAAAATATTAAAAGAAATAGAAGAGAAAATGTTCCAGCAACAATCCCTCACCCTCAATCTTACTGTCGTGCCGTCGCTCTGCCTCCCATGGCTGCCGCCCCCATCCTCTTATTCATTCCTTTGTTTCTGTATTTTTGCAATCAGATCACATCCCATCATTGCCCTTCTCCCCAATTGTGCCAAGCAAGCTCCTTTCTTCAACTAACAATACCGTGAAGAAGACCCAAATCCCATTTCAATTTGTTAATCAGGTGCATAGCAATTTGCCCAGTTCTGCAATGCAAGCATCAAACCCATAGTAGCAAGTCTTTCAATCACGTTGTATGTGCTAGACATGAAGATATTGTTACGCATTTGGTCACTCTGCGGGCCCTTCGTCTCTCTTCCTGAAACTGCAACTTCTCTTTAACCCATGGAAGCACCTGCAAGATCTCTAATCATTGCAAATGGGTCCATATTCAAAGAAAGAGATTTTAATCATTATCAAATTGAAATACTAATTTACTGAGACGTTTGAATGAACATCAAGTAATGGAAAGACAGAGAGGGAGGGCCGTCGGATGATGGTGTCAGTGCGATGGTAGGGGTTGTTTTCATTTTCCCTATTTTTCTAACAATTTTTTTAATTTTGTTGTGAAGGGTAAAATTGGAGTTGCAAATCCAACTGGAAAAATAGTTTAATTTCTTATAAAAATAATACACATGGCAAATTTTGAATGGAAGTACAACCCAGTGTTTTCAAGGGCATGCCTTCGCGCGCGTCGGAGCATGCGTCGGCACGAGGCGGGAGGAAAACGCCCTAGGCGGTCGGCTGTTTCGCGGGTTGCACGTTTAGCGCTAAGAAGGCGGGAGAAGGCGTTGCAAGGCGTACCAGATCTAAAAACTTCTGAACCGGAAGAAATTTGAGTCTGCAAATTTTCTGTGAGGAAGACGACCTCGTGAAGAAGACGAGTCGAATTTTTTTTTTAGGTTTGTAATGAAACGACATCGTTTTGATTGCAGTGTTTTAAAAACAATCTTACAGTGAAACGACGTCGTTTCACTTTGAGTATGTTGAAAAAATGAAAAACGCAAGTTTCAGTTTTTTATTTCCTTACCTTTATTGTAACCTTTAAGGGAAGAATTAATATATTTCTTTCTTTTTTTCCTAACTCCAACCGGTTGCAGCTTTTTGTACTTACCTTTTTTTTTCTTTTTTTTTCTTTCTCTAAATTAATATATTAACACATACACTATATATATATATATATATATATTGTATAGTACGTGTACAACTCTAATTTCTACCCTTACCAGATAACCCCATTAATTTCAAGAATTCTCTTCATCTTTCGATTGCAAGTAAGTCTTTTTTTGTTTTTTTGTTTTTTTTTACGTACATGCATCATACTTGTATAATTTGACTGTAATAAACTGTAATTTGAAGTTTCATATAATTTTTTTGTTTTGATGTTGAATAAATATTTTATGTTTTGGGATTCATTATTATGTTTTGAATGATAATTAGTACTTATATTTGATTATATTTAAAAGATTGTTATGGTTGAATAAAAATTAGTTGTAAAATTTAATCGTATTGTATTATTCATATATTTTTCTTATTAAAATAACTTAATGTTCAAAAGGCTAATGCCTCAATGCTTCAAGGCTTACGCCTCGCACAACGCTATTAAAAACGCCTCGCCTATACGCCTCGCCTTTGAAAACATTGGTACTACCAGCTGATGTGGTAATACCCTCCATTGTATCGGAGCTATAAGTATGCAGAGTTTTTGAAGAATTCTACCAGCAAGAAGGGAAAAGAAGGGTTGGTGAAGGAAGCTTTTGAGTTGCACAATTGATAATGGCCATGAATCAATGAACCTTTTCACAATGTTTATTCTTTGAGCATCGATTTAAAACACTTTTGGAGTTCCATTTGAATTAAGTTGGTCAGTCCTTGTTTCTTCTTCTTTTGTTTTTTGGATCAAATGCGGTTGGAAATACAAATGACTTCATTACGTAGGATGTGCTTATGAAATATGAACCAGAAAAGAATCTCTAATGGGCCACAAGTATCACTAAAAAAAATGAATTGCTAAATACAGCCTAAATTTGGTCTCTACACCCAGCATTAAAAAAAATTTAATGCTAGTGATAAAATGTCATCAACTTGGATTTTTTTTTACTAGATTTTCAGACTGTAAAGAAAATTCAGCAAAATGTCATGAAATTTAATACACCCTAAATTTGGTCTCTACACCCTGTAGTCATCGACTTTGATTATTTTTTTCCACTAAGGCCCAGTTTGGGATTGCTGTCACTTTAAAAAAAAGTTGTTTCTGCTGTGCTTTGAAAATAATTAGCTGTAAAGTAAAGCAGCTCCGTGTTTGGTAAACAATATTTTTAAAGTGATGTTAGTACAAAAAGCAGTGTCAAAACCGTTTGGTAAGTTTTAATATAAAATTGTTGTAACTGTGAATAATGACTAAAATAGACATGATGTTAAAAGTGTTATGTACTAATCATGTGGTAGTAGTGGTAGTGATGGAGTGGAGGTGGTGGTGGTAGGGATGGCGCTTGTGGAGGTGGTGGTAGTGACAGCATGGTGGTGGAGGTGGCAGCATGGTGGTGGTGGTGGTGTTGGTTGTGGAGGTGGTGGTGGATGTGGAGGTTTTGAAGGAGGTGGTGGTTGTGGTGGTGGTGGTGGTGGCGGTGGCGATGGCGATGGCAATGGCGGTGGTTGTGGAGGTAGTGAATCTGGTGGTGTAAGTGGTGGAGTTGGATGTGGAAGTGGAGATGGTGTTATTTTTTAAAATGAATGATGGTATTTTAGGAATTAAAAAAATTCATTAAAGGTTCATCTCTACTTCTTTTGAAAGCAGCTTTGAAAAGCAACCCATAGCCTGCTTTTAAAAGCTGCTGTCAAAAGGCCACTGCTTTTAAAATAATCGAGATATTTTATTTTTACCAAACACCTAAAACTGCTTAACTTGAAAGTGAAGCAGGTTTTTGGCCAAAAAAAGCAATCCCAAACGGGGCCTAAATTTGGTCTCTACACCCTATAGTCATCAACTTTGACTTTTTTCACTAAATTTTCATACTGAAGACAATTTGGCAAAAAAATTTGGATGCAAAGTAGTGACAAGTGTAAAATGTTCAAGTGATCGTTTGTCTTTGTAGCTATTATAATTGAGTGTTTTGACTTTTATTAATGATATTTCTATTGTTTTAAAAAAAAACGTTCATGTGAATTTAACAACTTTCAAGAAAAACATGGCTTTTTATCATTTCTTAGTAAGGGAGTTTGAGAGTTGAATAATGAATGACGGTAGCAGCATCGTAGGGGAAAGTTCAATTGAACATTCTCTTGTCTAATTAGAACCCAAAAATTGACTGAAATCTAGCAGTTTAAAAGCACCTTCACTTGATGAAAAATGAAAGACCAGACTTGAATACTCTGATAAAAAAACTTCAGATAATTTCCAAAGAGAAGGAACTAAAGATGGTAAATCCTGCTTCTTCATCCCAAATCCCAGAGGTGGTGCTTGGCTCCTCCACTGGCCCCAAGAGCATGCCTGTGCTTGCCTTTGGCACAGCAGCTAATAACTTACAGCCTATTCAGTTGAAAACAGCAGTTATTGAGGCCATCAAGCTTGGTTACAGGCACTTTGATACAGCTGCCGTTTATGGCTCAGAGCAGCCTCTGGGTGAAGCTATCAAAGAAGCACTTAAGCTTGGCCTTGTTGCTTCCAGAGACCAACTCTTCATCACTTCAAAGCTTTGGAGCAATGATGCTCACCCTCATCTTGTCATTCCTGCTCTCAAGAAATCACTTGAGTGAGTCTCAAAATCTCACAAACTCACAATCTAATTTGGTTTTTCTTTTTTTCTTTTCTTTTCTTTTCTTTCAAGCAATTGGAATTTTTGGGTGAGTGGTTTTGTTTGATCATATAATTTTGTGTGCAGGAATCTTCAACTGGAGTACCTTGACCTGTATCTCATCCACTGGCCCATCAGTGCCAAGCCAGGAAAATTTGTGTTCCCACTAGTTGACGTTATGCCAATGGACTTCAAGGGTGTGTGGGCAGCCATGGAAGAATCTCAGAGACTTGGCCTCACCAAATCAATTGGAGTCAGCAATTTCACTTGCAAAAAGATTGAAACTTTACTCTCTCATGCTACCATTCCTCCCTCAGTCAATCAAGTAAGTCCATTTTCTTTCTATATACACATATATACCTGGTTTGGTTTTTTTTTCTTTTAAATTTATAAAAATGAACAACCTTTCATTAATTTTGGAGTGTATGTGTAAATATAGGTGGAGATGAGCCCATTCTGGCAACAGCAGAAGCTAAGAGACTTCTGCAAGGCCAATGGTATAGTTGTGACTGCCTTCTCTCCTTTGGGTGCCAAGGGAACCAGCTGGGGATCCAATCATGTTATGGAAAGCAAAGTGCTTCAGGATATAGCAGAGGCTCGAGGAAAAACAGTTGCTCAGGTTCTGTCACATTTGTATTGTTTATTTTCTTGAGAATCTTTCTGTCACATTAATTGCTATATATTATATTCCAGTCAAAATTAGGAGCAAAACCCATTAATTATTTTCAAGTATAAGTAACAAACACTTTGTGACTCAGTGTGTTGGTACTTCAACTTGGGCAGGTTTGTATTAGATGGGTGTACCAGGTAGGGGCAACTCTTGCTGTTAAGAGCTACAACAAGGAGAGGTTGAAGCAGAATCTGCAGGTGTTTGATTGGGAGCTATCAGAAGATGACCTTCACAAGATCAACCAAATCCCACAGCACAAAATGGTTACCAGGGGAGAACTGGTTTCGGCTGACGGACCATACAAATCCCTTGAAGAATTTTGGGATGGAGAGATTTAGGCCCGAAATGAAAGCCAACCCTTGTTATGTAACTTGTTTGCGTGCATGTGCATCCAAATAAAGCCGCCAGGGCCCATCTCAGGATATTTTCTCTCTTATGTTTCCGCCACTATCCGAACTTTTCTTTTTCTTTTTCTTTTTCTTTTATTGTGTCTTATGATCTATTTTCACATACCCCATCATTAGTTTCCTTGGTTTGAATAAAATTATAATACTTGGTAGGAAGGGCGGCCCTCCACCATATATTTTTTTGGTCGTCATAATTATTGATTAATTTATAGAAACCAAATAAAAAAGAAAGAGATTTGATGATCATTTTTACCTTCTGGATAATTAAGATTAAGTGGTTTAACAATATCCTACACTAGCCCACCATGTCTGATTTCTTCTTGAGAAAGACCGTGGAATTTGGATCATCTTTTGACTAAGAGAGAACAATGAAAAATATAAAAAAATCTGGTTAGTCCACAAGTTGAACTCTGTTTAGAGACTTTACCTATTGGGCTTCCACAGTCCAATCCATCCATCGTATCAGAAACCCATTGGGCCTACATCTTCCATCATTTGTAGATGTACGTCAACAGCGAAATTCTATAATGAGGACGCCATATATGAATTGCCTTTCATTATGCTCCTTTTTTTTATTTTGGTTTGAGTGAGGGCCGAAGCCCAACCCTAGCATGACCAATTCCTTCTTGTATTGTTTTCTTTTTTCTTTTCTAAAATAATTTTACTCTACTTTGAACATGTTTAACCAAAGAAAGCAAAGCAAAATCGAATCCTATGACTTTAAGTCCCATTTTGTTGAGTCAATGTTTAATTAATATCTTGAATTATCGATCTGGCCCAAACCCACAGTAGAAGTTGTGGTCCAGTTTGCTGTGATCGTACTATCTCATGAATTCTTAAGATTTCCTACTCAACCAATCTTTACCATTACTACGCAAGTGCAAGTGAGTTTTCCCCACCTTTAAATTACTCCTTTTGCCTCGTGCCTAATTTTCATAAATTTATGGGACCACTCTCTTCTTATTTAGTAATTCTGAACAAAGTTTATTTTATGTCATTGAGTCATAATTTCTAGGTCCTTGAACTTTGACTCGATTCGCATTTTGATTTCTCAATTTCTAAAATTGTTCCCATGGTCCTTCAACTTCAATTTCGTCGAGCCAAAGTTCAAGCACCATTGGATCTAAAAACCTCAATTCCAAACAAACAAACAAATTTAACCAAAAAAAGGTTAGGCTAGGTTAAGAACCTTATAATAATGCCCTACATAAAAGTATAGCAATACCATATAGGATCTCTTACATTTGATTTGAGCTCGTTGCATTGCTGGAGAAGGAAAATATAACATGCATATCTATCTGTGTAAAGAGAAGGGAAAGGGGACACAATAGGTAACTATAGTACTAATCATACAACTTCTAAAAAAAGCACCGCCTCTATAAAGCACGACAAACTTGTAAGCAAGCATTGAGCAGTAAGCTGTAATAAGCACTTTTTAGCACCCACCATGCATAGATGGAAAAGATATATGGTCCATTAGATAGACCATATAGGGAGGGGCCTCAGTAGCAAAAAGCAGCTTCTGTCGTAGTTGGGTATAATCTGGTAACTGGTGATGACATTCATTTCTATGTCCATCAAAAGCAAAAAGCAGCTCCTGTGATTCTGTTGCACGCCTGTCCTCTCTTCTTCTCTGTTTCACACATACATATCTCTGAGAAGCCATGAGTCTGCACCACTTAACCACTATTATCATTTCATAATTACTAAAGTAAAAGTTAATTAATTGTAATTCAAAAACAATTTAAGAAAAGTCAACCATTGCAGCAGCAAGGGGCATGCAGCCGCAATATTAATAAGAGCAATGCAGGGCATGATGAGTGCTCTAGAAACTCTATACCATGGCTATGTATGTAGTGCGTAGAGGCAGCAACGAAAAGGTGTGTATAAAAATTTGGCTTCTCTTCCAGCTATTGGTACGTATCAAGTGTCAAGATTCTGGGCAGACACGTGGCACATGATTGGTGGTTTATAAGTTTTACAAGAGAGGCAAAATCCAGACAATAAATCTATACGAAAGCAACTTCTATCATAACTCCAACATTAGCATAAATTTTACAACACATGCTACTACTTCTTTTTATTTTGGCCTTCTCCTGCATGTTTAAGAACTGCCCAATAAATGTTTTGGATTTTGACATGTGATTCTTTCCTTTTGGTTATAACTTTTATTATATGGCCTTATAGTAGGCAGATAAATTAAAGAGAACTTGTTGAACAAGGATATGAAATTGACTTATTTTTCATAAGATCTTATTTAAAGCGGTGATAGTACACCGCGAGTTAAAGTGATGAGTATAAATATTTCTTTTAAATTAGGTATCTCTCTGATGATTTGTTGTCTAAGTAATGTACTAATCTAATTCTATCAAATAATATCATCATAAATTTCAGCAAAAACGAAATATCATTGGCTTCATATTTGGATCATCCTTCTCCTTACTTCAATATATATATATATATATATATATCAGTGCATGCAGATAATAAAATGCCATGAATATTTGAAGGTCACATAACATAACAGTGGAAGGAGACATGTGTCCGATGGATGTGTGGAAACGATGAGCCATGGGAATTTATCAGGTGAAAAATACCAGAGCAAGTAGGAGTCTTTAGGGTTTAGGGATTCTTTCTTCTTCTGCTTCGATTTGTGTGTGTGTGTGTGTGTGAGAGAGAGAGAGAGAGAGAATAAAATGTAAATATGAATTTGATGAGAGAAGAAGTGTGGAGGGATTAAATTAGGGGACAAATTGATCAGATTAGGGGACAGATGGATCAGGGATAGTCTGTCAACAACTGTAAGTTTTCAGTATCGCATTTACATGTTCATAGAAAGGTGTAATTGCAAAGTTACCATCCCTTATCCCAAAGACTAAAGCTACTGGTTGGTGACACCTATCGACTGGCCCAGCTGGTGTAGCAGTAGGGGTAAATACAGCCACCAGTGTATAACTAACTCAAAATTATATCCTAAATATATCTTTTAATTTGAACAAACTTCTGTGGTATATTGAATTGATACACTTTTGTACTAAGCCACGAATTATTTTCATTGAACAGTATATTTGTACACATGTTAGAGTCATGGATGTTAAAAATAAGTGAGGTTTATGGGGTATCAAAATTAATAAATAATAAATTGGCATATCAGTTGGTGAGAAAATACCATGTGTTCGGCATTATTCACAATGCCAAATGTAGGCGTTGGTAAATGTAAGGGTTGGTGATTCTAATGGTATATATAGACCTCATTCTCTAACACTGAATTGGAATAATGGCCACAAGTTTTACATTTGAAAATTCAAAATCTCAGGAGATATTTATTAAATTTATATATTTTTTTAAATATCACACAAGTCATCATCAAATGATGCAATTTGTTCTCTTTTTTATAGATGCTCTAATTTTATTCTTGCTTTCTTACAATTTCAACTTATAAATTTCTTTAAACAAGAAGCAATGTTCATTTTCCTTCACATAGCCTAAAGACTTGTATCTTTACATCTTTAGGTCATCTCTGGCCATAGGGCCCTCGAATAGTGTAAAATCCATCTCTAGCAATGGACAATAAAAAATGAGGCCAAATTTTGAGGGCCACTACATTTAGCCATTTTGCTGTTTTTCCATGCCACATGTAGCTTAGCTCTAGACCATGTCAAAAATTTTTGTGGGCCCAACCCGTGTGCTATCCAACACGAGGAAGATTCATGCGTGGGCATGCTCACGCGATCAGTTCATGGAACTAGAAATTAATGGACAGAATAAAGGAGCACAGACGTCAGCTAGCAGTTACATTTTTTTTTCTTTTAATGTTTTACATGTTTAAAATTTGTTTTGAAAATATATATAATTATTTTAGGAAAAAAATTCCAGTGTTGTCTTTAAAAAAAAAACTAAAATATGTTTATAAATACCATAAAATTTCTTCAAATTTTTTTTGGTAGTCTTTAATTTTTAAATAGTAGTTTAATTAATTTAAACAATACATAGTAGTGGAATATATGAGTGTTGTACCAAAGTTTTTTTTTATTTAAATAATAAAATATAGATGGCCCTAAAATATAGCCCTGTGTGACTAGAGATGAAAATTTTTAGCATACACTATTCTTTAAAAAATTAATATTTTAGAGATGACCTTAAGGGGTCGTTTGGGAAGGTAGACTATCATAGACTGGACTAAATCCTTTGACTGTCTCGAATTAGCTTGGATTGGCCTAAGTTGAATTAAGTACTGATTTACGTTTGATGCTACGTCAGACTAAGAAGCTGGATTATAACAATAGTGAAAACCTATGTTCGGTGCTATGTCGGACTAAAACATAATTCTTATAATATTGAAATTTAATTGGGGTTTTTTTACCTAAAAGATAAATAAATGCTACAAAGAAACCCAATTCAAAGATTTATAACAATATCTGGCAACAACAAAAAAATATATATATTTAAAACAATAATAAAAAGAAAACAAATAAATTTTTTTTTTTTTTTTTTTATTATGATATTTATTTTTTGGCTTCTCAAGATTAATCTTAGTTTGTCGAAACATTGTTAAAGGAGCTTAAGATCGCTCTATATAATTCTAGGTTTTTCAAGGACCAAGTAAAACAATAATTAAAAAATTATATATATATATATGTATAATTTTTGTATATTTGACTTTTGACTTCAAACTGAGAAATATAATTTGACAACGTAAAAATTGCTTGGGATAAAGAAAGCATCACATCATGAATTATTAAACTTGTTTCAATATCAAAAAAATATCAAACATTTGCAAATTACTATAGTTTGATTTTCCAAATGCAATTATCAAAATAATTATTGTAATTATTTAAATTTAATTAAGGATTTAATTAATATAAAATAAATAAAAAAAAAAAAAAAAACAAAAACACAATAAAACAAAATCTAAAACAATAATTAAAAGA